CGGTGAGCGGCGGCGGCCGGTGGTGGTGGCAGTCGGGCGGTGGTCGAGGGATAGAGGTCATGGGAGGGAAAGGGGGACTAGAACATGGTCTCTGAAGGCGTGGGCTGGATATCGCATGACTGATGGATAAGATGCAGTGCGGCCTTGGTGGTGGGCAGAACGAGGCTCGCCTGCATCAGGGCTCATGAGTGCGTCTCGTACTCACGCTTGGCATGGACGCACGGGACGGTTCTTGCGTGTGCATTTGTTCAGGATGCGAGGCCGTGCTTTGCCATTGAAAGTGCGCCATGCCAAGCCGCCGTCAACCCGGCTTCGGGCGAGCTCCCCCGCCATGTTTGCAGAGCAGCAATGCGCCCCACACATGGACGCCCTCCTCAACTGCTGGAAGGCCAACAGCTTTGAGGACAAGGTAAGGCCCAATTCATGTCAAGACTCAGTACCCAAAGGCACAAATTGCCATGCCGTGCCATGAAGGATGCGGCTGCCCCTCATGAGCCACCCTGGTTGCTTCAGAACTGCCGCCACCTGATTACCACCTACATGAACTGCATGACCGAGAAGGTTGGTTGCCCCCGCCACCCCCACCACCGAATGGGAATGGAGATGTTCAGCCAACGCGCCAAATCGCCTTGGCTTGAAAAGTGCACCATGCCTCATACGCCGTGGCCGGCACAATGTGCCACTCCCCATGTAGAAAACGACGGCAACATCAAGCTTGAAGAATGCGGAGAGCGTGCGCATGCAAGCGGTTCGCAAGCTCGATAAGGCGCGGTAAAGCAAATCTGCTTGCCCGGTACCGATGGCAACGCGCGCCCATACATACACACATACACACAGAAGAAAAGCAACGAAATAAAATTGAGATGCAAATGAGATGGTTACCATGCCCAGGCCCGATGATACCCCTCAGTCCGGTTGTGGAAAATATGTCTCGATTGAAGCTGGTGACGACACGTGCGCACACCATGAAACGACTCGCATCTCCCATAGGTAGCCGAGAGCTGGGCTCACAAGCGTTCAAGCCATCCCCGTGACCCCTCATTTGTCCATGTCAAAGAAAAAAAAAGCATCTCAAGCAACGATAAGGAAACTGCACATCCAAGAACTCAAAGATTCGAGAACAAAAACGAGAAAGACGGTCGACAGCACGCAGTGGGCCAAGAACAAAGCCCGCAAGACCAGGCACACACACGTCTTGTGCCTAGGGCTGGAAGGTGTCAGCGACATCAAAGATACGCCACCCCACCACGTCGTTCTTCATCGAGTACTGGGTAGTCTCAAAGCCTGGGTCGTTGACAAAGACCACGTCGTCGTCGTGGTAGCTAAAGCCAACGGCGAGCACAAAGTGATGGCCCTGCAGAACGTTGGCAATGACCGTGCGGTTCTGGGCCAAGTAGCTGCGGAGCAGGTTGTGCGTCAAATCCTGACTAGTGTGCATGCCGTCAGAAGGCCAGGTGATCCGAGCCGGATCAATTTTGGGCACGACTGCCTCATCCATGTCCTCGCCGTCTACATAGCCGCCGTTGGCCTTGAGCCATGCATTGAGGGTACCGGGGTTGGCTGCATTTCCGTCGATGCTGATGCCCGCCGAGTTGAGCGCCATGGATGTAGATGACATGAGACAGCCCACCTGGCAGATGGTGTCCTTGCCCATCATTGTGGAGCCCCACTGAGGATCGCACTGTTTGAAGAGGGGCCTGGTCACGCGGTAATCGGCCTGCGCAGGCTGGAGGCGGTAAACAATCACGTCCACAATGTCGGCATGTGCATATTCGGTCACGTTGTAGTAAGGATCATTCACGTAAAAGGCTTCCTTATCGGCCAGAGCATTCAGAAGCAAGACAAAATGGGTGCCGTTGCGCACGTGAGCGAGGTAAATGGTATCCCCCTCCTTCAAGCGCTGCTGCATCTCGGAAAAGGCTGGAGTGTGCGTTTCGCCGGACAGGGCCAAGCGAGAGGTGACGGCAACAACGGCATTGAGCACGAGGTTGTTGCAGTCTCCGGCAGCACATGTATACAGGTGTGTGTCCTCAAGAAAGCTATTGAGCGTGCCCTGCACACACCAAACCAAACACAGTCGTGAGCCGTGTTGGCCGACATGTCCAACAAGCAGGGCGGCCAAGAGACAACAACTCTGCAGACAGAGGCGGAAGCTTTGTGGCCAAGCCGACAACGCAGCCGGATGAGAACAACCATACGAACCGGCGTGGTCTCCTTATGGCCAGGGACGGTAATGTTCAACCCCGCCAAAGCCATGGCTAGGCTGGACATGGCACAGCCTTCTTTGCAAATGGTGGCGCGCTCGCCGTTGCCTGTGGCACAAAGGCAATACCAACAACACCAACAACAACAACAGTGACGCCCAAGAAGGATGGTAAGAGGGATAAGTGATGACTCGATTCATTCAATGCCCAAGACGGGGTCCTGTTCGATCGCGTACCCTTCACGCCCATCTCGTTGCTGCCCCAGCGCGCATCGCACTGCTTGAAGAGTGGCGCTTGAAGACCTGACACCGCCAGGGCGCCGGCCACCACCACCAGCCACACCGACTGCATTCTCAACCCCATCATCCTCACGACTGCTCTCCACTGCCCACGTTCTCCCCTACGCGTGCACCCAAATGACCAATGAGAAGAAGCGCGCGCAGAACCCACCACCGCCGCCATCACCATCGCCATCGCCATCGCCCGTCACGCACCAAGAGAAAAAAATGTTGGAGGCAACAAGACCCTAAGCACATGTATATGTAGCAAAAAATGAAGTTAATGAAGCATCGCGTAAGCCTTGAACGTGCTTCACATATAAATCGTCTCGATGTTAAAGTCGTAAAAAACGACGCAAACATCGAAAATGACGAAAAAGAGGAGACGACATCGGATGTAGAGTGTAATGGATATCACACTACCGCTCATACGTCCGACACTTTGACCGACAGCGACCGGTTTTGCCGTGGGATCTGCTGCTGAGCAGGCTGGCAGACGAGGGGCGGGGGGGCAGACAAGTTGGATTTGTGGGAGGTGGGATAGAGTAGAAACAGAGCAAAGGGACAGCCAGGCGTGTTTGGGGGTGGAAGCGACAGCGGACCCTTGCTTAGACCGGCGTCATGCCAGGTAAGTCAGGCCTCACCTGCTGGCTTGCTTGGGCTGGGACAGCCAGGCTCGAGGCTTGACTTGAGCACCGTCTGATGGCACACACAGCGATTTTGAAAATTCGGATTCATGGCGCCGAGGGACTTCCCATCATGGACTCGGCCACTTCGTCAACAGACGCCTACATCGAGGCAAGACGAGCGCGGAACTTGGGCTTGGCTTTCGCCGGCGGCTAGACGCATTGCACCGACTCATAATACGCACGCTGGCGCGCAGGTGAAGTTGGGCAAAGACAAAGAAGCCAAGACACCGGTCGTGAAAAAGTCACTCAACCCACAATTTGACCACGACTTTCGCTTTGAAGTCAACGATGAGCAGCTGCAGGACGAGGTCCTGCTGATCAACGTCTGGGACCACGATTACATGAGCCAGGATGACGCCATTGGGCAAGTCTTGCTCGACCTCAAGCCTCTGCTCAAACAGGACGTATCTCAGGTGAGCTCTTGTTTGTTGTCGCTTTTTGGTGCCTCTTCTTGAGCCTCTTGCTGCTTGTGGCTGCCCCCCTCCCCGATTGTCCACGATGCCGTACTGTTCCTGCTTGCCAACTTTGCGGGTGGGGTGGACGGTTGAATGAGCCATCATTTTGACTAAACGTGAGCCTCTTTTCCTCGCTACAGCTATCGGGAGCCTACCCCATTTACGACACCCTCCACGGCATACGGGGCTCTCTCTCGCTGACCGTTAAGAGAGAACTTTTCAGGTATGACTTGCGACTGACGTTCGTGTGGAGGCAGTTACATGTCTGACGCCAAAAAGGAACGCAACAGATCAGGCCATATTATAGAGAAAGCACATTAATCACACTCCTTGCTCTCACCTTTTCCTTGCCCCCGCTACCGCTAGGGACCACCACAAGTTTCGCGACACCTCTGTTGGTGTGCAGTTCTTCACGACCATGGATGTCCCCTCCTGCTATCGTTTATTGGCCGTCCATGGCTTTGTCGAAGAACTCATGGTGAACGACGATCCCGAGTTTCACGTACGTATTAAGCAAACATGCCTTGACTTTGGGACTTTGAATCTGCCCAGCCAAGAGTATGGATCTTGTCAGACTGAATTATGATTGCGGGTCCTCCCTTGCGATCCAACAGTGGATTGATCGCTTTCGGGCGACGCGTACATCCAATCAAGCACGCCAAGACGTCTTTGCGCGACTCTCTGGTGAACTACAGCGTCGAATCGGCGTGAAGGTGCAGGAGCGAGGAGCCAATGCTGTTGTGGGCTACCGCCAGGCCTTTGATCTCGAGGGCGAGACCGGTGAGCCCCATGCTCTGTCAAAGGCCTCACCCGCCTCGCCGTACAGCTGCCTCCCACCACCACCACCAGGCGCGCGCGTGCTGTCTGATCTTTGTATATCTTTGGCTTTGGTGGTCGATAGGCTTGGTGGCGCGTGGAATCGGCACCGTGGTTCTCGTCACCTTGCAAGACATCCCGCGCCTTGGCTCACCCCACTTACACGTTCGCGGTACCTCTCCAACGCTTGATGTACCGAAGAGCCTGTCAATGGACACTGGCAAGGGGCCTGCGAACTTTGAACCCACACAAATTGTGACGGTACGCAATTGTGACTGTGCTCTGTGCTCTGTGCTCTGGCTGCTCCCCGCTAGCAATTGATGCTTCTTGTGCGCGCTGGCATAGGCTACCAATGCAACGGGCCCGCCTGCATTGCTCAGTAAGTGTCCGTGCATCGACCTCGCACATGTCGTTCGGGTCAAGGCAACCACGTATTGATGTGCATGTGTGCGTCTGCTCGTCCGGCGAAAGAAAGCGAAGGGGTTCAGGAAATACCCCTCCTTACCATGTGTTCCTGCCCACCTGGTCTTGTCCAGCGCCTCGGTGAGTGCCAGAATAACAAAGCCACAAAACTTTGTTCTAAAAAAAAAGCTGCACACTGGCCTTGTGTGGATACCAATAGTAATCACGGTGCTGTCTGCGGCCTTGGTGCCTTGTTTTCACGGAGCTCAGGTGGTGTTGTAACGGCTCGTGCTATCAAGCTGCTTAACCGACTCGACAACCCCGACGATACGGATGCGCGGTACGAAACCGGAGAGATTGGCCAAGGACAAACACCAAGGCTGAAGGTCGAATGCCTCTTCGACCGTGCTTTTCTTGTGAGCAACCACTCATGCCGGGTTTCTGGATGGAACGTGTGGTGCTGGTCGCAGTGACGCGTGGTGGGACGAACTGCGAAAGGAAGTGCGCTCTCACGTGCGCGAGTTGGGCTATACAGCTGCCATTGGCTACTCTGAAGTCACCACCATTTGCAACAGTCTCTGCATGCTGACGGCCTCGGGCACGGCTGCCGTCGTCAATCTGGACATGAGCGCAGGACCAGCCATGCTGGACCTTGATGCGACGGCCGATGCCTCCTTGCTTTCAACTCGGCGCCCTCGCGCTTTGAGCCAGAGTGATGGTGCCGTCCCCAGCAGCGCGCCGCCCGAGCTCTCCCGCCGCTTTGTCGTCCCGCCACCGGTATGCTTCTGCGACTCGTCTTTCGAACTAACAACCAGCCAAAGACATTTGGTATTGATAGTTGCACACGTGCCTTTTGTGTCGCTGCGTCTGATTTGGCAACTGTGTGGTGCCGCTTGAGAACAGGACTTGCCACCGTGTGTGCTCTACCACATTCCTCGTGAGTGCGCAAACAAACCCTTTGTGGGTCAGCAAGCTGGCTGCAGTATCTGCAAGCATCCCGAGTCTTCCGTGCCGGAATTGCTCTTTTGCACTGGTGCGTGCCCAAGTCTCCGTTTCCTCTCTCTTTCTCTCTTGCAATTTTGAGATGTTGTCATCGTGGCAGCGCTGTGATCTGTTGGGTTGACACCGCGTTGCGGGTGTCCATGATAGTCGATCCTCCTGGGGATGTGCCCGTGCTTGGCCTGGCCACAATGGTGCAAGCACGTGTTTGTCGCGCACGAAAGCGTACCTCGAGTAGCGCCGAGAGTGCCGCCGAACTTGGCGAGGCCGTACCGTTCTTGGAATATGCACTTCACCAACAGGTCAGCAGGGACAGCGATTTTCACAGCGGGGCTATCACCCTGCCCGTGCTTGATAAGCTGCCACACGCCCACAAGAGTTGCCCGCCACTCCCAATCAGTCTAACTGCCCGGTGCACTTTGGTGTACATGCCTGCGCACTAGTTGTACAACAAGCTCAAGTTGCGCGCCCTCAACGCCGTGTTCAATTTGCGTGTACAAGTAACGATTGGCGAGACGCAGTTGGTGGCTGTTGCCACCGGTACTGCCATGCACCTGGCTTGCTTGCCCTCGCCTCCCGATCTCAAGTTTGAGCGTAACGCACAGGTATCACGACTCGCTAGCCTGACCACCCACGTCTTGTTCCACACCCACCTCATCATGGCGTGCCATGCGTCGAGTAGCGCCAAGCCAACTCGACGCTGGAGCAGCGGTTGACGGCCAAGGCACAGGAGCATCGTGCGCGGATCGAGGCCTTGAAGAACCAAGATCTTTTTGCTGAGTTTGCCACCACTGAGCTCGATGAGGAGGACAGTGCATTGATGGGCGCTTTGCAGGAGGACAGCAAGCGCAATGTTTTAGTTGAGATTGACGATGATATTGACGCTGACAAAATTGCCGCGCTGGCCGAAACGGAGCTCCCTGAGGGGGTTTTTTTGGGCAGCACGGAATCCTTACCGGGACTGCGTGAGCACGCCAACTTGAAGCCAGACCGCTTGATTGACACATTCACCATGATCAACCGTGCCAAACTCAGCTCCTCGCAACATTCGATGACCTCGGAGTTTTCCACCCTGTTTCGCAAAGCTCTTCAGATCATCAGCTTTAAGTATCGATCTCATCGCCCGCTGCTTGTGAGCAATTTGCGTTGGGACGTGGCCATGCCTGAAACATCAGATGTACAGGTATATCAAGCGCTTTGGTCTAGCAGGCGAAAGAGAGGGGAACGGTGGGCTGTCATTTGTGTGTAGCGAACCACGATGATAAAGGGCCCAGCCACATACACCTCATGACTCACTGTCTGCCTCATACCTGACGTAGGTGGTGGTCACAGCCTCAATTTTTACCCTTCGCCCCCTTCGCGAGTCCCGCACCCAGACCCAATCGCTCTCCGACGACGGTAGGTCAATGGCAGATGTTACATTGGCTTTAACCGTACGTGCCAAGCGTCTCTCAAATGAAATCCATGCCGGTTTATGCTGGATTGATGTGTGGGTAGAGCTCGAGTTGACGCTCAACTCACATGGTAACCAGCTGGGTTCGGCCCGCTCGGTCTGGGTAACGCAGCTCAATGAGATTCCAGGTGTGTGTGTCGGTGGGTGGGTGGGTGGAAAGGGGAGGGAAGCGGAGTTCTGGTCAATGTGCATGGAGGCAGGTCTCTTTCCATGGGTACTTGCGCGCATTCTTGGCTTCACGTTTGGCGAGCTTATTTGGGTCACCGTGGCAGACTGTCAAACCTTGCAGCACTTGGGGCCCGTCATTATCTACCTGATCAAGGAAACAACAAATCTCAAGGCCGACGGCGGCATCGGGCAGTTTGTGCAGCACTTTATTCGTGAAGTACTGGCGGTTGCGCGTGCCGAGGTTGCAGGCCGTGGCGGTAACGCTTTCGTGGTAAGCCAAAGGCGCAATGGCTAGCTTTTAGAAATGTGCCAACATTGCCGTTGGCCTGACGTGCTCCTAAACCGCTTCATTTGCTCTTTGCGTGACCATTTATTCATTGATTTTTCTTTTTGCTCCAGGGATATCGCATCAAGGACTTGGATATTCTGGACAACCAGTCCAAAAACCAAGGTCAATGCCTCATTGCATTACAGGGTGATGCGCTTTTAGTGGATGAGGAAGGCGGTACTGAGCTCATGCGAGCCGTAGAGATTGCTGAAGAGGAGGAATTGTTGTCACCTCAGCAAGATCCGCCTCTCTCTGGGTCTCGAGGCGGTGCGGAGGCTGTTGATTCCGAGTTCAGTATCTCAGATCTCGCATCGCCACCTCGACGTGAGGAGAGCATTGTGTGATGGGAGGCTTTGCCGTTTCGGGTGATATCCTGAGCTCAACCTATTTACTCGGGATGAATGCAGTGATCCATGGTCTTTCCTCGTCTTTGATTTGAACAAAACCCCTTTGTACAAACCCCCGAATGTGTCAACGTGGTCCCATGCCCTCTCAATCAGAATCAATCGTCTCAATTATTCGTTCATGGGTGTCGATGGAGCAAAGCCTTGCGGAGGTTCAATACATGAGACCCTTTCAGCAAGACAAGTAACATGGGTGGCCAAAAAAACCACAGGAAACACAGAGGAAGAATACAAAGGACACAAACACAGCAGGTGCTGGCCCTGGACGAGTCGTGTGCTTGCGCCACCACACAAACCTCTCTGTCTCAACGAGCGCTGGCACAAAAGAGCAGAACTAATGTTGCCAGAATGTATTCCAGTCGTTCTAGTTCAGCAGGCACGACTCGTAGGTGGGAATCATGTATTTGATGTTGATGAAGGCATCCTCACCACCCGTCTTCTCAAAGGCTTCAAGCGTCTCCTCGATGAGGTCACCAATGTTCTCGCGCTTGCGCTGACCATAAGCAATGGCGTCGCCCAAGGTTTCTGTCATCCAAAGGTTGGCGTTAGGGTAAGCCGAGGACATGCTGAGCCACGCAGACAACAACTCTGAATTCGGATGGCAAGTCGCACCGTTCTTCGCCTTGAAAATGTTGAGCACCGGTAGAATCTGACGATAGTATGGCACGAGAGCTTCGCCAATGAATGGAGCGCAGTAGACCAGCTCTTGCAGGATTTTGAGGATGCGAGCCACCACGACAGGATTGCGCGTGTTCAAGGCGTCTATGTGTGACCCAGGTGAGAACCAGGTGTAGGAGTGAGGCGCAAGGTTTTGGCCAGGGAAAAATATAAGAAGGAAGAAAACCTCGCTGGGTCCTGTGCAAACTGATGTTTTGCGTACTTTTGATGGGAATGATGAGCTGGGGAATGACGGGGAGAACCTTGCTGCCACCAGCCTTGAGCATGTCCAAAACACCTTGCTCGGCAAAAAAGTCGTAAGGATGCTGGGTTTCGCACAGGCCATCGAAGAAGAGGGGCAGGTAGTGATGGAAGTCCAACTTCTCAATCTCAACCTGGCGGGAAAAACAGTGAGTTCAGGTTTGAGGTAGAGTCGGGCAGCAGGGACACAACTGTGGCAACTGTCTTGCGCGGAGAAGTGTGTGCCGGTTGTGACAGGTGACGGGCATACCTTCCATTGGATCTTGTTGCCCTTGGTATCATGGCCGAGGGCAATGGGAAAGTCGCCACGTTCGTAGAAAAAACGAAACTGTGTCGGCTTTGAGGATCGGGGCGAGAAGGCGGTTGCGCTCTATTTCGTGCCCAACGGTGCACAAGCGACAATAAGACATGGAGCTGTCAGAAACGCACAGCGCTCACCACGGTGCGTGTGGCCGTTGAGTATAGGACCGTACCTTGGACGCCATTGTGAACGGTGATTACAGAACGGGGTGAAGCGAGAAGGCGCGAGGGGTCCCACTGCTGAGACCTTGACAGCCCAGAGACAGCTAGCGAGACGCGAACCCGGTTTGGCTCGACACCTCCCAAGTACCAGTCAAGAGCAAGAACGCAGTGTCGAAAACCCACGTCCTCGATACGAGTATGCTTGCAATGGCCGTGCTCTCCGTCCGTCACGAATTGGCAGTCGCTCGCTCAGTCCGTGCGTCGTCTGTCTGGCTGTCTGGTGAATGAGGAGTATGAGAGAGTAGCTCTGCTCGGTTGCCTTGACGTTGAGGTTGTCAAGGGCTTCTAGCAACTGTATAGAGATGGAGGTGGTTTTTACTGTTCAGGATGATACAGTAATGAACCCTCAAGAGAAATTGTCAGAACTTTTTTGAATTGTCGACAAGAAAATGGCCCATAGCAGCAAGAGCACACACACACACACACACACACACACACACACACACACACACACACACACACACACACACACACACACACACACACACACACACACACACACACACTTTTGAAGTCCAGTAGAGCGCTTAATCGTGTCGGATGGTGACGGCGTCCAGGGGCAGGAACATGTCATGTTGTTCCAGATACGCCGTGGCTTGGCGCTGCAGCTCCGCGTCATCAACCTGGACGTGTAGGAAGGGATATGGTGCACTGGTTGGCCCAGCAACGCAATCGGTGGCGGCCAGTGTCATGCCGTCGTCGAGTGCGCCGGCAGCGCCACAGACCACCAGCTCCTGAGACGCCAAATCCGGTACTTTGGCTATCAGCAAAGCCTTGAGCTGACCCGCTGTCACAGCTGCCACATCATTGGGCAGCGCCAAGTCCAACCGATCCATCCGAAAATTAGGATCCTTGCTCAATGGCCAATGCACCACCACGGTGACTGTGGACATGTCAGGCATATCGTATCGTTGGTTCTGTAAGCAGCTTTGACCAATGAAACCAATTCATCAACGCTGACAGTGAGTAGAAGACGAAGAAGAAGAAGATGAAGAAAGAAGAAAATGCCACACTGGCAAGCTCGTACATAGCCTTGCCTCCCGGCCCCTCATCGTACAGTTGCGCTTCGGCTCGCCGTCACTGACAGAGGCAGGCGACCACAGAGGCATGAGAGTAAACCTTTTGTTCACCCTTCTGTGCCAAGTCAAATCTTTGTCTAACAGAGTATTGTTTTCAAAGCGTTTTTCAGCGTAAACTGATACAAATTTCTTCAAAGTTGGCCATTGAAGTTGAAACAGTTTTCCCGCCAAAAACAAAGAACTGATCAGGTTGGTCCAGTCAGTCGGTGCCGAGCGCAAACCCGGTCCCGGGATGGCATCCCTTTCCACACCGTCCGAATGCAATGTCTCTTTTTGCTGTGTTTGTTCCTCTCTGCACATTCTTGTGCAGAGAAATTGAAGAAGAGGGTTGGGGTGGATGGGGCCAAAGGGTCGTTTTCTTGCCGTGCAGTTTTGCGCGCGCGATCGTGGCGTATTCTTGGCTCATGGTGTTGCGCAGTGCACCTGTTTTGCTCGCTGGCTAGCTTTCCTGTTCTTTGCAACAACCAGTCATGGCTGATTCTGAGGCGCCCGCTGTCAAGCAAGGAGGCTGGGGCGACGACAAGGCCAAGACCTCACGGTACGCCCCTGTGTCGGGCCGTCGCTCTGCCGTCGCCGACGTCCAGCCCCACCCTTTGCACCTCATGTTCGATGCATTGGATTTGCGCGCCTTCACAGCCGCAGCAAAGCTGAAGAGGATCAGGAAGAGTACGTGACTCCTCGTGAAGAGTTTGCCACCACCTTGACCGATTATGGTTTTTGCCGCCGTCTTTGAGCCCGTCGTGTGTCAGATTCGCTTATCGTGTTTGTTTTTGGGCGACGCTAGTGAACGTTTGACCATGACCACGGTTCCAGGCGTCGACGACGACGAGGCCGATGAGTCGGATGATGGTGCGCATCATGAAGTCGACACTTGCTTGCGTGCTACTCGATTGCGCGGACTTCACGATGTCTGCCTCGGTCTTTGTGGTTTGGTTTGGTTTGTGTTTATTTATTATTTTCCTTTTTTTTTTTTTTTTTCTTCCTTGTGTATTAGAAATCCCCACCATCCCTGAGGCTGCTCAAGAAGCAGATCAAGAGGCCGACATCACCACTCAAATTGCTGAAGCTCCCAAGTAGGTACATGCAGGGCTTGACCTGACCTTTGGACATGACTTAAAGCGATGCGTAATGCACCAAGCACCTCAGCCTCATTTCGTGCGGCCGGCTTTGCTCCGCAGTGCCAAGATTCAAATCACAACCATCGCCGATCTCGACCGTGACTTGGAGGCAGGCCTGGATTTCACCAAGACCGTGAGTCATTTTTCCGCGCACCCAAATCGCCGCAGGTCAGGCAAAGGCTCATGGATGCAACCTGACTCACAGGAGGGTGGGATCGACTTGTCGGCCCTCGCCAAAAATCTGACGCCCAAGGAGCAGTTGCTCGAGGTAAGAAGCAGTGCTTTTTCAATCTGTCCTTGATTCTTCCTCCTCCTGTCCCCCTCCCCCTCCCTCTCCTCCGCCTCGTTCGGGTCCGGTTCTCGAGGATAGCGCTCTGTCTTTTGCTCATATCCGTGGTCTACGTTCAGACGGATGAGGCATGGGACTTTGTGCACCTCTTCACGCAAATCAAGTCGGAAATTTCTGGCGAGGAGGTAAGGTGGATGGCGCCTCACCGGCTCATCCCGCCCCTGTGCAAGCAGCGAAACACGGGCCCTTACATCGCCCTCATGCCTCTGCGTCTTCCTTATCAATTCAGGAAAAGGAAGCCAATACAGCTCTGTCGGCTTGAAGCCGGCCTTTGCATGTTCGCAATCCTAAGCCTCTATCACTTTTTACCGCAGCTCAGGCTACACTGGGGTGCAGCTCCGTGTTTTTCTCATTACTGAACCTGTGCCTGGACCCATGCACCCTTCAACTTGGTGCTCAATCGGCCCCAGAGCGATTCTCAGAGCAGATCTTGCGGTCCCAGCATGGGGGCGCTCTCAGCCTGTGTATCATTGTCCAAATATTCCTCGTCATCGTCGTCCTCTACCTCCTGCCTTTGCTTTGGACTGGGCTCCAGCATGGGCCAGCTTGTCTCCTCGACCGCCGCGCGGTCGTTGTTTCCCTCGTCCACGTCCACAACGGTTTGGTGGCGGCCACCCGCTGCCGGCGTTGGTGCATCTTCGTCAGAGTCCTCCGTCTCCGGCGTTTCGTGCCCTGGACGTCCTGCATGTGGCACCTATGTGCACCCATGGCATGCATACTCCAGTGAGACTAACACATTCACCTGGTTTGGCGGAACAGAACTTTGCTTGCATCAATCGAAAACAACTCTGACTATGCTTTTGCGCTCTGATAGCGTGTATCCGCATGTCATGCTGAGCCTTGTCTGAGCCTTGTCTGAGCCATACCTGCCAAATATTGACCCACAAACTCTCTTCGTTGAAGTCTACGGGATGAACCACGCCGTCCTCCATGCTGCCATGCCACCACGAAGGGGTATCAGCTGAGTACAGGTCGGTTGAACTAACATGTAAATATTCAACAGAGAGCCTAGTAGCAGCACAAATGATGGTACCTGCTAAGAACGGGAAAGAACCACCAAAAGACGGTTGGCCCGCACACAGTTTCAATGTTGCGTCGCGGCGAGCCGCGGTCAAACCCGCGCCGCCGCGCCTTCGCCACCATGGGAGGGCCTCGTGCAGACTCTATCAAAAGCATGTCCGTGGTCAGGGCTAACGTCCAGAGCTAACATCAAAGTGTCGATCCTTGCATGGCAAGCATGGGGAGGACCAACCGATGGTGGTCCGATTGGCGCGCAAGAGGGAGATATGGAGGGCTAAAAGGCCACCGACGCTCAGTGTGAACAAAGAAGCCGTCAAGCAGACAAAGCCGATTTGGATGCTTGCATCCAATGTTCCCTATTTAAAATCACATGCCGTTGTGAACCAGTTGCTGACAGTGTCTCACTGCTTCCACTGGAGGAGCAGGGCGGGTCGGCAAGCGCCAGTACCTGGGCAATAGCCAATGCATAACGTGCAGTTGTGGCAGCCACGTAAACCAAGAAAACGGTTGCGTAGCACAGGAAAAGGAAGAAATACTTGTAGTTGTGGTGCCCAACGCAGTTGCCAACCCCTGTGGCAGGCAGGGCACACACGCGCGCATGAGCCTGGGTGAGGAACGGCATCTTACAGGCGCAGCATATGGTGGCCGCTGCCACAGGGCAGCTCCGAAAGATTCCCAATACATCAGGCGGGCACAATGACGTACACGGACACTGCATGATTTGTGGCCCCGTCACATGGATGCATGAAGGCAGTACACAGCGAGCGCAAGTGAGTGCAGGGCTTCGTGCCATGGTGCGCATGCATCGAACCGGAACGCACGTGGTGGTCAAACTTGAGAATGCACCGACGGCAAAGCGAGCAGTGCTTGCAGCGATCCGGCTTGATGATGCGACACTGCCGGCACCATCGGAGCCCTATTGGCAGATGCATGCACGGCATGACAATACAATGTTGCAATGCTCAACGGCCACACGCTGACAGGGTATGCTCATGAGGGGTCTGGTTTTCCCCTTGATAGCAACATACGTCCGACACCATCGTGGGTCAAAATGGGCAAGCGACGTGTGCGCAATGACTCCGGCACGCGACCCTATCACACATTCACGTGGGCCGGGGCGACAATCCTTCATTAGATACAACACCACATCAAGAAAGCACGCTGGGGCCGGAGCAAAGTGTTGTGGCGGTCGGTCAAGCCAACGCACATCAGCCAAGGCCTCAAGTTCATCATCGGTCAGGTCAAACTATGGCATTGCACCCAAATGGCAAATGCGTCGCGCGTGAGGACAAACTCGCCGCTGGCTTTAGCCTTCATGTCGAGCAAGATTTGAGCACCGGTGAACGAGCGTACCTCTGGAGGTATCTCACTGGCTGGGGTACCGAATGCGCGCAGATAGCTCCACAACAGCATGGCCGATAGCACATGGTAGAGCAGCCCGTACACGACGGCCAAGAACGGCGTGCTGATGGCCTGCGCACACAGCCGGACCACGTAGACATAGTAGCTCCAAACCCACATGGCCAGCACAAACCCCACCGGCAGCCAGCTTGCCACACGCGTGAGCGTGCGATCGCAAGCTGCCCACCATCCCGTCGCTGGTGGCCGCGCCATGCTTAATCCGCCCCGCTTCGAGGAGAGCCGCGACCGCCGTCCTGTCCGGTGCGTCGGTCCGTCAAGCACACCTTGTCAGAAGAGGCCCTTTGTCCAAGATATATGCGACACAAAGTCATATATTTACGACTTCTTCTTTTCTGATGTTTACTGTAAATATCATGATATCACCAGGAATATCTGCATCAACTCAACGAATCAATACAAATGTTAGATGTACTCGTCCGTGCTGATAATTCGCGCCAGAATGTCAGACGTTTTGCACGCGAAAGACGTTCTCTCTCTTTCTCTCTCAAAAAAAATTTTTTTTCGAACGAACGAGTGTCCCACCTGCATGCAACCTCGTGCTCACCGGGTTGGCGTGATAGTGGTGGCGGTGGTGGCGGCAAGGTTGCCACCATGTTGTTGATGGGACGGCGCGTAGTGCGCGCCGTGGCACAGTCGTCTTTCACGCGTCGATCCGTGCACAATGAGCCCGACTTGCTACGGCTTGGCGGTGTGGAGGCGCGCCGCAACCCGGCTGCAGGCCAAACCCGCTTGCCTGTGCGCTTCTTGCCAGCACCTCCAGCGCAGAGCCCCGCGTTTCTCCGCCATCTTCGTTGGATGCTACAAAAGGTGCATTGCATCGGCTGGTGGCCCCAGCTGCTGTGGTAATAGCAGCGCATGCTCACCGCAGTGGCATCTCATCCTCGTATGCTGTGCGGGCACGTCCATGTTCATCAGGATATCCTGCGCCAAGATATGTTTTTGATTGGCCCGCCAGGCGCAGCACGACGGCGCCTAGCCCTAGCCTTTTGTGAAGCTCTTCATCGCGAGGTCGAATACGTGGCGCTCACGCGCGACACGACTGAAAACGATCTTAAGCAACGCAAGGAGCTGCGCGGCAACGCTGTGGTGTACGAAGATCAGTGCGCCGTTCGTGCAGCTCGACATGGTCGCGTCCTTGTCCTCGACGGTAGGTTGGGGGTTGACACTGCTGCCCAGTCTCATGATTTGCTTTCTCCACTCGCATCACAAACGATTCTCACCTCGCTGTGCATGATCTTAACGTCGGCGGGGGGGGAACATCTTCCCTGCGGATGTTGCGCTCGAACGACCGTGCCATAGGTATCGAAAAAGCGGAGCGTAACCTGCTACCTTTGCTCAACAATCTCTTGGAAAACCGCGAGATGCACTTGGAGGATGGCACCTTCCTTGTTTCTCCCGAGCGCTACAAGGTCCTGCAGGGCAGCATGTCAGAGGCACGTGCAAATGCATACCAAAATTCAGTCATTCTTGCCCTCTCGACCCGCACATTCCTCTACCTCAATGCTTCTCTTCCACTGCCCCATCTCATCTTTCCCATCTTTCCCATGCAATGTTGCTCCCAAAGGCTGACTTCAATGCCGCAAAGCTCATCCCAGTGCACGAAGATTTCCGCGTCATTGCTCTCGGTCTTCCATCGCCCCCCTACCCTGGCCACCCTCTCGACCCGCCCCTACGATCTCGCTTTCAAGCTCGATGGATTGATGGACTGGCCGACGAGCACTTGCGGCAAAAGTTGGCCCAGTTTCCACGTGCTAAAGCTCTCTCTGTGCGTTTAAGGATTTCTTTGCCATTGTGCTCCATGCCGCCTTTCTTTGCAACCCTGTCACTATCACCACGTTGCCTGGCTAAAGAAAGGTAGCAGCTGCCTGGCTTTGCTCACGCTAAACCTATTGCAGGATTTTTTCGCAGCTGTACCATTTCTCAACAGTGACACCAAGTTGCAGCGCGCTAGTACAAGTGGACTCCAGTTGCCTGTGGCTGCCGATACAGCCCATCTCCGGCTTGCTGAAGCAGCTCGACTCTTGGGCTCTGATTTCGATCCTCATGCCGCTTTGCTGCACGCGCTGCCCTATTCGCTGATGACATCACCCGCTGGAGCTGCTTTATTGCGTGATGGACTACAAAGCTTTCACGTTACCCCGATCCAAAAGCTTCGGGCAGAGCTCATCCACTCCCCCAATCAAGTCAGTCAGCTTTGCAGCACCCTGTTCCTTCAACCCTTGCAGCTCTCGCGCGCCACCCAAGTTGTTGCACGTTGACTCAGCATCCTCCACCCTTCTCCCTCGCTCACGTTTTGCATTAAATTATTTATACATACACATATATCTACCCGGATATTTTTTTGTCTCACACATCTTGGTTCATAAACTTCAACAGCCAGCAATATTGCGCACGGCACATGCAGAAGTTGCTTTGTCGTCTGGCTCAGGCCCCGCTCTCGAATCACATCGCCCTGCATTCACAAGCTTACCCGCGCATGAAGACCTTCTTCAAGAGATGTTCTTGTCCCATGCCACAGGAGACCTGTGTCTCGTTGGTATGTACCGGACATGGCCACCTCTTTACCATGAATATTGGCGCGGCCTTTCTCACATCTCTTCCACGCATGTTCTAAGGTCCAAGCGGCTGCGGCAAAAGCATGGTGGCTGAAGAGTTCTGTCGCCGCCTCGCTATTCCCTTTGATGAACTCTTGCTGCACAAGGTTCGTCATCGTCTCCAACCACTGTGTCCTGCGCACCGTACTGTCAAAGAGCCCCCCAACACGCAGACCTATTCACTTTCACATTGATGGCAATTCTGATGGCTGATAGGAATTGACGCTTCGCGAGCTACTGCAAACTCGCACAACCGACCAGGCTGGCAATTCCTGTTGGCAAGATGCCAAACTAGTTCAAGCTGTGAAAAATGGCCGGTAAGTCGGGTCTTGAATTGCCCAAGAGATGCGATCGCTCGCGGAGCACTAGGCCTTGCTTTGTGCTTGACACTCCAGCTGATACAATTGCTGTTTAACGTTTTAGGGTCGTCCTGATGGATGGCATTCATCGCCTGCATCCCTCGGTGCTGGGTGCCCTGCAGTCATTGATTCATGATCGTGATTTTCACTTGCCCAGTGGTACCCATCTCATGAGCCGGTCAGAGATTCTTGAATGAAAGCTCTGAATACCCTGCCAACCTGCCAATCTGCCGAGACTGCTGATCGTGACCGCTGTTTGCATTACACTAGGGAGCGCTGGGAGGCCTTGGCTGAGCTTACAGGCCTCGATCCGGCCAGCCCCACTTTGCACGGTTTGTCCGCAACCCATTGAGAATCAGGCCAGGCCTTGGGCCTCCGGCGCAGGTGAAGGCTGGTGTTGTGCACTTGTGTGTGTGTCTTACCATTGGTTTCCTCCAGGGGTTGAACTGATACATCCGAGTTTTCGTATCGTTGCGTTGGCTGAGCCAGACATCAAGGGTGCGTCAGCGCTGCTTCGGAGGCGCTGAACAATAATTTGAGTGCCTGGCATCACAGCACCCTGCTCCTCCATAACTGACATGGTCGTATGAGTGCAGGCAAGAACTGGATTACAGAAGAGATCGCCTCCCTCTTCGAATGGCATATCTGCCAGCCCTTGTGCAAGGAGGATCAGCTAGCCTTGCTAGGCAATACCGGTATGCCAGGGTCTCCACTCACCTGCATCTTACGCCTTTTTTTTGCCAGCTTTTGCGAAGCGCACATCCCTTCGTCACACGCAGCGCCTGCTTGATATTGCTTTGTGGCTGGATCTAGGCCTAGACCCCGAGGCAGCCGTCCGCATTCATGGTGCCATGCAGCGATTGCATGATGGTGCAGGGGATGGTGTTTTGGCATCATCGCTCAAATTTTCGACCCGAATGATGCTGCGCATTGCCCACCGTGTTGCTCTTTTTGATGGCGTGGACCTTCGTCGCGAAGTATGGCTGGTCAAATGTTGTGCCGACCCGGCTGTTGTTGCTTGTTTTTCCTCCCGTCACTTCCAACCACCCACCATGTCTTATGTAGATTGAGCGTTTGACCCTGGCCAAGTACTTGCCCAGTGTGGTGCGCGATGAATTGCAGCGACTTTTGCCTCCTGCGTAAGAAAAAAACTCTATGCGTTGATCCACATTGTTTGAACTTCTTTCCGCATGGTTTCTGTCTTTTTTGCCACTTGCATCGCTGTTGGCAGATGCAGCGGGGTTTCCATGTTCATATTCACGAAGCATCTCCTGGGTGCCCATTGGTAGCTCTGATTTACAGTTGGATGTCCCAACCCTCGAGGTTACGGATGCTGCCGTGCGGATTGGTGATGTGTCCTTGCCCATCAAAAAGGATGGTGACACCTCGCGTGTGCCCCATGTGGGTAGACCATGCGCATACAGCCTCTGTTCGAAAGGCTCTGCTCCTAACCTTCCTCTCCAGTCTGAAACTGCTCATTGCTGATCAATGCTGCATCCTGTGTCGCTGGGCCTAAAACACTGCACAGACGGTCTTCTATCCAAATGAATCACACCTTCGAGTGATGAATGAAATCATGAAGGATTTGATTTCCGGTACTACTTTGCGCTTGGATTTGCTGCTGAATCGGCTCTCGTCGATGCCGCTCACCGTCCTTTGGTGACGTGGGAATGCAGGTGAACCCACGCTACTTATTGGCAATCAGGGCGTCGGCAAGAACAAAATTGTCGATGGCTTGCTTCAGCTTTTGCAGCGACCCCGGGAATATCTGCAATTACACCGAGACTCTACCGGTCAGACCTCAAATAGCCCCTACTCTACCTTATCCGTGTGTCCGTCCTTCCGTTTGGTTGCTTTTTTCCGAACACCGCATCACTCGCAATCATTGTGCTCCTTTCTGCAGTTGAATCTTTGAGCCAGACGCCGACGATTGAGAACGGCCAACTTGTGTATGAGGATTCACCACTCATTCGAGCTGTGCGAGAGGGCAGCGTGTTGGTGATCGATGAAGCTGACAAGGTAACCAACACCATCGGGCCATCCCCATTCTTATGATTTTACGTTTGCGCCTTTTTTGTCAGCAGCTGGTATTTCTTGTCTGTGTCTCTGTGCCTGTGTCTCTCTGCCTATGTCTCTCTGCCTGTGTCTCTCTGCCTGTGTCTGTCTGCGCCTATGGTGGTTTTGGATTCTTATTTAGCAGAATTTGGTCCTGTTGCCGTTGTGCGCCCAGAGCCTTGTCTGCTTACCATGGGCATGATTGTGCTTTGCGGCAGGCATCAACCGACGTCACTGGCACGCTGAAGACTTTTGTTGAAACTGGTCTTTTTCACCTGCCCGACGGGCGCATGATTGTACCTCATGGAACAGCTGCTTCAGACGCCCAAGCCAATGAGATACGCACCCATCCCGACTTTCGCCTCATCGTCCTAGCAAATCGACCAGGCTATCCGTTTTTGGGCAACGACTTTTTCAGCACACTAGGTGACTTGTTCAGCTGCCACGCCGTCGAGAACCCGGGCCGGGAAGCTGAACTTAAAATGTTGCAGGTAGGCATGTACACCTTGCGATGAAGCGCACCTTGCCTCCAAAGGCCTGTCCCTGCCTTGCGCCATCAGTTTGACCTGTGCCCATATTTTGGTGTCTGGGCCTCTCTGTCACCCGATAGGCCTATGCACCAGCCGTCGATGCCTCGGTTCTTGAGAAGCTAGCTTCAGCGTTTGCTGAGCTGCGACAAATGTCTGAAACAGGACAATTGGACTATCCCTTCAGCCTTCGCGAGGTCTGTGGGGTGCACCAAGCCTATGAACCATGCTATTGTAGCTTCTGGCGCATTGAACCTAATGCCACTGCGCTGATGATTGATTCCTGTACATGGTAGCTTGTGAGCATTGCCCGTCACATTAATGCTTTCCCTGAGGATGGCGTCGAGGGTGCCATCAACAACGTTCTTGACTTTGACAGCAAGTCGATTGAAAAGCGCAACAAGGTACGTGCATTCTCGACCCAGTTGCTGGCCGCCACAAGACTAGGAGTTGCCTTGTTGGATGTATCAATCACACTTGCCTCTTTTCTTTGTTTGTTTGATTGATTGATTTTGGGCTATCAGGTTGTTGAGATCATTCGCCGACACGGCGTCCCATACCACGGAACCGGCCAGATCCGCCTGCAGCCTCTCAAAAAGTTTGGTCCATTTCAAACAACGTATGTTCGTTTGCAGGCATGGCCCCGATCAAACCCTGGAGTGCAAGCGCTTTCTTCTTGGTTTTGCCATAGCCGCCAGCCTCACAACATGCTGTGCCATGAACAGGACTCCTGTTGAAATGAATCCGGTTGTTCTCGCAAGACAGGCCATTTCAGTAGGCCGCGCCAAAGTCAGCTAAAACAGCTTGCGGCCCATGTGCAAGCCACTGCTGCGAGTCTTGTAGTCAAATCATCTTGTTTGCTCATTTTATGACGGCACCAACTGGTATTTTGGACAATTTGATTGACAGCGAACGATTGTTAAACCAGTCAAGGAGGAACCGTCTTTTTTAGACCCGCGCTGGCACAGCCTAACTGAGGAAGAACACATCCTCAAGGTGGGACCTCAATGTGGGTGGCTCAGTCATACAACCATGTTTTTACCCCAACTCACTGATGCCGTATGTATATGGTCTAAAACATTTTCAGCCGCGACTTGCAAGTTGGCATCAGCAAGCCGCACAGGTTGTGCCGGTGGATGACCACCGCCTTGCCGTTATGTTCCGCAATCCATCTACCATCCTAGTCACCGGCTCCGACAGGTCTGTTTTCGTACCCTAATTGACACCATCACGCACTTAACTTTCGCCCTCAGGTGCTTACGCTGCTATCCACCCAAATAGGCGTGCACTTGACAGTTTTGAGTTGCCCTTTTTGGGACGCTACGAGGAAATGAGCGCTACTGCTTCCGGTCTGTAGCTGTGTAGTTGGTCGGGGCACACGGCGATCTCTTGGCAGATCTGTGAGATTTTTCTCATCGTGCCTGTCGTGATTTGTATGTACAATTCCAGGTTTAGCGATCACCTTGCCCAAGCAAAATACGGTGGCACACTTGGATTGGGATGGAAGTTTGCACCAGTACGTGTGATACTCTCGCTTCTTGAACCAATCTGAGCACCACAGCTCCTTGCTTGTTGACCCCGGCTCATGAATCCATTGCTGTTCCACATCACATGCTTTTAGGTGGTCATTCACCGGGGCGCTGAGTGCTGTGCGTGACTTCATCTTTGCATCGTCCAGCAACACTGCACAGACCCATCCTTTGCGCTTGGCTGCAACAAACTGTGCAACAAAAGCCCCCGACCACTTGGCTGTCTTTTGGGAGGGCAAGCCTCAAGTGCAGGTTATGAGTATGTATGCCTGCTGCCGCCTACCCTTGCGCTCGTGCCAGTGAGAGAAATTAGATTGCTGATCAATGCCCCTCACGTCCTGATCCTGAACTTGATCCCCAATGGTTGTAGCCCCCCGCGATCCAGCTGCCCATGTCTATACAGCCCCTTGGCGTGCGTTTTCTAGACCAGGCAACCCAGTTGTTCCCCAGGCTGCAAGCATGTTGCAGCACGTTGATCTTCCCTCATCCTCTTCCGGGCGTTCATGAATGCCATCTTGTAGCCATCAGTCGTGCACAGTGGCTGAATCCAACGCAGCTCTTGTTGGAAGGCCATCATGGCGGTGGAGCGTCGTTGGTCAAGTTGGATATCACAAGCGGCCAGGCTGTCGAGCTGACAGGTGCGCTGGGTGGGGCGGGGCCATTTCACTGTCCTCTCGACCGACCACACATGCGCTCTTGTTCGAGCGCACACGCTGGCTCACCGACAGAACCTATGCCTCACAGCTTTTGGCAAAAACTATTGGGCTTCAAATGATGGTCAAGTACTGTTTGGTGAAGATCCAACCACCGGCACGGTGATGCAAGTGGACACGGGTGAGGGAAAGAATTTTGCAGCATTTAGACGAACCATGCTTGACCGCACTGTACGCCGCCGTGAGGCTGATGGACGTTGACGTTTTGTTAGAGAGTGGCGCGACAACTGCGTGTGCGGTGTCAACGGCATCGCCACCACATGCCTTTGCCAGCAGCAATGGAATGGCTACCTCGCTTCATAGGACAACTGATAGCCTTGACGATCAGGTGAGGGTCCTGTCGCTTTTTTTATTTCTCAACCTTTCGTTCCCGCGCACGTGCAGGTGCTGCCTGTGAGAATGGCCCAGGCTGGCACCTAACCCGCTCGCATGCCCACGTGTCTAGCCGACCGAAGTGTTGCGCGTGCTTGACTCTGTCACATGCACCGAGCAATCCATTCCTTTACCCCCCTTGATGCAAGAGTGAGTGAAATTCAATCTCTTTACGGCTCGTGCTCAACCAGCCGATGACCACTGGCTGGGGGGGGCGGCTGTGGGGCAATCGAAGGCTGCTGGTTCATCCAATACTGACTGAATACTGTTCAGATCATGCCCCGCCGTAGACGTAACCGCCTTGGGCTCGAAAGTTGCCGTAGTGATGCAAAATGGTACCATCCGTTGGTTCGCCGCCCAGCCTGACCCTACGGTTGCAGACGCCTACCGAACAATGGTAGGCATGCGTTTGCTCATAAGTCGTAGCTTTTTAAGCAAGCTGTCCCCGAAGCTTTTATGTTTCGTCCAACCCAATACTGTTCTTTAACTTGGCTGTGCCTTCCAGGTTGGCCAAGCAGCCACAGATGGCCCGCTTCGCATGGAGTATGACCGCTACTCGGGTTTGGATACATCTGGACCCAAGCACGGTGAGCACTCGATCTCGAGAGACACGCCCACGGAAGGCTTTTGCAACCTGTATCATGCCCGCCTCACAGTGGAAGGGCCCGCGATGTGCTATGCTTGCAGGCAAAGTGGATGAGAAGAATCAGCCCCACGTAGGCGGTAACACTTGGGCAGGTGCGTTTGCTCATGCTGGACTCGGCTCCTGTCTCAGCTTGACCGGCTTCCAAGCAAACTTATGGATATTTCTGATTGGCTTCGATCTCTCACCTGGCCCGTGGCGTGGGCTGTTGGGGTGGCCACAGGTGGGACTGGAGGACGTGACACGGCTGGTCTAGGTATGTATCAGAATGAGCACAGTATTTGGTAAAGAGGTAGCGAGCGGCCCATCATAACTGCCGGCTTGCGACGCTGAATCTAGGGGGCAAAGGTGGTCCGTACCGCCTTGATGCCGGTCACGATATTCACCAACTGTCAGACGAAGAAAAGGCCGCCGTACCGGAACACATCCAGTACGGCCTATTACCATTTCTTCGCCACAAAACATGGAGCAGTGGCTTGGTCCTCGGGTATCGGAACCCCCACTGACAGACGCGGCGCACTTTGTTTATTTGTTTGCTTGCTTGCTTGCTTGCTTGCTTGATTTTTTGTGCTTCTCAACGCGACAGGGAAGCCGCTCGCGAGATGGGTCGCAAAGCATTTGCAGACCGCCTGCGCGAAATTGGCATGAGCGAGCATGAGGCGGAAGTTTATCATCGCTTTGTCGACTCGGTTCGACCGCAAATTGGCGAGCTTCGTGAGCTCATTGCAAGTCTTCGCAGCTCGGGCAAAGAAAGAGCGTGGCTGCGTCATCAAGCTCATGGCGATCTTGACGACAACAAACTCATTGACGGTGAGACCGGGTGCTGAATGACTTTTAAATAATTGCAGCCGGCGTTCGACGTAGCGTGCGATCCGCGCCTGAGCGTCTTGTCTGGTTCTTAGGTCTAGCGGGCGAGCAGGCTGTGTATCGACGCCGTGTGGAGCAAGAAACGGAGCACTTCGGAGAACAGCAGGCGCCTAAACGTGTGACTGTTTTAGCCGACGTCAGCGCAAGCATGTATCGGTAAGTCGACCGCGCCACAAACAAACTTTGCCAAGCCCTTGGCACCCCCATGTCTGGTGGTGATGCTTGTGACTGATCGTAATGTGGACTTTAGGTTCAATTCAATGGATCAGCGGCTGCAACGTGCTATGGAATGTGCGTGCATGCTTATGGAGGGCATGCGCGATGCCAACGAAGAGCGCCTTGCGTGGCAGCTGATCGGACATTCTGGAGACAGTGATTGGATTCCGTTTGTCACGGTACGTCAGGTCACCAGCAGGCTGTAGAAAAACTCGTGCCGGAGGAAGCTTTTGTGCGTTGACTGGCGTGGCATGAATGCCAGCCTCATGTGGCCCGTTTTTTCGATGCTTAGAACGAAACCAAACCCGCCTCGGATGCCGACCGTCTCAAGGTCGGGTCCACGAGCCGACGAGCCGACACGCTGATGCAACCATGCGTTTTACTTGTTCTGACCGCCAAAAAAGTACACAACGTTTCACGATTGATTATTTGTCCGCACGACGTGTCTTGCAGCTCTTGAAGCAAATGATGGCACACTCGCAGTTTTGTTGGCCTGGTGACAACACGCTGCCGGCTACGGCCAAGGCCATCCAACAGGTCCGCAGCCAATGTGGCCTGATGGTCGTACCAAATTCTGATCATGACCCTTGGTTTCTATTTGCTTGACATTTTGAGTTGCCCCAAGTGTAACAGACAACAAGAGCTTCTGGCGCACGCTCACCTCGCCCGTGTGCGAATTAGCTGGCCTCGGAAGAAGCAGATGAACGCTTTGTCATCTTGCTGACCGACGCTAACCTCGAGCGCTACGGCATCCCTGCGTCTGAATTGGCTCACATTCTCAATTCAGACCCTGACGTGAAGGCCTTCGTTGTGATGATTGGTGTGTTGGCCTTTTTCACCAACCTTTTGCCTGGACGATACAGATTAGAAATCCGACGCTACGTGGAGTGTGCTCCTCGGTGCCCCTTGTGCTTTTCACTGACCCCATTCTGACTTTGGGTGTGCTATGCATAGGCGGGACCCTGCACGACCAAGCCGAGACCCTTCGGCGTGAGCTACCAGCTGGCAAGAGCTTTGTGTGTCTTGAGACGCAGGATCTACCCAGCATTCTGCAGCAGATTTTTAGCACGGTCATTTAGGAAACCTGACTCTTCTCAATCGATGCTTGCATCCCAATGCCTTTCGAGTGGCCCGCACCGTCCACTCGATGTCCGTTTCAATTCGCTTGAGTGAAATTCTGGCGATAATTAAGCAAAAGAAGGAAGGTGTTGAGCCAGGTGGAGCACACTGCCACGCGTGTATTTGTTATGCCTCATCCAAAAGCTGGCGCGGAGGCAGAGGTGGTTTACTGGGCGGTGCCAAGGACCCAGCATCGCTAGCACGCCGAAGCCGGCGGTTGCCAAACAAGGACACTGTCGCAGACCGCGTGGGGCGCATGCCCGCGGCAGCCGGCGCCTCGTCCTCGATCAAAGCTGGCTGCACGGGCATCCACATTCGAGATGAACTACTAGCCCGACGTGCTGCTGGCGCCCGGGTGCTAGCCGCCCCGGATAAGGTGGCGCCGCGCACTCGTGCACCAGGGCCTGCCAAGTTTAAGCCACTCTGCATCGTTGATGGGCTCGCAGGGGCGGAGTGCGAAGCAGCAGCATGCGTTTGCCCGGAAGCAGCAGCTCTGGCCGCGGCCCGAGCCGCAGCCAACGGGCTTGGATCTGACCCTTGAGGTAAGCTCTGGCTCTGACGACGGCCCTCAAGGCGCTGCATGGTATTAGTTCGCTGTCGCATGGCCATCTCTAAGATGAAGGCAAGCCGCAGGAACGGATAGGAGAGAGTCGAAGGAGTGAGTTGGCTAGACATGCATTGCCGTGTTGCATGTGCTCTACTACCACGCACCGCGGGCATCTGGAGATGTTGACATCGTGGACGCCCGTTCGCGCACTTGAGACCATGGCGTGCTTGATGTTTGCTGCCAACAACCCACAGCAGAACGTGGAGTCAGGCCGTGAACAAACCAGTTTGGGCGGGTGTCATGGCATGAGCGGACCCTCACCTCAGCCGGCGCAAACTGGCGCGAGACGGCGTCGGCATGGCGAATCACCGCCTCGGCTTCGGCATGGAAGCCGCGTGCGATGGCTAGCTGCTGCAATTCAACCAAGCGTTTGCCTCGGCGCAACAAGCGCCTCTGCAGTGAATCGCGCTCCAGCTTGGTGTCATTCAGCTCGGAGAGTGCCTTGGCCAACTCCTACGCAGAAACAGGGTACTAATAAGCAAACATTTTTTTGGTTCAGGCCGAGGGTCGCTTGTGCATGAGCAGGATTGCATCATACACGACCACGAATGGATGATACGCACCCGGTTGGCCGCATCAGTCTGCCGGAGTGTAGCTTGCCGCTCCTCCTTCAGCTTGACAGTTTGACTCCATAGCATGTCTCGGGCTTCACATGCCTCCTGAGAATGTGCCGAGTCGTGAAAATATAAGTTCCACCCAGGAACAGCATCGATGGCTTGCATTCAAGACCTGCGGAGGCGGGGGAGAAAATGATTTTATATGTCATGACATGCTCGGCTAAATCACAAACCTCAAGATCAGCCCGCAGCTCAGCCAACTCTTCGGCTTGCTGTGCCAGCTCGCTCAGCTCTTGCTCCTCGGTGTCAATATCCAATGATTGGCACTCGCCCTCTGCGACGCCATTGTGCTCCGCATTATCCAAAGGCTCGTTCCCTTTCTCGGCCTCGAGCGCCGCCAGCTGAGAAAACTCGTCCAACCAAGCACCCGGACAAATTATCAGCAACAACCAGGCAGACGTCTAAAACGGGTGCGGGGCGTCGGACCAGGGCAGAGGACATGGGGTTGATTGAGGCCAAACCAACCTCCGAGGCAAGAGAGAGCGGGACGCCCAGCGTGACGCGCTCGCCTGTGAGCTGATCTGGCTCGCTGGACTCGGCTGGTTCACTTGGTGATTTGTCCAGATTGGCAGTGGGGTCCAGGGCAGCCAGGGCAAGCTCATCGGCCAGCGACCCGGACCCGCCCATGTCAGCACTGGAAACTTCGTTCTGAAATCCAGTCGCATGCTCCAAGGAGCGGCGTAGCTCTCGTTCTTCGTCCAACAAATCCCTTTCACAAAGCAAAGGGCACGGTTGAACACAGGGGAAGGATACGTGTACAAGAGCGGGCACGTAGACGGTACAAAAAGGGCCCATGGCTACACATGGCAATGCAATGAGTGCCGCATCATCATTTACCTCAGCCGGCTGATTTCCTCTTGGAAAGCTCGGGCCTGGGCCTCTGCGGCCTGGGCTGTGCGCTCCTGTTCTTGGGATAACTCTGCTTTGCGGCGCGAAGCCAGCGCCATCATGTCCTCAAATCGAGCAACATTGTCCTGGCGGTCTGTTGGGTCCAGGCCGCGTAGACCCAAGAGGGTGAGTTGAAGCAAGGGCTGGCCGAGCATAAGCCACTTCAAAACGTGTGACCAAACGCGACTGCTCTTTGCGGCTCTAAATAAATGTCATATGTGTCCGGGAGGAGCAAACAGCGAGCGGAGACACACCACGTAGTTCCTGCTGTTTAGATAAATAGGCCGCTTTGGCCTTTTGGCGAGCCTGAACGGCAGCGGCCGAGGTGGCACTGCTGATTGTCACGCGTTTTTGCTGTTCGGGACTGGTGTCAGCGCCGAGTTTGGTGAAGCTTCCTACAGAAAATGGCGGTGTTTGCCCAACTTGAGAGGCCCAAGGACGGCCACACGCCAGGGTGCCAAGGACAAGAAAAAACAAACCTCTGGGAGAAGGACTTTGGCGCCGCTGTTGAAAGTGCAGCTTGCGAATTTCCAGGTTTTGCTTGGAGATGGTACCCTGTGAAGATGGGCGATGGAGGTCGGTCAAAACACCCCAATTGTATGCAGGGCATTCGCAAGGCGGGTACAAACGCACCTGTGCCTGACGAAGCTGCTTGCGCAGGGCAGCAACTTCCTCACTGAGCTCCTATGATCCATGAGCGGCATCCCACCGCGATTATGCAGAGTGAGGCCGAGGCATGTGAGCCGTGCCTCGCCAGCGGCTGCGGGCCAGGCGGAACAACGAGCTAAACGGGAGGGAGGGGGCGTACTGCTTGACGTTGGTCGCTGTCATTTTGCTCCTCTTGTAGTCGGTCCAGGTCACGCATGCGCTTTTCAAGCACCAAAATGTGCTGGCGCTGGCTTTCAGCAGTCTGCTCTAGCTGCAGACAGGCCCGCTCAAGCTCATCCTGATGCTGTCTCGCGAGGGCTCGCTGCTTCTCGAGCTGCCGCTGCAGCTCCTCGACCTCGGCCTGCAGTTCCTCCTCGGCGCTCATGGCGATGCGCGTCGCCGATGATGTCGTACACTATTGCTACCAAAACACTGTCCCCTTGCCCCTTGCCTTGACCTCAAGCCCAATCCCAGAACACCGGCATTGCGCGCTCACGATGCTCCCGCAGCCCCTCTCGAGGCACCTCCCCCCTCCCCGCACACACAGTTCTGAAGCAAAGCTGAAGTGAGCACACACACACACACACACCCACACACAAAGAGATTCGTTTTTGCTGACAATTCACCACAACACAACACACACACACACACACACACACACACACACACACACACGAGAGACGTGCGCGCTCGGTGGACGGTTTCAACAGGAGGCGGGTCGGTGGCGGTGCACGTGGACGTGGACGTGGACGTGGAGTGATCCTTGAGTGGTTCAGGATAAAGGATTTCAAGTTGGGTGGTGTGGTCGAGTTGGCGACGTGTCTGCTTTGGGTTGGATTGGAAGCAAAAGGATACCACCGAGATGCCGCTGGTCTTGATGTCGGGCTTTCCCTGCTCGGGAAAGACGCGGCGAGCCGAGGAGCTGCGCGTTGACATGGAAGCCCGTGGCAAGCGAGTGGTGATGGTATCGGACGACACAGCACGGGTGGATAAAGGCAAGGATTATCAATCCTCGGCCAGCGAGAAGATGGCCCGAGGCAACCTCAAATCGGAAATGAGCCGCCTGCTCAACGCCAACGATGTTATCATCGTGGACAGCCTCAACTACATCAAGGGCTATCGTTACGAGCTCTATTGTGCCGCGCGCTCGATGAAGACGACCTCGTGTGTCATTCAGCCGCTGGTGCGCGATGAGCTGTGTCTGGAGCGGCATGCTCAATTGGGGCGACCGTATGGTGAGGACGAGACCGTGCGGGCCTTGATGATGCGCTATGAGCAACCGGATGATCGGAATCGCTGGGATAAGCCCTTGTTTGCCATCACGGACGACAAACCCTTGCCGGTCGATGCCATCTATGCCGCTCTCTTCGAGGGTACGGCACCCACCCCAAACTATTCAACACAATCCCAGCCCCTCTCCGAGACTGACTTTTTGCAGCAACTCGACGCGATCACCCGCGCCATTGTTCAGGTACGCGTGCCTCTTCTCATATGGCGCTCAACCAGAAACGACAAAGGGTACAGGAATGAGGGCTCGAGATGACCTTTCGCTGCTTTGTAAAGCGCGCCGCCCAATGCACTTACCTCTTCTCACGTTTGCCCTGATGGGCATGTGCGTCAGGCGGTTGTTCAAAAGAGCGCTACGGCGGTTCTCGGTGACAAAATCGTAGTACCGCACAGTGCGGACCCCGTTGTCCTTCGAGAGTCGCTTTCCATGCTTCAACTCAAGCGCATTCAACGACAGGTAAGACTTGACCCGACGGTGCTCCTGCACCACAATCAACACGCACTGTGCTGCTCACTCACCTTTGTGTGTATTCCGCCGTTCATTCCCACCATTCATTCCGCCGTTTGTTCTGCCGTGTCCCTGCAGTTTATCACCTATGCCAAGCTCCATCCACCCAAATCGGCTGACCTGATTGGTCCACTTTTTGTTGATTTTATCAACCGAGGCCAAAGCTAGTGATGCTCCGCCCAAGAAAGAGACTGTTTTGTTCCCCTTTGGACAACACACGCTGAACTGCCATTCTCGCGATGCGAGCGACATCAGGGCGCTTTTGAGGGTTGTTGTATTTTTTTGGGCCGATGGTCGCCCGTCTTTTTTTCTGCTCAACTGCGCGTCGGCCTTTGTTGTTTTTTTAATCACCTGCCCGCATTGTCTTGGAGTTACAGACTCGATTTTTTTTTTTCCTTGATTTTTTTTTTTTTTTGGCTGTTGATGCAGTGTCAAACTGGCCTCAGACTGCCAATGCTAGGTGAAGTGCTGGCTTCGCGTGGGGGGGGGGGGCTCTCAGAGCCAATGTTTGCCCATAGCTCGACCAGTGCCATGCCCAAATGGTGCACTGCGTTTGCCTCGCACATGTATAACACTCATCTAGACATCTCCGTCCTCGTAGTTGGAGACATGTTGGGAGGGAAAAATGGGTCAGGACTGGACGTGCCCGAATTCCTGCAGGTACATTTCCAAGCGAGCCAGGTGTGCCTTTGCCCAATAGTGCAAACAGGCTTGGTTGGCCATGGCGGAAGCCTCGTGCTGACCCCACGGTGCGGCAGCCAGTGCCTGCAGGGCTGAAGCCTCGGCCTCGGCATCCTCTTGCAGCAAGGGTGCTGGATTGGCGGATAGAACCAGCTTGTCGGGCAAGGGCGCAAAGCGCTGACTGGGTGCCGCTGGCACCGAGAATGTCGTGAGCGATCCTGTAAGAGGCGATGGTTGTGACTGTGACCCTGCCGTTGTTGGAACGCCAGGCAATAGCTCGACGCTGTCATGCGAAGGGACGGGGGATACAACCATTGACTGTCGAGGCAGATTGGGCTGAGCCGAGGGCAAGCTGGGTCCGGGAAAAGTAGCAGGAATAAGCTGAGATGCATCCGCATCGTCATCCTCGTCATGAGAAAGAGCCACACCCATCGCGCGCTTGGGTCGCTTGCCAAACAGCGGGGCGCTCTCTGTTGTCGAAGGTGTGGGGCGCAGTCCTCCGGAGATGGCGGGGCTGTGCACAGGTGAGCCGGAAGGCATCACTCTTGTCGAACTCGAAGGTGAACGCGCCGTAGCCGCACCCTCTTCCAGACTCGGTGCCGAACGAGCTGCAGACTGTTCGGCCTGTGGCTGGGAAGGCCAATGACCAGGCGAGCGCTGCTTCCAACGTTGCCTTTTCGGGGAATCAGAGCTGGCGATTTCATCGTCGAGGGTGGCCAAACTGGGCTGCGGTGAGGCTTGCTTTGGAGCAGGCAGGCTTGCTGCCGAAGGTTCGCCTGATGCGCGTGTCCAAGACGGTCGCAGCGGCGAATGATTTGGAAGAGCCTTGAATGGCGATGCTTCCCTGGTTGAAGGAGTAGGCGAGTGACGATGCGAGGCGGAAGACGTCGGCAGTGGGTCACGAGCAACCCGTTGGCTATCGCAGGTCAAACCAGTCAGATTGTCGTCGCTAGACGCTGCAAGACGGGGGCTTGGTGTCGGTGATGAGCTACCGGTCAGTGGCTGCATACCGCCAACGTGCTGCGCCCGGCTCGGGGTACTGATCGAGAAAGGAGAGCGCGATGCCCGGCTGCTACTGGCCGAGTCAGCAAGCAGATGTAAATTGAAGGCGTCTTGACTCGCATCCGGGAGCATGGATTCTTGAAACGGATTGGGACTGTTCGCCGCCTCCTCCATCGCCTGAACAGCCGCCACAACAGCCGACTCCTGCTCTGGCGTCATCCAGGCATCGCTGTATCGCCATACCTCCTCCTCCCCCTCCTCTGCCTGAGCAGCAGCCATCCCGTCGGCGACACGCAGCTCGCTCGGCTCGTCGCGGCATTAACCGTTAAAAAGCCGAAAAATCACACATTCAAAAGGCTCAGGCTTAAAGGAACTTATCGTCGAACATATCGCACTTTTCGTAGATTTCTACCAAATACATTAACCACAGCAAGTATACATTTGTTTACCAAATGCAGCATCATATGTAGTTTATGATGACAATCTTGTCTGACATTTGCTCAAGAGAGAAAAAGACATGGGAGTCAAGTTGAACCGCCCCTCGCCGTGGGCTGGGTCGGCTGGCCGTCGCCGCTGCCTTGTTGGCTTGCTGGGTTTGCTGGGGTGTTTGGCCGGGGTGTGTTTGGGATTAGAGGGGCAGGGGCAGGGGCAGGGGCTGCTGCCGGATGATCACCCGTTGCGCTCGACGCTCAGCTATGCCGAGGTTTTGCGAGCCAGTCCAATTCGCGAGCGGCGGACGAGCGGCAACCCGATCTGGCGTCGCGACATGGCGCTGCAGACGCATGGCCTGTATGTGCCAAAGGCCTTGGTCCTGCAGCGCCCTTTTCAGCCACCTACTTCCCATAATGCTGTTTGCCCCCCGTGATGGGCCTTTCCTTCTCACGCCGCCCCTTGCCCTCTCTCGCACTCTGTGCCGCCGGCACACGTAGCAATCTGACGCTCGCGTTTCGACCCGACGATGACCTTTTGAGTCCAGACTTTCAGGTTTGTGGGCGGAAAGAAGAGAAGGGACCAAACCGGAGACAGCGAGTTCAGGAGCTTTAAGTTTTATGATCAAAGCTCCAGGCAGGACGCGCTACCCTCATGGCTGACCACCCATCCCTACAGGTGCATCTGATTGGCGACCAAGGTGTACAACCTTACCGCTTTCCAGGCCATGTCGTACGCGGTGAGTCGATAACCTCAATGCCAAGCCCTGCCTATGCTGGACGCACGGCGCATTTTGCACTGTGCGGCGATGCTGGCTAATACTCCCTGTCGATTTGTACCTGTTTTTGGTGGGCATAGGCACCGCCACGGAGCACCCCCACTCGGTTGCTCGCGGTGTGCTGCTCGAGCCAGGCATCTTTCAAGGACATTTGGTCTTTGCCAGCGGTCGCGTCCTTCATTTTGAGCACGCCCATCACCACTTTGCAGATTATTCCTCAAATGACGTGCCTCAACGGTGTGTTGCGAGGGGCAACAGCATCCTGCCGAGACCTCTCCGAGGCAGATCGTCTAATGGCTTGCCCTTGATCATTAGGGATATGATCGTGTACTATCGTGATGCGCTGCGGCCAGAGGCACTGGCCCCCATCAACGCCACGGGACACCGAACAAGCCTTTGTGGTGTTGCGCGCCACAATCACAGCGCGGCCGAGCATCGAACGCCGCTGGAGCCCGCGAATTTATTGCACACGTGCGCCTCCTCGCTCTTGTGGTTCCACTTGCCCGTCTCTGTTCTCAGTCTCAAAGTACACGACTCACTTGAGTCTTGTCATTAGCCCCTGGGTTGCGAGAGAGCAACAACAACGGTATGAACAGCGCGCTCGACGGGGAGTAGCCTCGGCCTCGGACACGACTTGTATGATGTCCCTCTTCGTCGATTCCCGCCTACACTTATCCCTGGGCGAAAACCCAGCTCTCAGCACAGCGCGTGCACTCTCGCACCTCTCGGTCGTGGATGGAATTTTCAGAGTACGCGCATCTGCTGCTTTCGAGGCACCCTCATACTCTTGACCCGTTGATTATTTGGCCACCGGTCACCGTGGCTGTATTGAGGGGCGCACTCAAGATCGCGCTTTTGGGTACTCGGCCCGGCTTGCGTGCCCCGTAGCGTACGAATTGGGGCAGCTCTCTGGTGGGCATCGGCGTTGCCGTCCAATCGTTGACTATTTATGAAACGACGTCCAGCGATCCGTATTACCAGGTCCGTGGGCTGTTATTGATCTGCTCTGCGCTAGCTCCACGTTGCCCAGTCCGTTGCGACGTGACCCTTGCTCCGGGCGCCCATCTACAGAACAACAGGGCATGGAACGTTGAAGCCTTGTTGTCAGCCTTTAGCGACAATGATCATTCAGCCTCGTGCCTGGCCCACCTATTCACGCACCAAGTATGTTCATGGACTGGCCGTGCTTTGATTGACACCAAGTTCGTGCACTCGGTGCCAAGTAAATTTGACTTGCGCGTGTTGTCTTCGCTGCGTCTTCTTCTTTTGCTTTTCGTTGCAGGACTTTGCAGCCGGGGTTCTGGGCCTGGCATATACCGGCTCGCCGACTCGAGCTACGGCAGGGGTCTGCGCTGTTGAAACAAGCTCGGGAACTCTCAACACTGCTTTGACCACAGGTATGTCACATGCCTTCAGCGTCGCCTGTCGCTGAGAAGTTTTGTGCTCACATATCTGTCACACCAAACCCTCCCGCTCCTCTATTTTACCGCTCGACCCTCTCAAACGCCCAACTTGCCTCCCGCCCTCCTGTTAGATCTCAACTCGGGTACCACCCAACCCGACGGTTTGGTATCTCTCGTGACCACCCACGAAACTGGGTATGACGGCTCGCTTCCCCATTGACACAATCCTGGTCAAGATTGCCTTATTGACGCCCACAACCTGCTCATGTGCGCAGGCATAACTTTGGGGCCTCACATGATCCCAATGGAACAGACTGCGATCCAAGTGCGTGCTTTGTTCACCTGCCTTCGTGTCACCGTTTGCCCGCAAGTGGCTGAGCTCATGAGTGCACCCGTCACGCCGTGCCTGCTCGTGTCCCCCCCCCTTCGGACCTGATCCAATCATTAGGTGGCAACTACTATGTTATGCATACGTTTGCCGTGGATGGCTCGCAGCCCAACAACAATGACTTTTCCGACTGTTCTAAAGAAAGCATTCTGGAGGTTCTCGAATCTCCAGACACCAACTGCTTTGTGGTATGGCCTTGTGACCACGTTCCGTCTGCCCGCAAAACACCACTGCCTACAATTGCCAAGGAGAGACAGAAAGACAGGACGGGTCATATGCAAAAGCCCTTTGGAATCACTCATGTGCAGTTCCTCACCACTGGCTTCCCTACTATAAACACAGCCCACGCCTGCTGCAATCTGTGGGAATGGAGTGTGGGAGCCGAACGGACCTGACGATGAAGCTGGCACAAGCGATGACGAGGAGTGCGATGCAGGTTTTGCTGGTGTGTCATGCATCTGCTTCAGTTGGAAGACAGCCCTGAACGATGCCGTTGGCTTCAACAATACTGATACATCTCCGTGCAGGTGACGATTGCTGTACTGTAGATTGCAAGCTGACATCAGGGTCGAGCTGTAGCGATTATAATCAGGACTGCTGCCAAGATTGCCAGTACTCAGCCACTCGTGTCAGTATTCTTGATTGTGGTTTTTGTTGTTGTTGTTGATTTGTTTGTTTGTCCGTTTGTTGGTCTTTTGATTTTCCATGCTAGCCATCCATCTGCGTCCAAGAATGGGCTGGTGGCTGGCTCACACATTCTCCTTACATTTCATGTCGTGTACGCACTGCAGATTTGCTACCAATCCTTCGACCTGGACCGCCGTTGCTTTGCCACAACGACATGCGAGAAACAGACGCCAGGCGTATTTGAGTGTCCGGAGTTGTGCGTCCTGCCCCTGACCATGTAGCTAGCCGAGTGGGTGCTCTTTGCTTCTTTTTCCTCCGAACCTCATTAGATTGTACCCTTCTTGCGTGCTGTGTCACAGAGATCAAAAGGATCCGGGCACACCATGCTTAAACTTGGGGTCTTGCACACCCAATGACGGTGAGTTGGCAGCGCACAAGTGTGAATGCACTCGGCTATGCAAAGGGACCCGCGCCCAAGCTGCGCTAGACTTTCTTTGTTTATGCATTTGTCTTATTTTCTTCGTACCCCTGATTCCTTCTGCTCCTTTCCTCATAACCTTGTTCTCATCCCTCCTGACCCCGCTTGTGCATTTGAAACCCCATCCCCTTTTGACCTGCGCAGACCCAGAGGCGCGCTGTCGGCCATTCTGTGAGCGATTCTCAGCGACAGACTGCGATTGTAGTGCTGAAGACTCTTGCCGACTCTGTTGCCGCCATGACGCCAGTCCCAACGCGGTGCCATTCTGCCCAAGGTTCGAACACACCGGACCAGCCGTCCCAGTTGGTTACTCTCCACGTGAAGCACGGGGTCCCGCTCACTCGATGTTGGGCAATTTGATGGTGGCATAGAAACTTTTATTGGGGCAACCTGACCTGGGAGGACAACGTGACGCGCGAGCGGTGCTACCAGATTGGCCAGGTGGGGTGCTCACCAAAGCTCACCCCGAACCAAAGTTGGGGATAAACTCACGCGTGGCTACCGTTGAGTTTTAGGTGGAGCCTGTGTCAGCGACGGCTGAGTTTGGCCAACCCGTCCGCCCGTTCGCCCCCTTTGGTACGAGTTGCAAGCCGGCGTATCTCGTGTTGGTGGGCGAGGAATACGACCACGTGGTCAACGGCGAGTCGGGCGAGCAGGTCGCAACCTCTCAATTCAATCTGATCAAAACTGCTGGTGCGTGCTTGCAACTATTTTTCTTGCATGTCCCCATTTCTCTGGCACAACGCGCCTCCTCTTATTATTTGTTGTCTGTTTCGGTGGCGGCCCTGCTTCTCACTCTCAAACAGGCACGCGCTGCGCGAGGGGCTACTGCAATGAAATGGGAGTTTGCGTGGCCGCCACGGATTCTTTGGACGACTTTGTTGACTTTTGGAGCAGTATCACGCTTCAATCGGCGAGTAAGTCCTTGCGCCCCGCCATAGCCTCGTGGTGCAAACACAGGCCGGGTCTCAACTCTGCCGCTGCTGCGCCAGGTGATTGGATGAAGAAGAACATTGTTCTGACAAGCCTGATTATCGTGGGTGTGGCCTATCTTATTATTGGTTATTGTGTCCATCGTGGAGACAAACAGCAGGTGCGTGTCCAAGTCGATGTCGGCGTGGATTCTTGCACTGACTCCCAGCAGCGCATGTGTAGGCGATTTCTTTTTGCAATGATGGCGCAGTGATGCGCTCATGGCACGCGGCGCCAACCTGCTTGCCTGCTAGATGGACGACAAAAAGTTTGCGGTGCGGCCGAGGCGTCAATCTGTCTTCCCACTTGACCCGAACAATCAAGGGGTCAACGAGTATGAACGACAGCGTACGCTGCGACGGGAGGCAAAAGGTGAAGCAGGTCGCGATGCTAATGTACCAGCCAAGCGTCGTCAGCCCCTACCCCAGCGACGTGCGAAAACGGGCCCTGCACAAACGGGCCGCGCGGAAGCCGAGCCAGCGCGTGATGTGGAACATGGCCGATTGCCTCAACGACGTTCTCATGCTCGACAAGATGTCCACCGCTTTTCGCGTAAAAAGGGTGGCCTGCCTACTCCACGAGCCGTAAAGTAGGCCTGATGTGTACCCCCCTCACGACCATTCCGATCTGGTGCCCCTCCCCCCCACCTTTGATGAAATGCAAGATTCGAATAAATCTTTTTTTTGTGGGAGGGGGGAGTTGAATGTGCAATAGTTGGGTAGTCTTGTGAATTGGCGTGTCGGTTGTCGGTTGTCAAAAGTTTCCTGAATGTTAGAGCACCGAGTGCTCGAATGTGAATCCAACAGAGACAATGTGGGCGAAAACGAAGCAGCGATGCAATGAAAACGCGTCATTCAGGCTTGGTATTCATGTGTGGCGCAACAACGAATGCAGTGCTACACATGGCCCGCCACGAGCCCAAAGGGGCGGAAGCTAATACCAGCATCCGTGACGTTGTAGAGAGCGTCCGTCCACTCGTGGGGCTCGTTGAACACTCGAGCCTGAGTCAATCAGATGGGGCACAAGCATAGCATGAGGTGTACAAAACTGCCAGTGTTGAGCGAGCGCGGGTATGGCGTGGCCTGTCTCGTGCGTACCGAGCCCTTCACATCAGGCGTTTCACCGCCTGTCAGCCGTGCAAACTCGATGCGACGGTCGGCTGATGCAGACAGCGTCTTGAGTAGCTGAGCAACATCATGCTCATGCTCCAGGCCCTCGTCTAGATACAGCCACCACGGGGACAGCAACGAGCGTGGTGAGGCTTTGGGCCGAAGGCTGTAAGAAGGTTGGAGCTGGAGTCTGCAAGCTTGCAGACAGGATGATTGCGGGGCGCGTACCGACAACGGCGACGCAAGCCGTTGTGAGGAGTGTGATCTGTGGTGGCGATCAGGTGTGGCGGATGAGCCTTGATGAGTGCTGGACACTTTCCTGAGCGTGCACGCCCTTGTGTTTGCGCGGTCAAACCTGCGGGTGCTGGCGAGCTAGTGCTTGGAAGCGGATGAGGCCAGCCCCGAGGTGCGCAGATGGTATGAGCAAGGCTAGCACGTCCAGGTTGCTCAAGATGATGAGCAAGGGTGAATCCTGCGATGCTAGCTCGGCTGCGCGCGCCTCAAGCTGGGTAAACCATTGCCTAGCATGACCAGAAACCAGACCGCCGTCATTTCCGACGCACAAAAGGAGAGAACGGACCAAGCAGCGTGCGCCAACGTACGTCAGGTCGGTGTTAGTGACTGGAAATTGATGAAGCTGGGCCTCAAGTCGGCTTTGCACGACACCCTGGGACAACGAAAGGAGGTCGAAGAGAGGCACGCCCATACCGGTGAGATCAGCTACATGAAGGTCGAGAACGGCCATGAGCCATTGAAGGTTAACACCCACCATGCGCCGCAGTACGGTCTGATAGAACGTGCTTGGCTGCCGAAGATCAGCCAAAAGCACAGTGCCTTGGGCTGCAAAGTGCGGCATAGATTGATGAGCATGAGCGGGGCTGCAGTCGCCGTAGTGTGTCTAGACACCCTTGATGCGTGCGCTAGGCCCGCGTTCAGCCTGGAGTTGAAAAGCTTGCCCTTTGCTGCTAGGCTCGTTTCACGCCTTGCCATGGCAGAGGCTGTGGCAAGCATCCGTCCGCCAGCGCAAAGGAGGAACGCTGGCGAGAACTCACCCTTGAGGTAGCGGGCCGTTACGGAGGCCGCCAAAGCATCGCCGGCTGCCCGATCGTCGGCCAAAGCAGACAGTACACCAGAGGGCAGCTGTACAGAACCGGACGATGAGACGAAAACGTGAGCCTGCACTAGTCTTAACACTTGTGGTGTGGCATGCGCCGAGGCCACGGTCTGGCGGCCAAGCAAGGAGTCAACTCGAGAAACAGACCTGCCAGGCCGATTCGGGCTGCTGCAACAATGCATTGAGCATTGTCGCCGCCATGTCAATCAAATCAGTGCACAATAAAAACAGTCCAAGTAGATCACTATCCCCTCTACGACATGACCACTGCTGCCCCCGGCCAACCTCCGTACCACACACACACACGCATGCGCGCGCACACACTTGTCCAACTCGAGGGGCCGCTGCTATGACTTGCCAGCGCCGTTTGCCTAAAAAGAAGAAAAAAAACCACACACACACACACACACATGAATGTGTTCGTTCGGGAAAAAGGCTGACAATAATACTGGAAATGTCAGCGGGACAAGGGTATGTTGGTCAAAACAGCTGTTTCTGTTAAATTGATGCGTGCATGAATGCACGGTTCGATGTGGTTGGTCAGGAATGCGACAGAGCGTGCTCTCTCAGCTCTTCCTCCCTCTACGTGCGCCGAGCAGTTGATTGTTTTGCATGTTCAGCCACCCCATGTTTGCCCGCCGCCAACGCTCAGGAATTTTGAAAACGACACGCTCTTTTGCAGTGCCACGGTTGTCGTCAGCTTCCCCCCAACGACACGGGTGGGAACGGACAAAGGGCTGGTTCACCAAGGTGGTTTGAATCGGATTTTACCACCAGATTCCACTGTGTGACCCTGCATCAAACCCGCTGCCGTTTTGCGAGCGTCTGTGCTCAACCACGGTGCGGCGAACCTCCCTTGCTTCCCTACCCTCCCAGGCGGGCGGCTATCAAGGCTAACACGACCACTCCCCATCAACCCCTCTAGGGTCCTTGCATCGCTATCATGGGTCGTGCCAAGGCCGTGAACAAGGCCTCGTTCGGGCAGCAGGGCTCGTCCATCTCTGTCTCATCGCAACGCTCAGATGACGATCGCCTGGCGTCTCGTCGTGCCATGACCACCGTTTGGCGCAGCGAGATTGTGCCTGCCCGCAAATCTATGATTGGTGGTAAGCAATGACATGTGAGGGGCTTGAGGGCAGCGGCTTGCTTGAAAACTCACCACGGCCTTTTGTTGGCGCTCATGCGCCACCGCCAGAACCCCTGCCTCACGGTTGGGCCAAGGCCCTCACGGATAGCGGCACGCCATACTACATCAAGTTGGTCTCACAGCCCGCACTGCAATCACCTTTGGCCCTCTCAAGGGCTCGCCATTCAACTCAGTTCCGGAGATACTGACTCGCACTCATCTGCACCCCCGCTTACTCTGAAACACATTGTGGCCCGTGCGTAGCCATGAGACGCGCGTCACGCAATGGGTAGATCCCCGCCTCCAAAGCTGCCTGCAGGAACTAAGTATGAGTAGAGTAGCATCCCCTCTTGCATGCACATGATGCAGTGTGGCACTCCTATGCTGTTGACCTGCATTATCAAATCTCCGACCGTCCCCTTCTCTCTTCGGTGGCATTCTCACTCGAGAAAATGCGTGCTTGGTCGGTCGCATACCAGGTGCCCACGATGACATTCGCTTGGCTGCGTACCGCACGGCCATCAAGTTGCGCGATGTTCAAGTGTACCTGCGCAGTAAGTTCAAAACGCCTCTCGTGGCACAGACAAATCTGCTGAGGTCTCCGTCGGTAGCCCCGATACTGCCGAGGTCTCCATCAGTAGCCCCGATACTGCCTCGTCTCATGGCTGCCTCGTCTGGTTTTAGTGAGCCAAATCAAGCTGCCCACGGCGCTCAATGCTTTCTACGCACTGGACGTACACAGCGACGTATGTCATGGAATGCTCCCGTCCGTGCTACCAGCCGTGCAGGCCGCCGATCCGCCGACAAGTCTTTCCCACTAAACCCTTGGGTGGACATGATGTCTGACCTGAGTTTGGTGGTCTTTGTGCGTTTTTGACTGTGCGACAGTACTCCTCCGGCCAGCAGATTGATGCCGAGGAAATGGCCGTTGTCTTGATGGAGATGTACGCAGACCTGCCCCACCCCCAACGCAACGTCGAAGTCATGATCTCCATGATGCTCAAGATCTACGACCGCAATCGCTCGGGCCACATCTCGCTGCAAGCTTTTCAGACGGCTCTCACGCTCTTGAGCGTCTCCTGGATTGAGGAGAAGTACCGCTGTGCGTCCTTTGCCGTCCCGCCATAAAGCGTGCATGCTTGGATGCCCCAACATGTTGCACTCACGAATAAAGGTCAAACTGCTGCTCTGGCACCCATAGTCCTTTTCACCATCTATGACACCAACCAAGACGATTTCATCACTGTGGAACAACTGACTCAATTGTTGCGCCACGTGGTGGGCCTGCCCAACGGCATTCGCGAAGCATATGCCTTCTGCCCGACCAAGGAGTTTCCGGAACAGGAGGCTCATCGTGTCTTTGAGGTATGGCCTTGGGTTTGTTTGCAAGACGCAAATTACTGAACATTTGTCTCACGTGCATTCCGCCGTGCTATTGCAGCTGGAACGGGAGCGCAATGGCGCTGCCGCGACCCAGATTTCTCTCAACACCTTTGTCAACTACTGTATGACGGTACGAATTGTCGCGCGCGACTGCATACAACAGGCCATGCGACGCGGCCTCACTCGCGTTGGTCCTCGCTCGCGTCCCAAAAGGACCCACGACCTCTTCTGTGGCTTCCCGTGATGCATCGCGTCGCAGCAACCGAGAACTGTACGTTTACTGTGACCACGAGGGGGTGGCGGCTGCTGTGGAAACCACAGCCAGTCCCATTCCGCGCTTCCAAAGACTTGACAACCCTCACCTAGCCTATGCTTTGCCCACGCAGCCAAGCACGAAACGACCTGCTGCGTGTGCAAGATGTACCCGATCATTGGCTTTCGCTACAAGAACATGACCAGTATGGACCGTGATGTGTGCCAAGAGTGCTATTGGACTGGCCGCGAGGGCAATGGTCACAAGGCATCCCACGAGGTCAAGGAGTACTGCTTCTCCTCCACCGCGCGCCAGGATGCCAAGGACTTTTTTGGCCGCATCAAGCGCAAGATGACCAAGAAGAAGGCGGACGAGAGTGAAGCCGCCCGCACCGCGCGTGCCGCCAAGCCCGTACCTGTGGCTGAACCCCGCATGTCTGTGGCTGTGCCCTATGAACAAGCACTCCAAGAGCCGGCGGAGGGTGATGACGTGGTCGACCACGCCGATGTTGGCCTGTCGCATGGAGTGGCAGGACTACAAGATGAGCACGATCTGATCCAGGAAATGGCGGCCCAGCTCAAGGCCGCAGACGATGAGGGTGGCCCCGTGTCAACAATGGTCGTCAATCTCGAAACAGAGCAGAAATTGGTATGCTTCGCGCGCTCTCGGCCTCGGTCAGGTGGCGAGGTCCACTTTGAAGGCTGCCGAATGTGCCGTGCTCGTACCTTGACTCACCGCAATGTGCCTGCTTGCTGGGTGGGCGTCGTGGATGATGGCTGCTGCGTAGCACTTGCTTCGTGTGATTGATGAACTCGACGCTGAGAACCGTCAATTGCTACAGCGCTTGATGGACAGTGAACGGGACCGCGTGGCCGAACTGCAAGAGCCAGTGGCCGGAGATGAGGGCGTGCGCGATGCCATGCAGGTGCGCCGGACCACCCATGTTTCCCTCAACAAACGCCACAGCTCTGGTTGCTCACCTTGGTTCTTGGGGCCGCTCACTGTATCATCGCCTTTCAGGGCCGCATCAACGACCTCAATGAGCGCAACCGTGACCTGGTTGACCAGTTGACACGGCTGCAAGCCATGTTGGTGGCTTCTGGCATGGCACAGGGTCACGACAACGACAACGAGCAAGTGAATGCCCCTGCTTATGAGCTGGCACGCGCTGGCACCCACGACGACATGCCCATTTATGAGCGCGCCGCCCATCGTGCCAATGAATATCCCCCTCACACCCAGCTGCAGCATGGCGCTCTGCAAGCGACAAACGATGATGAGCCGGACATCTCTTTGGTAGGCTGTTCAATCTCCTCCCACCTCGCCCCGCCCTACCCTCTCGGTACACTTGCACCCTACGCACACTCAGTTTCTCTTCGTTTGGAAGGCCTATGACCCGTCCCATGAGCTGGCCGCCATTGCCGACAGCCTGTCCACGGCTTTTGCCGATTTGCGTGCCGAGGTATGCCCCGACTCAGCCCTGCGATGTGCGCTCTCCCATTTGTGGGCCTGGCGCAGACCTCATGGCTATCGCTTTTACACCATGCCTCGCTGCCCCCAAGCCCACCGAACCAGGCCACGTACGTGACCTGGCTTTTTCGACAGCCATGACGGCTGTGTCGGCACTAGTTGATGGATTCCGACAGTGCTTGGACGAGATCAAGGCCTCATCGGATGCCCCCACACGGGCACCACGCCGATCGCTGCTGAACTCGGAAGAACGACGCGAGCTATGGGGCGCCGAGACTGCTGCCATGCTCGAAGAGCAGGATCAGTATGGCAACACCCCACTCCCCCGCGACACAATCAAGCGTCAGAAGAACTCGATTCGCTCGGCATCGTTCCGGCTTCGAGCTCGCCTGGGTCGCCTCGCATCCTACTCCCCCGATCCAGCGTCCATGGCGCAGGACTTTGTGCTTGCCGCCAGCCCCATGCCGACACCTGGGCGTCGTGGATCTGACACTCGCGCCAGCGATGCATCGCCCCCTTTGCGTGCACGTGAGAACAGCCGACGCTCATCGGCAGAAGGACCGCCGCCGCCGCCTGCCCTGACCACCTCAACGCCCCGGGTGTATCGTGCGCCAAGCATGGCAGACGCCTCGCCTGACGCATCCGGTGAAGGCCGCATTGCCCGTCACGCAGCCACTGTGCGACGACCGGATCTTGGTGAACGCCGCTTGAGCGATGAGCGGCTGGGAGCCGTGTCAAACAACTTTGAGAGCCGCGTGCTAGCCAGCCGCGCCCGTGTCCAGCAAATCCTTGGTGTGCAATCGCCCGATGTGACCGAGGCCAATGCCGTGCGAGACTATTTGACGGTCTTCAGCGACGGCTACCTCTTTTGTCTTTTGGCTAACCACCGCCTTCGTGAGCGCAAGCGTAAGTGTGCCTGCTCCTCCCTCTGCTCGCCTCGCCCGGGCACATGGATTAGACTGCGCCATAGACACTTGCTAGCTTCCCGCCTGTGCGGCTCGCTGCCTCATGTGTGTGTGGTCTTGGGATAGTGACACAAGTCAAGCCGTACCGATCACCGCTCAAGGCCTACCCCTCTGCGGCTGAGCGACTGACCCCATCTCAAGTGGTCGAGAACTTCAACATGTTTCACTCGGCTTGGCGTACTCTGGGTTTCGATGAGACCCGAGTTCCCACGTGGGGAGGTGAGTGGAGACCTGATTTTTTTTCAACTTCAATTGTGGTTGTAGTGCAGCAGTACGTTTGCTCACATTGCATGAACGCCACGCCGTGGCTTCCATGTAATTAGACATTACGCACGTGGCGGAGGAAGTTGATCTGAGTCCGCAGCAGCGTCGATACAGCCTGAAGGTCCTCGAGGCCGTTGAAACCCTTTTGGCGTTGTCCGAGTCCAAGGCGTAAACGAGTGAGTTTGCGCCAGCTCACATCAAATGCCCCAAGCGGCGTTTGCACCATTGTATGCTAGTCCCACTGTCATCATCTGTGCCCCTCCACTCGCTGAAGCAGCGTTAGACGTCCTGTAGAAGGGGGTATTTCTCGAGTCCCGTCGAGGGATGTTTCTCGTTTGTGCAATCCGCTGGTTCGGCCGCAGGCCTGTGATTGCGTGTGCCGTCTCAAAACCATGTCAACGGCCCAACCCTGCGCTCGTGCATCCCATGCCGTTTCTCATGCGTATAGAAAAGCACCACTGAAATTTATTGTTTTTGAGCGTGCCTTCAAGTGATGGAACAAACAGAGGGCGTGTGTCTCTCATCCTGCAAGTGGAGCTTGTCATATGCAATTGTTGCTTGCACACGAGTGTGTGGCATCTGGTCTTGCCAAGACTTGTCATAACCCGCACAAATATGAAAAAGTCTCGTCTGTGCGTATGCTCTCAAAGAAGTCATGATGCTACCATGTACTCGCGCATAAAAGCGTAGCGTTCTTGTTCGAAGTCAGTCTGGGCGGCCTCCCGGAGGCTCATCAACTCAAAATTGCTGGTAATCTACACCGTGGTCAACGCGAGAACAAGGTTGATGATGATGAGCGTTGAGATGACTTTTCCTGCGTTTTCTTGTTGCTGTGAGACTTCTTCAAGAGAGTCGATAAATAAAACAGGCTGCCCAACGTGCAAGAAAATAAAGCCAAGAGCACCGACCTGCACCACCCAGCCACCGCCACCACAGTCTGGCTGGTGGGTAAAAGCCACACTCCAGCTGGCTTCCTCCCGTGGTCGGCGTATGACCTCAGCCCGTCGCAATGACTCGGACCTGTGATGTCAGCACGAGGGACCAGGAAGTGAAGTGAAGCAGATCAGCTTGATCTTGGGGCGAGGAGAAAAAAAGGAAAAGCTCGTGCGGGCCGAGAGCCGGAGCCTTTCGCTTGGTGGCAGACGAACGACCGAGCCGCGTGTTGTGAAGGGGTCCCTTATTTGCACGTACCAGACTGGTGTTGCGGCAACGGCCTTCTGAAACCGCTCTTTGTCCATATTAGAGTGGACAAAGAGGGGCTGACCAATATGATCATGTTGTATCATCTCCCGTCCACAAAAGATGGTCGTATCGGGAACGATGCGACCTGCTGAAGCGACAGGGGTATCAATCATGGCACAAGAAGCATTCAAGGCCTTGCATGCAATCCAGAAGGTTTGTTTATCTCCACCCCCTCCCAAGTGAGAAAGGGCGCGCATGAGATTGTCGTAGAAATGGGTTTGAATCTGCATAAAGGTTGAGAGCAAAAGGGTTCGCCAGGCGCGGGCCTTGTCCACGACCATGACTCCGCTCTCAACGGTTCGAATGTCGACCTCATGCGTGGATGGTAGGCCAAAGATGGTGCGAATGTAGGCTTGGCCTCCACGCATATGCCAAAGATCGGGCCAAAGTAGGTGGCCCGTGTCGCGATACTCGAGTGCCTCGAAGAGATAAGTCGGGTCGCGCATGGGGATGTTGTCAACATCAAGCAGGAGACACTCGCGGCAGCGAGAGCTGATCAACGCAATCTGTTTCAGAACGTACGGCTTGTCACCGCGCTTTGTCGTGTGCATGCGAGCGCGAATGGCGGGAAAAACAGCGGCGGCGGCGTCCGTATCAAAGAGATCCACACCAAGCCGGCTAAAGATTTGCCTCTGTGCCGGGGTCAGGGACTCGTTGCGACCGCTACTGAGCCACAACTCGATGGGCAGGGTACAGCCGCGTTGTCGAAGCATGCGAGCCGCTGCATAGGCATAATTGAGTTGGTAGTGACCACCAGACATGACAATCCCGCGCTCGTGGAAGAGACTGCGCACGCTGGTGAAGGTAGGCATGTTTTGGGCAAAGCTTTGCCACTGCTGTTGGGCCGCCGTCAAAATTTCCGGGGCCAGCACCCGGTTCGCTTCGGTGCGTGGGAGAGGAGTGGGAACGGCTCGGTCGTATGCTTGCCCAAAGGGTTGCCAGACGCCATTGCGGACCAATCCCATGTGACGCTGGTGAGTGAACACGACGTTTGCTGCGGGTGCTGGTTGGGGCGGTGGTGCCCGGGAGAGGGCGAGCCAGAGGACGATCACGAGGACCAACCCGGCAGCGATGCGCCACCAAGGGCGCCCCGAAGAGCCCATTTTCCGCATAATGGCCGATCGCCAGTTGTTTGACTGTCACTCGCGTTTTCTTCACGGAGGCATGAGCGAAGCGATGCAGAGCTTGAAACCTATGCGAGTCGATCGACTGTCACCCCCAAAGAACTCCAAGCCAGGTGACCCGCCAGCGCCATTCGTGAATCAAGCCTGTGCCGACGACACCTCCACCGCCACGTTGAGCCAGATACGACTATCCTGAACCAATCAAATCGAATGCATCCTTGAGATCTGAACGAGGCGCTGGTGCCAACTCGAGTCGGGCTGGCAAGGTGGTGTGAGCATCAAGAAAAAAAGGAAAGGATCTTGAATCTTAATGATGGAAGCAACGAAACTGGGCTTTCTGTGGTTGGTGTGTGTTCTCTTCTCTCTCTCTGTGCTCTCTCTCTCTCTCTCTCTCTCTCTCTTCTCTCTTCTCTCTTCTCTCTTCTCTCTCTCTTCTCTCTCTTCTCTCTTCTCTCTTCTCTCTCTCTCTCTCTCTCTCTCTCTCTCTTCTACATGTGGTAGTTGTGCTATTTCTTCGTGGCTTTGTTGGTTTATGTCTTCTCTCTCTTCTCTTCTATCTTCTTCTTTCTCTTCTTCTCTTTCATATCTCTCTTTCTCTCTTCCCTCTATCTACATGTGGTAATTCTACTTTTTTCTTTCCTCCTTTACCTCTCTCTCTCTCACTCTCTCGAGCTCACTCTCTCTTTTTTTGATCTCTCACACGCTTTCTTGCTGAGCAGCAACAGCAGAGTTGGCGGGGGGCAGGCACCAGAGAGATGAAGCAGCTTCAACTGGATGCCAGTGGGGCTGGCCCCAGTGTGGAAGACGTGCAATGGCCAGTGCCACAGCCACATGATGTGCTTATCAAGGTACGGTTCAAGGACCATCAGAGGGTTTGCCTTTGACGTCCGGCTTGGAACATCAAAAACCAGCTTGATACTGGCGGGCCACACCCGGATCATGCTCCCACGCATGTGCCACTGATGCTCACATCTTGTTGGGCGTGTGGATAGGTCAAGGCAGCGCTAGTGAATGTCCCGTCTCATCAGGTTTGTTCTTGAAGGCGGATGCCTGGCAAACTTGTATCTGGACTCACCCCCCCTCCCAATCTGCTCCTGGCATGTTCGGGCTCAGAGCCTTTTGCGCCACTTGGGGAGCGAGCTTGCAGGAGATGGCGACGCCCAGCGGCCCGTGTTGCTGGGTGGCGCCGTCGTGGGCACGGTGGTGCAGCACGGTCTTGCTGTGGATGCAGATCGCCTGCCCGCTGATCAGTTGGTCTTGGGTTTGGTGCCACACAACGGCACCTCTACCACCTTTGCTGAGCACTGCTTGGTCCCAGAATGGAGGTCGGTGAGATGCTTAGGCCCGCCCGGACCTGAAAGATGTCGATTGATTCAACCGACTAGCAGCATCACCTCTTGGTTTTGTTTTTGTGTTTGTTTGTCTGTTTGTTTGTTTTGCGTTTTGTTTTCGCGCTTCGCTTTGGCCACGCTCTGTCCTCATCGACCCCATTGAACGCTGGAAACACTACTGTCCGTGGAAAAAACAGCTGCGTGGCAGTTGCACAGGGTGTCGATGCGCGGCGTTTGGTGGCCGCTACGGGCGGCTTGCTCAAGGCATTAACGTGTCTGCAATACCGATCCACGCTCATGGCGGGCGATCAGGTCCTTGTTTGCCGCGGGTAGGCTCATGACATTCATTCTGCTGCCCCGACACTGCGAGCCAAATACGTGGGTCGCTCATCAGTTGACGACCCATGATGTGATTTAGAGCGAGTGCCAATCATCACCTTGTCTGCCAATATGCAACCCGCTTGGGAGGCCATGTACGTGCAGATCCCAGACAAGACTCGGCCAGCAACCCTGACCCTGCCTCTGACTGTGCGACTTCTTTGTGCGGCACAGGTGACAGCGACCGCAAGAACTAGCAAGGATAAATTGTATCTCAGCTCACAAAAACAGCTTGTGGCGGTGGCGGAGCACAGTGGCAGGTGTGCTGTGTTCTAGCATATGCCGGAAGGGCCGGGGGGCGCCAGACCCTCGCCATCTCACTAGACTTGCACTGGTGGCGTGATTAGTTTGGCAGATCGTAGCCAAGAGCTGACTGGAGGGCTGGGATACAACGTGATCTTTGCCGAGCAGTGGCGTAGAGAGAGCGATGTAACGCGGCGCGCTCCAGGTGCAATGGATCGCTCAGACTCCGCCACCACCCTGGAGAGCGAGGAAGATGGTCCTGAGGATGGGGCTGGCGGTGCCTCCTTGCCCCTTCTGACCGATCTTCTGGCCTGCCTGGCCGTGGGTGGTGTTTTGGTGGTGGAAGAGCGGCTGAGGGTACGTGCCTACCCGATATTGCGTTGTCCGTGACATAGCGCTCGTGACCTAGAGGCCATTCAACCCCACACCTTGCCTGCCATGTTCGACTTGCTTGCCCCGTCTATCTTTGGTGGTGTAACTCATGCGATTGATGCGCGTTTGTTAGTTGACGGAGGCGGAAGAGGAACTGTTGGTGGATGCAGGAGCTACCGTGCAGTATTATTCTCCCTTCTTATGGACCCAGGGCACGGCTTTCCAGGGCCACCTGCTGCACATGCTTCAGGATATTGTGCGACTTGTGAGTGCTTGATCGCCATGACCCAGGCAACCTCAGCTGTCTGGTTCATCCCTCATGGCATCATTGACATGCACTCATGCAGGTGGCACAAGATTTGGTACAACCGCACTTGGAACGCACCGTCTCCCTAGCAGAGTTGGCAGCCCAGTGGAGCGACTTGACGCACGCCCATCGTGGACCCGGTAGCTTGGTGCTCTCCTTCCGCTGACAAACATGTAAACAAAATCAAATTACCCCTCTGAGCTAAATATGGACGTCAAGATCGATTGTTGAAAACATCTGTTGTAACCACTTGGTGATGGTGTGAAGAAATAGGGCATAGGTATCCGCCGCCCCAAAAATGAACCGCGCGGCACAATTGGGTAACCCCATCCTGCCCCTTGTGCCGACGGCAGCGCCATCTGCTCACGGTCAGCGCGCGAAACGGGGATGGGTTTGAAAACACACATCACTCGCGATTGAAGTACCCCGATCAACCCGCAGCACCCTCTTGGCAAGCGGGTGCCAGCAAGGGCCCCATCGTCCTGCTATGGTCGAGTGCAGGCCAAACCAAACCAAAACAAAACCCCGTCTTAACGAACTTTCAGCTTTCAATTCAACCGTCCTCCCTCTCTCTGTTTGGGTGAAAAGCACTGACGTCTGTGTTTGGTTCATAAAAAGCCTTCCTCGGTCCTCGTTTGTTTTCGTGCAACAGCGACAGGTACGTGTACACGTACGTACCCGTACATGTACATCCAGCCTGCCGAGCAAAACACGTCCACGGCCACAAGGTTTGTTTTGGTTTGCCCGCCCACCACTGATACTCGGTTCCGAGCTGTCATTTTTCGACTTGTTGCAACAGCAAGACCACTCTGCCGTGGTTGGATGTTTGCGCTGCACTGCCGTTCCTCACCATTCCCTGCCGTCTGCTCAAAGTGACTGCCGACCATTGCCACATTGGTGCCCTGCCCGCCCCTACCCCCTATCATCAAGCCGCCGCAGCCGGTATGTGGAAAAGCAGAGCGCTCCAGTCCCCCTTGGCAATACACTCACAAACAAATGCACCCGATATCTGTACATGTCCCCACACACACATACACACACTGACACTCAGAAAGAGCTCCAGATGTGAAACGGCAGTAGCCTTTTCGAAAGTCGCTTTGTTTCGCTTTTATCTCTCTGTGTCTTTATCACACAGTCTTGTTCTCTCTTGTAACTCTTCAGTGGCTTCTCTTTCTCTCTCTCTCTCTCTTTCTCTCTTTCTCTCTCTTTCTCTCTCGTTCTTTCTCTCCCGTGTCTCTCATGGTTGTCTGACATTCAAATCTTGCGCATGCGCGACCGCGACCATGCACACGTATCGAAGGGTCTTTCGAGCATCGCAAACACACACACACACATTCAGAGTTGTGCTGTCAAATGTCTTGGCACCGCGTCATCACACATGTCCACTGCACTGCCCACACGGCCTTCAAAACAACACAGGGAACTTGCCAGTGCAGTCGTCCTAAATCAGCCTTGCAAGTGTGACATCGATGGAGCCGTACTGACTGCTCCCCTCCTCGCATTTTCCATGCTTGTTGGTCACTTTGACCTGCTCAAACACAGCACTGTTAACCCTGGTGTGCCCGCTGCCCGTTCGTGAAGTGTTGTCCTCTCCTTCTCTCTTGACTTGAGCACCAGCGTCAATCCCCATCGGCCTGGATTTGGCCTGGCACCTCACACATCGTCGGACATCTCGCAGAACCTACGATCGGCCCAAGATCCTTTCCCTCCTGCTCGCAGCGCCGATTGTGCTGTCGCTGATTGCGCACGCCGACTAGAGGACAATTTGTAGAAGCCGCAGGGCCCTCCTCCCCCGTGCTCAAGACATCGCCTTCCACACCTTAACCCTGCTCGTCCGACATCACGCCTCCCCAGACCGACTGGCCATTGCCGTGAACGTGGACCCATTCTCAGGCATTTGCCATATTCACTTCCAACCCAACATCACCTCCCTCAGCTCCATTCAAGCGCGGCGCCCGCCGGTTTCCATCTCCGCCACCAAGCGCCATGGCGCCCATCAGCCGCCTGGTCCCACTCTTGGGCTGCCTGCTCTTGGCTGCCCACCAAGCCTTCGCCAAGCGTCCCAACTTTATCGTCTTCTTCGCCGGTATGGGCCCGCCTCCTCTTGCCAACCAATCCCGAGCTTGAGTGCGCTCATCCCACCCGACTTGATCACTGGCAGATGATCTCGGCTACGATCAAATTCGTCTGCCCAGCGTCAAGGGTGCTTTCTCCGGAGAGAACGGCACCATCCTTACCCCACATCTGGAGAAGCTGGCAGCCTCTGGCATGACCTTCACCCAGTGGTACTCGACCTTCCACGTAGGTTGACTCGCGCAGCCTTTAGCCTTTATACCCCGCTCCGTGCACTCGCGTCTCCTCAAACGCGGCATAACCTAACCTTGCATTTGCTTTCACTGGCACAATGCTATCCATAGGTATGCAGCCCCAGTCGCGCCAGCATGATGACAGGCCGCTACAGTGTGCGCTCTGGCATTGGAATCGCTCCTGGGGTGCGTGCCTTATCTTCGAGCATCTACCCGTAGCCCCCGTCCTCACATACGCCATCTCGGCCCTTGTACCATGCCAACGCCGCTCCTCGCTGATGGTTGATCCGTTCTTGTTGATGTTACTTCCTGATGACTAGACCTATGCCCCCAACGCCCCGGGCCTTAACCTGGACAGCATGGTCTTTAGCGCCCAGGCTGTCGGTGGTCTGCCCTTGAACGAAACGACCATGGCCGAGGCTTTGAAGGAAGCGGGCTACGCAACTGCCGCCATTGGCAAGGTACGCGTCAATCGACACGACACGACATCACAATATGCGGCTCGCCACCACACGCATGTGCAGACTCGCGACTCCTCGCTCAGGTGCTAACCCATTCTGCCCTGGCCTTGCAAAATGCGTCACAGTGGCACTTGGGCCAACGCGAAATCTTCTTGCCCACCAACCAGGGCTTTGACGAGTACCTTGGCATCCCCTTTAGCCAAGACATGGGCCTCTCCTTTTGGTTCCTCAACAATTTGCAACCCGTCGAGCCGTACCAGCCTGTCCCTCTACCTTTGCTTGACGGCACCGATGTCATTGAACAACCAGTGGCTCTCAGCAATCTTGTCCACCGCTATATCGAGCGCGCCACCGACTTTATCAAGCGCAGTCACGAAAGCGACACCCCCTTCTTCCTCTATCTTCCCTTTAATCACGTGCATGCACCCAATTCGTGCAGCCCCAAGTTCTGTGGCTCGTCAGAGCAGGGTGCTGTGTACGTGTGCAGCCGTCTCCATCGAAAGCTTCACACGCATGTGTCTTACATGGCCCGCGTACACGCTCATCCTCGCTTGTCTTTGGTCTTTGCTCAATTTGACAGGGGTGATGCCGTCCAGGAGATGGATTGGGCCATTGGCCGGATCATGAGCTATCTCGAAAAACTGGGTCTGGAAAATGACACGCTTACTTTCTTCACCAGGTTGGTTCAGTGTTCAGTGCAAACCGGGCGTTGTCGCTTTGCTCCTCTTGAGCCTTTCCGCTGGAGTTTGCATTGCCTCATAACTCAGGATAAATAACGCTTGTCGCTCTGCCACATGCTCATCATCGGCCAATGACCGTGCGTGTGTGTGCCTCTGCGCTCTTTTAGCGACAACGGTGCTCCGCTGCTGCAAGATGGTGCCGGAAACGGTGTGCTGCGCGACGGCAAGGCCAGCATGTGGGAAGGCGGCTTCAAGGTCCCCGCTCTGGCCCACTGGCCCGGCATGATCAAGGGCAACCAAGTCTCCCACGAGCTCACGTCCACCGCCGACATCTACCCCACCCTCATGCACTTTGCCGGAGTGCCTCTGCCCAGCGACCGAGTGTATGACGGCATCGACCTCTCGGATGTCCTGCTGGGCAAGGAAGGGGCCAAGGGCCACGAATGCATCATGTTCTACCACAATGCCGTGGCTGCCAATGCCTCGGGCGAGCTCTACGCTGTGCGCTGTGGAGACATGAAAGTGTACTGGGCCACCGCCTCCACCACAAGTCAGCCTTGGGCTGATGGTCCTCAAGAGCCCCCCCTCGTGTTCAATCTGACCGCGGATCCCGGTGAGACGACCCCTCTGACGGCTTGGACAGAGGAGTACGGGGCCACTCTGGGCGTCTTGACGGCAGCCAAGGAGGCCCACTTGGCCACCATTACTCCAGTCCCCGATCAAAACGCGCTGGGTTCGCTTCCCACCTACACCATTTGTGGCGAACCCAACTCGCAGACAGTCTTTGCTCGCTTCCCAGCTTGCACTACCACGCCCCAGAACTGGCATCCTATCGATGTGTGCAACAGCCAAGTCTGCCTTGAAGCCAACGTCCAGTTTGCCGCCAATTGCGACAAAACCATGCCAGCACTCGAGCTGGCGCGCAACCTGACCGCACCAGCCTCGAGTTAGGCTTTTTGGATGCTCGTCAAACCCTCTCCGCTCGTCCCGAGGACAGGCCCGTGCCCACGAGTCGCAGACTTGTCGATGTGCCTCACACGCCAAGCGTGTGCGCGTGCTTGAACACGTCATAGTGCGATCCCCTCGATAATGACTAGATATACTTAATCAAAACAAATATCATGGCTGTGCCAGTGAGTCTCTGTGTGTGCCGTATCGACCGAGCTCCTTCTGAGGCTCATCTTGAACGAATGAACCTTTTTCTCCCGTGTGAGGCTGAGCACTGCTCTGCCAAACTCTTTTTTAATTGATGTCGCTCTTTCGTTACAAGTCTTTCTCTAAACGCCACAATGACGACACACGACCGCGGCGCGCATTATGGAAGCCTGATGAGGCTTGTTGTGAGTAGCGTTTTATGAGATAAAAAAAAACAATTTTGCTGTGAATCGACAAATTTCGGACGTTGGAACAGAAGCCAATGCGAGCGAAATGGACAAGCGTCTAACTTGGTCAGAATGAGAAAACGGCACAAAGAAGACGAGACATCCTCTACGCCTTTCGTGTCTGGTCCTCGGTTCTTCACACGAGTGGCGGCATGCCCCCACCGAAAATTTGGAAAATGGTAAAAAAAATACAGCTGTAAATTATCGCTTAATTCATAATTATAAAACAACAACAGCAACGACTCTCAAAACAGTTCCTGCGTGACCTGTAATTCGTTCTCGCGACTCAGGTCCATACAGCAATCTCGCGGATCTTCAGCCAGGTGTGCTGACCAACCGTGGCTCTGAGGCGTAGCGAAGCACATTTCAATCCCATACCAGCAGCTGCCGCATACTGCAAGATCGACAAAGTCGGCATTAAGGGCAGGCGCAGGGGGCTTTGGTCGTAAGTCAAGGGACTTCTCTACGTACCCTGATGCGACCGTGATTAACATCGGCTAGATGCCGATACGCTGTCTGTCCTGGCAGCTGGCATTCGAGTACCCCTGGAACGGGGAAAGGAAGGGCAGGTTAGCACATTGCACTCAGCACTGGAGGCGGCCCAAGCTTCAAAAGTCCGACAGGGTCGCGGGGTACAGACCAGAGTGCAGCGTGTCCGACGCACCGAGCGCGCCGGCATCGCTTCCAGTGTCCACGAACTAGGCGGACAGATGCGGGTGAGAATACGGGTTTGCAGATCAACGAAGAGGCAGTCGCAGGTGCACCATGCAGCGCCAGCATTCGAGCTGTGGACTCCTGCGATTCTCACCACTTGATGAATGGACATGGGTTGGGGAAAGGACAGCGTGACATGGTCATTTGCACGAACACCCGCTGCCCAGAACGACCTATGCGAGCGCAAACCAGGGTGCATGCCGATACGTTAACCTGTTGCAGATGTGCGTTGCAACACGAGGGGTGCACCATACCCTGCTTGCGAGCCATAACAGGCTGAGGGGCCAAAGTTCTCGCTCCACACGGCCATGCTTGAGGAAACAACTGCAAAAAGGCACAGGCTTCATGAATTGGTGCCAATCTCAGTGGCACGCTGCTTTGGACAATACAGACCAGCTGGGGGATTAGTAGAGGCATAACGCTTGCGCTCAGCACTGCCCATGAACATGGGATCCTGAGAGGTCGAGTCGGAGCCAGGTGTGCGATGCAGATGCGAAGACAGAGTGAGGAGGCCCAAGTTGCCAGATTCTCTCGTGACAGGTCGGCGACAGGCACGGCACAGCTAAAGCTGGTGGGACACTCGTGTCACACGACCGTTCCCTGACTGACCGTCAGTGGCTGATATTTGCCCGAGAGAGACGAGTTGAAGCCTGCATGCTGAAACAGCGTGGGAAAGTGGACATGCACATAGGCCTTTTGCAAAGAGTCAAAACATCACTGAGGGCCACTGCTACGCCATTCCCGATGAAGGCACGATGCACGTCTTGGAAGCTCCAAAGCACGAGCTGACGCACCTTCGAGCGGGTCAAGAGTTGAAAGTAGCCCAACAACAAGTCCACGGGCTGGTAGAGATAATACTCCTATTTTCAGGTGAGCAGGTGAGACTATCGGTGAGGCAAGTGTTTGCAAAGCTCAAGGGCGTAAGAGCAATGATGCTACCCTCAAGCGGAGCCCAAATGACCATATGACCAAACCTGAAATAGACGAGCCAGTTGAGGAAGATCACGCGAATGCATTAAGCGTCCAATGAAGCCAAGCATGGAGAACTCGAGCACCGTCCACGGCTCCTGTCATTATGCTGTATGAGGGCTATGTTTGGCGAGAGAAAGAATGCAGACCGAGCAAAAGTCCGGCACTTTCAAAGGTGAAAGAGCTCTCACCTTGCGATATAGCTGTGCAAAGTCAAAGATGGCCTCAAGATACTCGGGCACTGTAAAAACATCGTCTTCCAGCTGACCAAGACAGATGACAGGCATGAGACCGTGCCATCACGAAGCATCATGGTGCCGTTAGGGAAGGCCTAGTGTCGTTCAGTGCCTGAACCAGGCGAGGGGCCCACCTGCAAATAATACTCGCCCAAGTTGTGCGCATAACTTAGGAGGTAAGCGTAGTCCAAACATTGTTTTTGGCGCCAGCCAGCCCGTTCCTAATACGATGGATACAGGCTCAGTGGAGACAAGCCGCTGAGCACATTGGTTGCACCCAACAACCGAGCAGATTGCCAGGCCCAACAAACCGTTGTGTCGTTGAACGCATAGGGCTCGGCACCAAGGTCCTGGGGGTAGCTGTCTATCGGCGCCTCTAGGATGCGCAGAGAATCGCGTTCGAGCTCGCGGGCAAAGTTCGTCCGAAGTTCGTGTTGAGTCTATGAGTTCCAGTTATCAAGTCGGAGGGTCCAGCGTATCCGGCGCAACACGCATTAGACCAACAAGTTTCGCAAAAAAAGAAAGCGGGGGCAAACAGTCCTCAAGGATGGGTTGTGGGGGCCTCCTCCCTACACGGAAAGCGAGAGGGAAGAAAAGAGCACGCGGACGATACCTGAGCCCGGTCAGAGGCGGAGATGTCGCTGAGCAGAACTACAAACAGGACCTTGTCCTCATACTCGGAGCTACGATGCTTGAAGAGGGACTCGAGGGTCTGAGTAAGATAGCGGCTTCCAGATCCAGCCCGACGCATTGATGGCACTCCGATTACCAATCGCCCTATCAGCACGCAGCGCGCCACAAGGCCCCATGGGGTCCATGAGACAGGCGAGGAGCAGACGCAGCAAGGGGCAAAGCAGACAAGGTAGGGGGTCGGTCCATGCATGATGGGCGTTTTTTTATGGAATGCGCAGGAAGAGCAGAATACATACGAGGTTTGGTCGCATCAAGTAGTGCAACGGGCAGTCGCTGCAGCTCTTGAGCAAAAGGCAGGAAAGGAACCGGTCGCGGGGCGTTCACGTTGATGCTGGCCACGTTTGATGTGGCTTGAAGACGCAGGCGTAGATCCCACAGGCTGGCCAGAAAGAGCAAAGATAGCACACCCACAAGCAGGTGCGAGACCCGCAGCCGGGACCGGCCCATGGTTGATGACTGTCAGCCCGTTAGACGGAGCTGAGCGGCAGGCTCTATTGTGGACACGTGTGCTGATGGGCCTCAGGCCCCTCCATGTCTGAATCTGATGTCAAGCACGGGCGCGAGCAACAGATCGTCTGTCACAGCAGCTAGCAGAAAACAGCCCTTTCAGGCAGCTGGCTATTGGCTGGCTGCCCGTACCCGTGCGCCGGACGGCAGGGGCACCGAGGGTCAGATGCAGCAGCAGGTCGCACCACCCACCACCACAACATCAACACCAGCAGCAAGTTCTATTCAAAATACCATTACTATCATTGAGCAGCTTAACAGTTCTACAATAACTGCGATGTTGTCAGCAATAAATGACACCACCCTCACATGTTCCTTTCTCCTCACTCCCTGAACAATATCTTGTTTGATGATCGCCCAATTACAAGAGTGGTCGAAGGACCTTGATTCTCAACTCGATTGGGAACGGGGAATGGCTTCAATATGGTTGTCCGTCTCTCACTTGGACGTCAGGAGCCCAAGGGACAAGAACATCAACGGTGTTGCATGCAGCGATTGCGCAGAGAACGCGGGTTACTGCGGCAGGAAGGGGAGAGACTTGGGCTCGACCCGACCACTGGCGCTGATTCGGCCCTCGTACTGCATGTCAGTCAAAGCCAGCCACTTGCAGTAGGCCCGCTCTGGAGGACCCAAGTCAGTGCACGAGCAGAATTGCGACAAGGCGCGATTCACCGCATTCAGGCGGTCAGCGGCCAAGGTCGCAACCTCGGTACCCAAGACGTGGAGCTTGCGCTCCAGCTGTTCAACAGCCAGCTGATATAGACGTTGGTCCAACTACACATATGTGCCGCACGCGGTGTATCAAGACCCAGGTAGTGCGATGAGCGCTCAAGCGTGATCAGATGCAATGGCGTTGACGTGCGTGTGTGTATGTTTGTGTGTGTATGTATGGCCTTTGCGGGTTCATACCTCTGTGAGCGTGCTAATTTGCTGCACCAGATCTGGTGACAAGTCTTTGAGCCGAGGCGTGGGCTTGATGGGTTTGCCATCCCAGCGCTTGGAGCCTGCCGAAGAATGGCTATCCAGCAGCTTGACGTAGGCAACATCCCACAAACTCCTGTGTGTGTGTGTGTGTGTGTGTGGGTGGGTGTAGCAGCCACGGGTTAGGGAAGAGCAGATTTCTGCGATGGGCAAGCCCCAAGATTGTGGTAACACAGAAAAAGCAACAATAACAAAAACGGCAACAGCAGCAGCAACCACAACAACCATCAAATTGAGGTGAGCTTACCAGCCCCATTCGGCTGCCAGGACCACAAGGCTCTCAGTCATGCGGTCCGAGAGAAGGACGGTTCGGAAGTCAGGCCAATAGCGCGCCTCGAATTCTTGGGCATCGGCTGGAGTGATGACGGCAAAATCCCGGGCCAAAATGTCGCGGTTGCGACCTGCAGCCACTGCAGCTTCAAGGGTGTTTTGAGGCCCTCCATTCGGCTCATTGTAGAAATAAAAGTATGAGACATAATGGGACAGGGGTTCACGGAGGATGGTCACAAAATCGGCGTCGGGATTGACACGTTGGTACCAAGCATGCGCTTCTCGCCAGCGCTCAAAGTTTCCCAAATGGCCAATGACGCCAGCCCAATGATGCAGAGCAATGTCCGCGGGAATGGTGCGATTGTTAAAGTAGGAGAGACGCAGCCCGTGGGTGGGACTCTTGTAAACCGTGAGGTTGTAGCGCCCCGCTAGCCGAAACAAGATGCTACCAAGCGTGCTGCTCGCCGTCTTATGCGTCTTGATATAGGAGATACGCTTGGACCGTCGTTGACGAAAGCGCAATGCATCAGCAGCAAGGGCTGCGTGCTCCAGGTCATGGGATTTAGGCAGGCAGCATTGCTGCCCGCACTCGGCAGACTAGAAAATGCAAACAACAAGGGGGCGGGGGACGTAGTGGGCACCTCGGTCAGGGATTGGGCGATGGAAGTGGCAGTAGCCTTGGTTTTGGTACACAATGAGCATCTCGGGTGAGTGCGTCGGTGGTGATGGTGGTGGTGGCTTTGAGAAAGCGGTGAACCCCGGAGAAACTGGAAAACAACAACGGGCAATAACAGCAATGGTGCATGCTTGAAACGGCAAAGCTCACCCGGTCAGCACGGTTCTGGCGGGCTTGCGATACGCGCTCGGTAGGCTGTGCGCTGTGTAGTGCAGGTGCTCCATGGAGAAGAAGCCCTGTGTCCCTGGTGTGGTACACCGGCGATGCCTTGTGTATGCAGCCAAAAAAATACCCACTGCACAGGATGAAGACGCCTAGCACAAGGAACTTTGCTCGCTGAGCCGAGAGAAACATGGTTGACTCGCCTCGTGCCGGCTCCCCCGCTAATCGTTCTCTCTCTCTCGCTTACTACGCGAGGGCCTCCACGGTAGTATGAGTGAGGCCCAGCCAGCGTCGAGCGTCTCTTGCGAGACAGGGCAGACGGAAAGTAGTTTCCCGTCCCTGTCGTCGTTGCTCCAGTCAATATGACTGATCTCAAGAAATCACGATTCAAAACCGCGCAGCCCTGGAAATTGCCAATCAACAGCCTTCAGCATCGATTGGGAGCCCGAGCCAGCAACACGAACGCGACGTTTGCACCATCGAATCAGGAAATTTGCTTACATGCACGGAATTGACAAAAACGACCACAACAGATGTTGACAACACACAGACAACGCGGCAGTTTTTTTTCAACTTTTTTTTCGTGTCTCGTTTGAATTTTTTTCTTTTTTCTTTTTTTTTGTGTGTGATCTCGCGCTGGTTGTGCGGATTTGGGCGCACGCACGTACGCGTGCGTCTTGTACACCTGCGCGATGCCGTCCAATCGTTTGGCCGTGGCCGGTATGGTGCTGGGCGCTATTGTGCTGGTGCAGATTACGTATATGCTAGGTTTTCGTCATGGCGAGACAGCGACGATGGACACGCACTTGGAAGACGCGGCCAACTTGCACGGCGGAGCGTAAGTGAGCTTGCTTCATCGAGGGAGGCGAGGTTGATTCGCGGGTGAAAGGCACGAGTCAAGGGGTGCTGATGCGCCATACAAAAAATGGGAAAACTATCTCGTCGAAAAGCGTCTCGTGCTGACCCTTTGGCGCTCCTCTTTTCAGATCCCACGAGCATCTCGTGGATCGTCAGTTCGAGCAACGACTGCTCCTTCCTCAGGAGCCTGCTCCAGCTCCGCCGACCCCAAACCGCCCTCCCGCCCCATTCAAACGTGAGGTGGCCAAGAAGGGCCCAAAGGGTCAACAACAGCAACAACAACAGCAACAACAGCAACAACAGCAACAGCAGCAGCAACAGCAGCAGCAACAGCAACAGCAGCAACAGCAGCAACAACCGTCTCCCCCACCCCCGCCACCGAAGCAGCGCCAGCAGCAGCAGCAGCAGCAGCAGCAGCAGCAGGTGCCCGTGCAGCGTGGGCGTGAAAGTCAGGCCATCCTTGACGATGACATGACCACACGTTTGGAAAAGTCCAACATCAAGCTGATGGATAAGCCTCGCGCCGTGTTGCCTCCCAACGATGGAGCCACAAGCCGAGTTGAGGAAGCCAAGGACATGCTCAACAACCTGCGCCCAAAGCAATCGGCCCCTGATGCAGGAAACAAAGCGAACAGCCCGGCCAAACCAGCCAACCCGGCCAATCCGCCCAAGCCTTTTGTTAATGGCAAGCCCGCTGGCTCAAACTTGGATACCGATCGTCAGTCGCCCTTGGCTTCGCAGCCGTTTGAGAAGAACTCACCCTTTGGGCAACGCATGGAAAAACTGGAGGCCCTTCGCGCGCAAGACAAGCGTACCCCGATCAAGGACTTGCCTGGCGCTGTGCCTGTGACCAACATGAGCATCGTGCCAGATACTTGCTACTGGGTCCCCCTGGAAAGCTTCCCCGAGGAGCGCATGGCTGCGTCTGTCGAATGCAAGGCAGGTCCCCACAACCGCTCTTGCCTTTTTGAGAACATGTTTCAGTTGGAGGTCTTGTCCATCTTCAACGTTGAAGGCCACCAGCTGCCCACCATGGGCAGCATGACCACAAACCGAGACGGCAAGTATGGTTTCGGTTGGGCCCCTCGCTCTATTGCTGCGGCCACAACAGGCGAAGCCCATCAGACCCTTTACAAGACCTTCAACGGCGTTAAGCGTCCTCGCCGCCTGATCGCGTGCCCTGATGCGACTCTGTACTTCCACACCATGTTTGCCAGTGAGTATCAACTCTCGATGCAGTATCGCGTTCCCTCGCGTTGCCCACGCTTCCCTTTGATCTCTACGCCATTCCCATACCCTCACGCCTGCTATGCCGCGCTTGCCGCTTGTCGTGATTAGGCAACCCTGGTCATGGGATGTGGGACGGGCTGTACCCAGCTTACGTGTCTGCGGTGCGCATGGGTTATGGGGATATTCCTTTCCGCACCTTTGTGAGCCTGCCTGAATGGAAGGGTCCCTGCAAGGAGGGACGCACCAAGGGCTGCCAGGCCAAGGAGGTGATTGAGAAGTTTGGTGGTCTGGGCATGATTATGACTCAGAGCATCTCCCGCCTCCAGACTGAGAACATCGGGATATACTTTGAGAAGATGATCGTGGGCAGCGGTCGCATGGCTCAGCGCTTCTTAACGGCCGATGTGGCCGTGCCGGGCATGCGGTCAGAAGGCGTGGCCCCGCTGTTTCGCGACCGCATGTATTGGTCTCATAACCGGTGGTACCGGGACTGGAAGGCCGGCCGCTCCAACGAGGACATTGGGGCCTTTGTGGTGGAGAACAAGCGCTACACCTCGTCGGACCGCGAGCAAATCCAAGCAGCCATGGACGAACTGCGCGACGAGGGCATGGTGGTGGAATGGCTTTCCTGGGGCAACTACTGGCCTTTTGAGGCGCAGCTTGAGAAGATGGGCTCCTCTGACATTTACATCACGGGTCCTGGAACAGGCATGATGCTCTCCCCCTTTATGCCCAACATGAGCGTTGTCGTCAACCTCGGCGACTGCTTTAAACGATATGACCGCATCCACCCAAGTTTTGAGGAGGAGTACGTCACCGAGGGCTCGGACTTTTTGCGTGGCCTGTACTACGACAGCCACACCCGCCTCCAGGGGCTGCAAAAGCCAAAGTTGGTAGAGCTGTTCCGTGAAGCCTTCAAGCTGAGCCGCGAGGGCTTCACCCTGCCCGTACCGCCGCGCCTGAACCTTTCGCCGGAGGGTCGCATCTTTGCCGAGGCCTGCGACATGGCACCGCAGACGTGTAAGCAAATGCTCAACGAGATGAATTCGGTCGTGCCGCCCTGGCAATGCGTGGCCGATGCCTGGGCTTCTTTTGCCGTCTACGAAGTCGGCGGCTATGCCGAGGGCGGACTGTCGAAGGACGACGGCAAGAATCGCACCTGCACGTTGCCGCGCACTGAGATCCGTCAGCTTCGCAAGAAATATGCCAACATCATCGGGACCAACGAGGTCAACAAGCGCCAATGCTAAGCACGTTTGGGATGGAACGCTGTGCTGGAGAGGCTCAGCCGCTTCGCTCTTTGATCTTATGGTCTCCCTATCGCCTGCCATTCTCATTTGGCCGCGAGTTTCAGGAGGTGTCCGTCGATGATTCTTCTTTGTTCCTTTGTTTGGTTTTTCCTAAAGCTCTTTGAGTGTTTGTGCCCTCGTCGAGCATTCGTGTTGGGCTAAATGTGCGTGCTTGGCGACGTCCCTGGATCTTTATCTATTTGTGTCGATCTGCCTGGTCCCGGGTCGTGGCCATGTGCGTTTATGACTTTCTTCCATTTTCTCAAACATGTCTTCACCAATCGCTCGGCAAACGATTAGCGCTGCGGCTTGGCATGACGTCGAGCTCGCGCGCGTCCAAAGCCAAGCAGGTGTTGTTGTCCTGACTTCCTGCTCCTAAAATCAACAAGACCTCTCTAAAATTGCAACCGAGCATGAATTTCATCAACCCCTGTGATCACACAAAAGAACTGAACATACAGCTCAATATGAAGAAATCGACGAAATACTTGGAGAACACAGCTTGATAAGCTTATCAAAAGCATGAAGAAAGTGCAGAAGATGTACAAGAAGATGTAGCTACGTGCTTTCAAATTTCAAGTTTGAAATTTTAATTTTTTTTTTTCGAGTGTTTGGAGACGATCACGACCCGAGGCGCTGTGCTGGATGAGCAGTACAGTACAAGGTCTTGCGAGTGCACACGGCCGGGGTTGATATCGCCCACACGCCTTGCTTTGCTTGGGAGAGGATACGGGGACGAGGATAAGGGGACTGGAAGCAAGGTGGCCACACTTGTCGGGGGTTGTCTGTCCAAAAGGCCAAGGGGTTCAACCCGGAGGTGTTTGCTTGTGTCCATGGTGATCCTTCCAAGCCGGTCACAGCGGTTGGACCAGCTGCATCCTGCGCTTTGTTCCGTGCCTGCATGGGACCGTCGGCCCAGGGTGTATTGGTCAGCCGCAATCACATTGGCACTGTGTACCCTCTAATAAATGTGACCCAACTCTGTCGTATTGACGCCGACCGATGCCGCCTGTGCTTGCGCACGCGAATGTGTGAGAGGTGGTCAACGACATGGCCACAGGGCGATCACGCTTCTCTTCCTCCTCCATTACCGCCAGCGACACCGCATCTAGGTCGGTTGTATCTTACTCACCGTGGCCACTGCTCTTGGCCTCCCCCTCTTGCCCTATTTTCTTTTCTTTTCTTTTGCGGTCCAAGCGGTGGCCAAACCGCCCCATTTCTCTGCCTGGCCTGGGTCGTGTGGGCTGACAACGTACGTCTTTGCGCTTTAGTCCGACTCAACGGGCCGAGCAGCGTCAGCAGCTTCTGACCTTTGCCAAGGACCACCGCCTCATCTTTGGCAAAAATCGTGTCTTTCGTGAGGTTTGTTGCCCTGCCTGGCCTTTTCCCCTTGTTACCTATGTCACCGCATGTTCTGCGGCCCGCGCCACCGGCTCCAGCACCTCAATATTCTTTCCTATCGGCTGCGTTGGCACGCATCTCCGCGCACTGATAGGTGCCAGGCAAGTCTGCGCCGCTGGACGGCTACCTCTGTGTGCATGTAGTTGAACACCAAGGGGTTAAGATAAGGTGAGCGCAAAAGAAGGCAGCTCGCCTTCTTGCTGAGCGGTAGAGTATCTATTGCCTCCTCATATGGCTGGCACTCGCCTCTGCTCCACAGCTGGCTGCCCCTGGCCGTGTGTGTGAGCGACCAAGATAGCCAGGATCACCACGCAATTTATGAAGTGTTTTTGCACAATGTCCGACGCTTGATTTCTCTACAACGCTCATCTCCCCCGAACGTTGCCATGGACTCAACGGTGCGCGATTCTTCGTGACCCCTTCTCTTTGTGCTACGAACAACGGGCTTGACGTTGGTGACTGTGGACTCATAGCGTCTGAGTGCCTTGCTGTAGGCCGATATGTTGGTCATGGAGACGACTGATGGTGACATGTCCGCGCGCTTCTGGAGTTCGGTGCGCAATGCCTTTGCGCAACTGTATGAAACGCTCGTGGATGAGCAAGCGTGCATTTTACTTGAGGACAGTCATGCAGAGCTTCCCCCAGACTTGGCATCGCCCAAAGCGGCGATTCACAGCGTCCAACTCGTTACTGCCCCCGAGTTGCAAAAAGATTACAGCAAGTCGGCATCCAAGGATATATCGGCTTCACATAAAAGGAGCCCCGGAGGCTGGCGTCTTCGGTTTGTGCATCGCCTATTTTGTGTGCCATGCCCAACACAAGCTTCTAGTCCTGAAGGCGCCATTCGCTCGCCCACCTGCCAGGTATTGTGCACCTCATTCGCGCACTGGATCATGTTCCTTTTGCCCTCGATGCCTATTTTTAGGCCCGGCTTGCCGCGCCAAGTCGTGCAGCTTGGCTCACGAGCACTCAATCAAGTTGTGCGCCCACTGGGGAGTTTACTGCGTGGGTCGCAACGGACCCATATGCCCATGGACGAGATTGAGAGCCGAATGTTGACGGCCAAGGTGGGGGGTGCAGCGCAAGCCCAGCAACCAGCATGCTATGCGCTTGATCCTTCACAGCCTCATGGCTCACGTCGCGGCTGCTGGGGGTACATCATGTCTTTGTCCGGCAGAAGCGGCGCATGCTCATGTCTTGGAAGATGTACGTATACCGCAAGCGGAGACTATTGCAGGTCAATGCCCAGCTCCTGGAAGTGGGCTCTTGCCCCCAGCCCGTCTATGGACGCCATCTTCCACAAGCCCTATCGCGATGCCAGCTCACGCCCACTGGGCTGTGGGAGGCCGCTAGCCACATGGCGGATGAGGCCTTTCTTGAGGCCACACACTCACTCTTTCCACGTCGACAGCAACTCTACGCTCACGTTGTGGAGCAGGGCATTCCTCCCACCAAGCGGCACCTACTCTGGCCACACCTACTTGGTGTGCTGCGGTGGGAAGCCCATCCTTCGCAGCATGCTGAGAAGATCAAGTCGCTGCAAGAGGCGTATCAAGCCGTCGTGGCTGCTTTGGCAGCCCAAGAACTGAGCGAAAGCGAGCAAGCCCATTGGGCTCAGCAAGTGGACGTGATTTACTACGACACGCTGCGTGCCGACCGCGATCTGTTGGCCATGGCTGGCGGCGATGCTGCTGAAGCCCAGGCTGCCATGCAGCGGATCCTTCAGGCATACGTTTATCTGCATCGCTATCCCGGCTACTTTCAGGGCATGTCGGATATCTTGGAGCCGATGCTCCCGTTGTTTCACGGCAATGAAGCTCTTGCTTTCCATTGTTTTGTCGGGTACATGGAGTTTGCCCGTACTCGATTTGACACCGCCGAGGCCGACGCTACTCAGCAGGCCATGCAGCTCGTGCGCGACCACCTCGCGTGGCAGGATGCCGAGCTCATGCGTGGCCTTGAGCAGCGCGAGGCAGACAGCCTCTTCTTTACATATCGATGGTTTGTGGTTGACTTTAAACGCGAATGCCCAGACGTGGAGGTAAGTTGTGTGTTCGTTGCCAAGAAGCAGCAGAGCGAGTGTGTATGTTGAAGCAAATCATGACGTCCACCTCACGCTTTTTTTTTTTTTTTTTTTTTCCGTTTGATTAGACCATGTACACATTGTGGGAGCGCTTGTTGGCCGCTCGATGGTCACGGAGCCAGCACATGGCCGTGTTGATGGCCGCTGAGCTTCTTGTACAAAACCGGTGCGCCAACCTGACTGCGACTCTACACTGAGAGATTTTGGCGTTTTTGCTGGCTAGCCTGGCATCTGATGTCAAGCCGTGCCGTGCCATTTTGTTCCTTAGAGTGTCCATACTGGCGTGCACCCGAGAGGATGCCATCTTGAAGTTCTTCACTTCAAATTCCTTTGACATGCTGAATACCTTTGAGGGGGCGTTGGCACGTCTTGAGTTGACTCAGCAGCGCCTCGAGGCCCGCGAGTGGTAGGAGATAGATGATCGCCACGTCCGTGCGACAGACAAGACATCCTTTTTTTTGCCACGGTTTGGCATGTCGACTTTGAGAAACATCCAAAGCTCAGCTGCGCGGGATATGAAGATGATAACCAAAGTCAGATGTTAACATATAAATTGCTAATCGAATTCGTGCCTAATGCTGTTTCTTTAGTGTTGGTTGAGGGTGGAATGAGTCGAATTGGCACGAATAGGGCATGACCAAAAAAGAAAAAGAAAAGAAAAATAAAGCACGGAAAGGCGCGCACAGGCATTCACAGCGAGCAAATGCCACAGAACGGGTATGGCGAAACCATGCGTTAATGCCAGATAGGCACACAAGGTGGGACAATTCAGAGGCAGCTATGAAACGGAAAAACAAAAACGGCCAGTATAAAGAGCGCAAAAAACAAACAAACAAACAAACAAACAAAACAACAAAGAGCTGCCGTCGTTGGCACGACGGATGCTTGAAAGGCAGGCGGCATAGAGCCAGATTAGAGGACGCAGCCAAACAAAGAACAGCCCAGAAAAAGACAAAGAGCTGAAGAAAGAAGAGGGGGAGAGCAATGGGAAACAAATGGAGAGAATGGGCAGTTCTTCACGACGCGAAATGCAAGCAAACAGAACTAAATCTATGTACTCGGATATAAATGTGTTGATCGGTATGGCAGGGAGACCATGTCACAGAACACCAATGGGAGAATATAAACGGTTGAGCAAAGCACCGGAACAAACAGGTCAGGAGTGAGACGAGCACACACACTGAGGCGACGACGCACTGGGCATTGCTGTGTCAAAGAATAGGGGGATAAAAAAAAAAAAAAAAAACCAAGGGAAAAATAGGGTTCGGCGCAGGTATCGAACAAACGAAATAAATGGGGTCTGTCCTGCTCCGCAGTCTTACAAGACCAAGGGCATGCCATTCTTCTCCATCGAGCTCATGGAGTCGGTTGCTTCGCCCAAAGTGCCCAAGGACGACTGCAGTGACACGACAGTTTCCAGCAAAACAAGGTGAGACACGACAGGGGCGAGATGACTTGAAGAGAAGAGAAGAGCAAGGGCCCAGCACGGCACTACGGAAAGCAAGATGGCATACGCACCGATTCGTGGCCCTGGGTGAAATGGGTGGGCCAGGCATCATCAAAGCTGCGCTGCTTCTTGGGGAAATGGTGCTTGGTGCCGATTTGGTGGGGCAAGGTTGAGTTGAGGCCCATGTTGTCCAAGTGGTCGACAAGATCCTTGAGACCCTCGTCAGCAGAGCGGCCACCGTCGGCCCAAATGAGCGAGGGGGTGTGAATCAAGGGTTCTTCACAGCTGTGGGAGCGACGGTAGCCGCGTTCAACGGTGAGGCCTCTGGCTGGCTCGCCGGGATGAGCGGCACTGGAGCTAGAGTGATCCCGTTCAGAGGAGGCGTGCGGGGAGACGGAATTGCTTGAGTGGTAGTTTGGGCCGTTGCCACTGCCACGGCGGTTGCGGGTGTTGTTGAGGGCCTCCGAGTCGTAGGGTTTCTCTTCAGTGCGGGCGTCTCCGGTGGTGTAACCGGCCTGGCGCGCACGGCGGTAGTACTCGCGCAATTCTTCCTCGGAGGACGGTTCACCCTGCATGGCTGAAGAGGTGGGCGCGCCCTTGTTTTGAAGAAACTTGTAGCGACGGGCCGTGGGGCCGTTGGCATGCTTTACACGAAGAGGCTCATGGGCACCGGGCAGGGGCAGTCCGTTCAGGTTGCGAATGACGGCAGTGCAGGCGTCGGGCGAGTCCATGCGAGCCAAGGCGACGCCTCGGCTTTGGCCATATTCGTTGCGGAGAACACGGCACGAGAGAACCTCGCCGCGACCGGTTGCGGCGCGCACCAAAGTATCGGCCAGATCTTGTTCCTTCATGCCGTAAGGGATGTTGGCAATGTAGAGGTTGGTCGGGTCGATCGGGATGCGGCCCTGAATCTCAAGCTGTGCCTTGCTCACGCGAGCGTGAGCAGCCTGCACGCCCATATTGGTAAGGCCCGTCAGGGCGGCTTTGGCTGACGACTCGCGCTCAAACATGACAAAACCATAGCCTTTGCATAGGTTTGAATTGCGGTCGATGATGCTCTATGCGAAATGACAATAACAATAATAATGCCATGGAGGGTAAGAGTGAGTGCAGCGGGGGTCGTCGGAGCGCGGCGCGGCGCAGTGCGGTGCGGTTCTTGAGTATGAGGTGGGCGCAAAGCGGTGCAGGATGTACCTTGGCGGAGATGATGGGGCCATAGGATTGGCAAAGGAGTTTCAGGTCTTCGTCCGTGGTGGCAGGCTATGTGGGTTTTCAGTTGAGCGGCGTGAGTTGCACGTCCAGTGACAGAGGAGAGACTGCGGAGGGGAAATGACAAGACATGTAAGTATAACAAGCGGGTGATGGGGTGGGCTGCCGGTACCTTGAGGCCGGAGATGTAGATGTTGGTGGTGGAGAGGGGTTGAGTAGGATCGCCATGGCCTGGTGGAGGACCCACTGGACCACCACGCATCAGATGATGGTTGGGTGGCAGGCTGGCGGGGGGCGCACCCATGCTAGCCGAGCCGAGCATTGCCGCGGCAGCAGGAGCACCGGGAGCGGCAGCAGCGCCTGGTACGGTGCCTAAGATAATCGGACAAGCGAGACAAGCGAGGCAAGCGAGGCAAGAGGGGTTCGAAGGAGAGGAGTGAGAGGAACAAAGAAAGAAAGAGAAGAAAAAAAGCAAAGAACCGAGAACAAAGAACCGAGAACAAAGGGAGGGTGGCCAACACGTACCAAAGCCGGAATAGGGATGGTGCAGTGAGGGGGGTCCAGGAGCAGGGGCTTGGGCTTGTGGCATGGGGACGCTGGCGGCCGAGGAGCTGGCCGTCATGTAGGGGGGATAGGGGTTGCTCGAGTATACGGCGGTCGGGGGTGGAATGGAATAGCGATAAGCAGAGGTGGGATACATGGTCTGGCTAGAAAACGGATCAGCCGCAAAAGCCGGGGGATAATCCATAATGGCGGTTGAAGTTGTGGATGATAAAAAGGGCGGTCAGATGGAATGACGTAGAAAATGGGGGGTTTTGCTTGTAATAAAAGAAGGAGAAGAAAGGATAGGTAGTCTGGGTTCCAGGTGGGGTGGGATGCCAAAGGAAAAAAAGAAGAAAGCAAAGCGAGGGCGCCAGGAACCGACGAGGCGTGTCTGTGTACGATGAGAAAAATAAAAATATAAAAAAAAATATCCCAAAAGGCAGCGGTGCGAAAGAGGAGGGGGAGAGGAAGGAAAGCCGGCAAACAACGTCGACGAGTGGGTCTTTTTTTTTTTTGCCAACGAGGAGGGAGAGGGAGGGTGTGTGTATGGTCAACGAGGACGGAGGTCGGGTCGGTGTCGTGGTACGTTTGTCGACGCTCGTGTGTGTGTAGTGGCCGGGAATGTGCTTCCGGCGAGTGGATGGTGGCTGACCGACAGGGGTGCGTTGACAGGGCGGGGAGGGGTTTGTTGCGTCGCCAAGTCAAAGGGCAGGCTGAATGCGCAGTGTGCACCAGTAACGAGGAGCAGCAAGACGAGGGCTCTGACGGCGGAAAAAAACAGACGACAGCAAAGGTCGTCAACGTCGTCGTCTCGGCCGTGCGCCAAAAATTGAGAGAGAGCGAGTGAGTGCGCGCGCAGAGAAGAGAGAGAGAGAAGAGAGAGAGAGAAGAGAGAAGAGAGAGTGTGTGTGAGAGTTGGGAGCAACAAAAGGAAATATGAGAGAGGAGGTTGAGTGACGAGTGAAAAGCAGAGGAGCGGCCAGATTGGGGTAGGAGTGTATGGTGTCGATAAGCCAAAAGCAGAGATACGACAGATGTAGCGCTACCAGGAAGAGCTACAGTCAGCCAAACATCAATTCGCAAAGTGTGGTGGAAAACGTTTCTTATTATAACAAAGGAGGATGACTGCTGCTGTTGAACGTGGACAACAGAAGCCACCCAACACTCACACACACACACACACACACACATTGAATGATTGTGAACAAAGCAGATTCGGCTTCTTTTGTCTCTGTGTGTGTGTGTGTGTGTGTGTGACAACAAAAGAAAGGGACGACTGGAAGAGCGAGAGCGCGAGCGCAACACCAACACCACAACCACAACCAGATGAACGCAAAAGCCTCCAACTGCGGTTGCCTTGCTCTTATGGCCATGTTGCGTATGTTTGATGGTGGTGGCCTTTCTTGGCAGAAGAAACAGGGCCACGCACGTCAAAGCGAGCTGTCACACACTTGTAGCTCGAAGATCAGCAACGCATGTAGACCGACCGATGCAGACCAGACAGACCAGAAACACACACGCGTGCCAGAGCAGTCGTGGTTGACGTAAAGTCAAGTAACGGAACACGCAGTTGGAGGGGCTATGGTGCTGACACGTCCACGCCTGTCTGCCTCGATGGGGTACATGTAGTTCCATGCTGGCGGTCACGACCTCTTCACCCCACTATAACATGCATGACGCGTGTGGTGGTCGGAAAAAAGAAAGATTCGGGTCGCGAAGGTCATTGGTTGTCGCACAAGTCCCACAGAACCCCAGGTGAGTTGGCTTTGTTGCACCATCAATCATGGGATGCTCTGGTTTAAGATCGTTTACCCTTCTTTTAACCCCAAAAAATGGTGGCAGCTGATGGTTTTTTGCACCATGCTTTCAAGGCGGGTGATAGTGTCTGCTTCCTTTGGCATGTGAGCGCCAAAGCGCCGCACTGACGTCAGTGTGGGTGATGGGATGGGATTGGAGAACAGATCTAAAGGAGTGATATCGCAACCATCATGTCTACACGTGAGTGGGCCTTTTGTGGGATCCCTCGTCTACACTCCGTACCTCGATGCTGCACGTGGTGGGTGTCGCGAAGGTCCCAGCATCCCATCCCCTATTGCAACTGCGATGAGTTGGTGTGTTGATGGGTTGGTGTGTGTTGGCACGATGCGTCAGGGCGTCCCATTTGGGCTTTAGAAAGCAAAGCGATGCCGCCTCGATTTGATGGTCTGTCGAGGCGACACGTCCCCACATAACACAAAAGCGATGCCGGCAGCACACCCCCAACTTTCGCAACGCCCTGCCTTTCCGCCACCAACGCCTATTAATAGCAGTTGCAGATGTTATACATTAGGGAGTGGCATTTGATAATCAGATCCGCTGCATGCGTGCACAAACAGGGATTTTGTGTTCTGTCACGATGCGCGAAGCGATGCGGACCCAGGGCATGCCCGCTTCAATGGCACGGTGGTCTGGCTGTGGCGCGCCAAGCATCTCGTATAGCAACGAAAAAAAAGAACCAACTGTTGTGGCTTGTGTGCGCGCCCTCAAGCCCCCACGAGCGCGCCTAGACACCACAGGCCCCAGGCACATACCAAGAACAGCGGACCCCTCAGGGGTGTTGCCCGCAAGCCTATGCCCCTGACCAAGCGGGCACTGGACTGGACTGCTTTGTATTGTAGCCTTGTATTTTCCTCTCGTGTTGACAATTTGCCAGACACCACCACCACCAGACCTTGGCCTGCCGCTTGAAAATCTCTCGGCTCGGCCTTTTGCAGCTAGCTCCTTTGGGAAACGCTTCAGCCGCGTGGCGCCTCGCCCCTTCACCCCCCCGGAGCATGTCTTGAGCCCCAAACTGCACCGCCACCATGAATCACGGCATCGAGGGACTCCCTCAGTACGACTCCCCCGCGCATCTCGAACGCGATGATGACTTTCTCACCGCTCCGAAAGGTACGTCGCTGCACGCCATCGCTGCCGGAATAGGCGGTTAGGCGCCCCAGCGCGATCAATGCCCTGTCGCTGGTGCTCCTGCCATTGGCCCCTCTCTCTTGAAAGTGTTCAGGCAGCTCATGCTTTATGCTTTTTTGTTTGACCGACACATGTCGGCGCGGGTAATTGACGCTGCAGACGGCTGGCTGCACAACCAATTTGCCTTGCAGGTCAGTCGGGTCTTCCATCTCGCTCCTATCCTGGCTTTGACTCGCTCGAGACTCCCTACACTAAATCCGAACTGATTTTTCCCAACGAAAGCCTTCCCACTCATCACTCGACTTATTTGCTCCCCCCTCTTTCCCTGTTCGTCCCGTGCTGGCCGATCCAGTATGGCGAGGGCGTGTTCTACTCCTTCCCAGTGACCTACATTGGCCGTCACCAGGTGGCCAAGAGCCTGCGGACGGTCGAGTTTCCTGTCCGACGTCGCATTTGTCAGGAAGCCATTGCACGCGTCCGTGAGGCTTCCAATACTCGAGATCCCATCCCTCGCGACGTGGACAAGGCCTCTGCCAAGTTTCTCGACCGCTTCGAAGCCGACATCAAGCTCGAGTCTATCGTCATCAATATCAGCGTCGAAGGTCAGCCTCCCACATCCTAGTCAGAGCTCAATTCACCTTGGCCGCTCTGCCTGCATCTCGACCAGCCACTCACCGCTGGCTGAACCTGCCACCCCGACGCACAGGCATCGTCCTGGCCACGCCCGATGAAGATCGTGTCATTGCCCATCACCGCATGGCTTGCATCAGCTTTGCAGCCGGCGGTGACTTTGAAGACTACGACCAAGTGGCCTACATTGCCAAAACCAAGCTCGGGCGCATCGTAGGTCCTTGCCCCGTTTGCCCCCGTCCCCAACGAGCAAGGAGCGACGAGCGTCGCGTGCTACAGCAGGCAGCCCAAGTGGGCACATGTTCCGTTTCAGAACAGCGAGCTCAATCTGCTTTGATCGCCTCGCGCCGTTTGCTGCCCCGCACAGTGTTACGTCTTTGACTGCGGCCAGTATTCCAACCAGGTGCTGTCCACCATCGGGCAAGCCTTTGTGACGGCCGGTGAGCAGCAGGATCTCGAATACGACGAATACGAAGAGTTTGATGAGCTCGATGAAGAGTACGAGGCCTACACTCAGGTGGAATATGGTGGCATGACCGAAGCCGAATATCGCGACGTCTACGGTGCAGTAGGTTCCTCTCTCTGCTTGCCAACCTTGTCGACCCTCGCTCGTCCTTCCTTGACCCGACCACCCAGCCAAACCCGCCGTCACTGACCCCGTGCTGCATGGGGTGACAGACTGGGGACAGTCGCTATTACTCAAGCATTGAAGGTCAAGCCAACATGGTATGTACATCAACAGTTTGCAGGCCCAGCCCCTCGCGTGCTGGGATGGCTGCACTTCTCGATCCAGAGGCTGACTACCCCCACGCCAACGACACGGTTGGGTCTTGGCCTCACGTCTTTTGCTCCCATTGCCACAAATAGATGTATGCTGCCCCGAACGAAGCCAATGGGGGCGATTATCACGAGGTGGGCACCGAAGAAGAAACCGACGACTACTTGGCACCTCACCCATTGGCCACCCACTACACCGATGCTCTCACAATCTTGGAGGGCGACGATAGCAATTATCATGATCTCTCGCGCCAGGACGGGGCCACCTACGACGTGGCCGCTCGGCACCGCTCAGGGCGTGGGCGACCCGCTCAAACCCATGGCCAATACAGTCGGGCCGGGGGCGAGAACCACTACTCAATGGCCGCCGGTGTCAAGCCCGACGCACACTACGACGTCAGGGCGCCCGGGGCTGACTACAGCATCCTCGAAGACCCCTACGCCAATATCCATGAGGCCAACCCGGACTATCATCCCGTTTCCGCCTTGGTGGAGAGCGAGGAGGCCGAGTATGACATGGGACATCCAGACACACGTGCTGAAAACCTCTATGATATGGGTGTCCCGCCACGCCCCTCGCTGCGTCGCAAGGGCGGCATCAAAGCCGAGGCTGCCGATTCACAAGACTATGACATGGCTGGCCGGACTCGAGCCAACTCGCAGGGCTACGACTTGGCAGGCGAGCAAGACCCCAACGGCTATGACATGGCCAGCGACCCCAATGGCTACGATGTCGCCGGTGACACCGATGGCCTCGAGTACGATGTGGCGCACCGGTCTCGCGCCAACACGCAAATTTACGACAACACCAATCCCTTGGCCACCGGGAATCGCAACAGCACCTATGCCCAAGCCAATCAGTTGTACAGCATGCGAAGCCACCGCCCGGTCTCCGGAGGCGTCGACGAGCCCATGTACGACATCCACACCATGCCAGGTCTGGCCAGTGCTGAACCAAGCGTGCGCAAGCAAGCTCCGGCACCCCCTGGCGCTAGCCAGGTCACCAGCAAGGGTGCTCAGGGTCAGACCAAGCCCAAGACCGCGCCAAAGCCCAAGCCGACACCCACGCTCCCACCTCCAAACGATAAGGTTGCTTACGAAGCCGGGGACGATTGGCGCCGTCTGCAATTACAGACTGGGATTGAAGATCAAGGTTATCTGGTAAGTTGCGCACGCCGTGTAACGCACACCAGCACCTGGCCGGCCTTTGAGGCCTTTTCTTTTTCTGTGTCTCTGTCCGTCTATCTTCGTCTCTGTCTGTCGTGTGTGCGCGCGCACATGTCTCTCACAGCGTGAGCGAATGCGATCGGGTTTCTAGGACGGCAATTACATGGATGCCAATGATGATCCAACAGGAGCAAAGACGCTCGGCTTGCCCCCTCCTCTTGAGAGTCAATCCAGCCGGCCGTCGAGTGCAGAAGCAAAAGCTGACGCTGACGCTGACGCTCCGGTGGAGCGCGAGAGCTATTTGGAAATTGGAGACGAGCCCCTGCAACCCGATGCATCCCCGAAGAAAGATCGCAAGGGCTTGTTTGGTGGCTTCTTGAAGAAGGTGAGTATCTTCATGTGACGCTTTGCTTGCATTTACTTGGCTGAGGCAAGGGCGAGCCTTTCGTGCGCCCGGACACTCATGTTGTGGGTCGCTCCTGGGTGATAGCGCTCAGCTCGCAAGAAAGAGGCAACGGCGGCAGCCGCCGCCACAGCCTCGGTGCCCGGATCCAAGGCCGGGCCTGTGGCGTCGACTTCCAAGATCGAGTTGAACGGGCACGCATCATTGCCCCACCCACCTGCCCCCAGGTTGGTCCTGGCGCGTCGTGTGTGGTCTGTGTTTTTGGTCTTTCTGGCCCGTGCTTGGTATGCTTATCGCACTTCCAATGATGATGGCGAGCAGCAGGAAGAGCAGTGTGCCGACAGACGCGCTGGGGTATTCGCGCATTCCGCAAGAGGAGGACGGCGACGGCTATACACCAGCCAATCAGCTGGGTGAAGATGAGGATGGGAGTTACTTGGATGGGGATTTGCTGGAAGAGAATTATGAGGCCATTGCAAATGAATGCGAGCAGCAAGCTTTGGCCAAGGTGACGACTCATGCCACTGTGCTGTTGCCACCGGTAGAGCAAACGAGAGCGAGTGAGAGGGACTGTTTTCTCACCCGGACCTGTGTGATGCTACGCTCCTTAGGACGAGTGCTACACGCGCGTGAAGAAGGAGCGCAAGCGTGCGCCCCCGCCGCCGTTGCCCGAGGTACGGTGCGAGACCGAGACCGAGACACATCCACGGGAGGTGCCTGCACTCGGCTCACGCAAGGGTTGTGTTGCATCCGTGCTTTGCATGTTTCACATCATGTAGCGGGCCTCGCTGGCACAGTCCATCATGCAAGAGCCGCTCAAGAGCAAGGGCGACCTGCTGGTGCGCAAGCTCAATGCCAAGGCCGGTAGTTTGAGCGTGCGACAGTCGGGCGACGTGCAAGCCTCCATTGCTCAGTGGAACTTCATCCCGCCGGACAAGCTCAACGTGGAGGAGGATTGATGGACCGAACCCTGCGAATGGGCCAGCACTCTCGTACCTTGGCCGGCTGTTCTTGTCTTTATCCTTTTCTTCATTTGTTTTGGGTTCCGATTTCCATTTCCATATGCGGGCTCGGGCTGGTGCTGCCTCGACTTTGCCCTCGACTTTGCCCTCACTACACGGGACATTGTAGCTTATTAGGGTGTAGTGTTGTCGTGAATGTGATAAACTATCCATGCCTATTCTCTCCTCTCTGTCAAATTGAGCTAGTGCTCTTGTCAACACGACGTTGACGTCTCCTCCTCTTGAAATCCTTGTTGTCGGCGTGAGGCGCAGCAGCGATTGCACACGGTGCCGACTCCTGCCCAAGCACTTTGCGCGTGTGCTATCTTTGAGGCAGGTTGATGATTGACAGGGGGACGCGATGGCAGCTCAATCCAACAGCGCCGCTCGAATCAGAAGAGATATCCCGAAAACGTGGTAGGGATGCACGTTCATGTGCCATGAAATGCCGAGTGCGCCGCAGAGGCGGGAGTGGCGGTCGAGATTGTGTGTTGATCTGATCTTGGTTGACAGTGCAACCCCTTCTTCCATGGCGCTGTGGCTTCCTGACTAGAAGTCATGGATGCAGCTGATGCAGTTGGATCATGAGTATCACCGCCAACTGGTCATCACACAAGTGCATCGCCAGTTGGAAGCAGGCTGTTGAAGAATAAGAGCGAAGAAGATGAAGCATAGAGCGAAGAAGATGAAGAAGACAGTGATGTATCAAGTAGATGCAAGAGCATTTTGGCACCAGAAAACGCAAAAGAAGAAGCAGAAGAGGCAGAAAGCAGAAGAAAGTGCAGCAAGAATAAGAGAAACACCCCCCTTGTTTTTGAAATCAGGTGCTTCCCACAACTGTTGCTTGGTGATGAAGGTTGATGATGATGATGAGACCGGAAACAAAGTCATCATCATGACACCAACGTCACAAAAATCTGACATTTTGATGCAAGCACCCGTCTTCTTTTGTTTTTCTTTTGTTCTTCCTTTGTTCTTCTTTAACGCTGATGCAGCAGCAGTAAGAGAAGAGAGAGAGAGAAAGAGAGAGAGAGAGAGAGAGAGAGAGAGAGAAGGAGAGAGAGAGATGAATTGGTTTGGTAGAGAGAGAGAGAGAGAGAGAGAGAGAGAGAGAGAGAGAGAGAGAGAGAGAGAGAGAGAGAGAGAGAGAGAGAGAGAGAGAGAGAGAGCTCCAGCGTTTAAACGGCACAGACTTGTTCTGTTTTTTTTTTTGTTTTTTTCCAAAGACGGTACACTGACTCGACTCGCTTTTGGAGAAGGCGGGGGTTGATCCCTCCCTCCCTCCCTCTCGCTGGGTATCCGGTGGTCGGGCTGGCTTCGTGCTGCTGGGGGTTGGGGTTGCCATAGCAAGGGAGGGTGTTGTTGTCGGGTACATTCATCATCATTATCATTATCGTCATTATCCCTTGCTGGCTGTCCCATCTGGCACGATCGATCTGCGAAGGTCTCACACTCTGCCGGCTGGACCCTCGCATGCAACCCCTACACACACAGACACATACCACTCCTTCGGTGTTGCATGCCCGCCGCGCCTGTCCGTGATACTTTATTCGGTCACCGTCGCGCATTCCTCACTGTTCCTCGCACCACCCGAGCCGTGCAACGCCCATCGCACGCCCACGTTCATCAGCGCACAGGTAAACATCGGATGCTCCTTCTCGTCGCATGTCCAGACAGACACTCGTCTTATCCCACGTCGCCCCATCGCCCCTTCCATCATGCAGTGGCATTTTTCTGACCTGACGCCCGTCCTGCATCACCTCACCCCCTTTTCCCAACAGACCCTAGCTCAACTTTTTTTTTTTCCGCCCCGGATCGGCCCTTCCACATATTCTCAATTCAGCCTTGCCCCTTTGCACCCCGTGGTGCCCTGCCATTCGACCACGTCATCAGATGGTGTCTTCCAACATGAGTGACGCCGCTGCCGCCGCTGCTGCCACTGCCACTTCTGCGGCTCCATCCGCCCGACTCAACCACCATGGGTCTGAAAGCACCGCCCTGAAGGGCAAATCCATGACCCTGCCCGAGGGTCCTGGCAACTCCTTCCGCAGCCTGCCCGACGATCGTAACTTGACGGCTCACCTGGAAACCGTCGCCAATTTTCGTGACATTTGTCGTGTTGCCACCCTCATCAAGGTACGGCCTCCCATTTCACTCGTCACCCCTGCGTCGCTGCCAGCTGCCAAAGCTATAGACTGCCATCTCACTCCCGCAATGTTGTCGTGTTGCTTGACGCCTCCTCCTGCTGCAGCCCTACTGCATCTTTCGTTCCTCAACGCCTTCACAGGCCACACAAAAGGACGCAGCCCTGCTCATGGAGCAGGTTGGCATCAAGGTCAGGCTCGTACCACCTCACCCTCTCCATCTCACCCCCCGTTCACGCTCCTTCCGGCTGTCCCCACCCGACCTCTTGTCCCTCACCACCCCGCTGCTTACCCTCCCAAACATCAGACCATCATTGACTTTCGAGAGCAGTCCGAGTCGCTTCGCGACTGCGGCGCATGCCTGCTCCGTGAACAGTACCCGGAATTCGATCTCGAAAGTCAGCCCGGTGACAAGTGCAAGGAGATTATGCGTCGAATGGAAAAGATTCCCATCACAACTTTTGCTGCCCAAGACATTCGACAAGCGACCTCTCCCTCCATCCCTCGTCGCCCCTCGGCCATCGAGCGGGATAGAGAAAGGCGTGCCCGAGCGCAGCAAAGTACCAGCTCAGATTCTTCTACCGAGCCCAGCAGACCAACCTTTCGACTCGATGCATCAGTGATGGTCGATGAGGTCTTTGATAGTCACGATGCGGCGTCAACCCCTCATGCTACACAGACAGACAAGGCAACACCCACAGCCTCTCAAAAAGAACCTGCAACTGGAGCTGGCGACAATAATACCCTGGATGCTGAAGACATTGAGGTGAGACGCTTGCCCTTGAAAAGCGGGGCAAAACGACAAGAAAACACGACGTAGCCGGGCGGTGCGATCAGGTTCAGGTTCAATTCTCTGACTCTTGGCTTGATGAACGTGTCCGTCTTGTCCTTGTGTTGCCGTGGCGTGCTGCAGGGCCATTTACAGGTTGTGACCTTGCCTGGCCAGCGACGACTGGTGCGTGTGCCTTATTGTCCACGAAAGGTCATGAAGAAGGTTGTCTTTGGCATGCTCAACAACAAAGACGTACGTGTTGGCGCCGGAACGTATTTGGGACACGATTCAGACCTCGTCGCCATCTGCACAGTTTTGCCTGTCGGTGCACCACTCATTCCTCCACGTGCATTGCACAGTTGGGCAAGGTGGCATGTTGGATGTTCTTGGGCGGCCTCTTCTTTCGCAAGAAATGGCGTGAGCGTGGCAAGAGCGTGGTACGTCCTGGCGCAACTTCTTAATGTCTTTCTTGGTCTTCGCCCCCCAAGACTGCCGTGACTGTACCGCACGCAATCATTGGGGTATCATGCGAATCTTACTCTAGGCTAAACGCCGCTTCAACAAAGTGGGCTTGCTGGGTTTTTACAAAGTTCTCATGACTCGCAGCTACGCGGCCATCTGCAGCGTCCTTCAAATCTGTGCTGGTTCGTGAAGGGCGGTCCCGAGCACTATGCGTTTGATGAGCTATGCGTTTGATGCCCGAGCTCATCTCCATGACTGCCCTCTCTTGCAGATGCCCGAAATCATCCGATCATGCTCCACTGCTCGCATGGCAAGGACCGCACGGGCGTCACGACCGCTGTACTTTTGGCAGCACTGGGTGTGAGCGATGAGGCAGTAAGTCAAGTTGCGATTGACCCCGAATAAACTTTTGCCAGTCCGCCGCCGCTCTTGCGAGGGATTGCCATGGCTCACAGTGATCATGCCTGCCCGGCGCTCCGCGCGGCTCAATGCGCTAGATTGCTGCTGACTATGCCCTATCAGATGACTATGGTAACTCGCCCGAGGGACGCCAACGCTTTGACGTGAGTCGTTCCAATTGTGGCTGGAAACCCTTGTTTGGGCGTGAACAAGCCATATGGGATGATGCTTTGCGTGACACAGTTCTCATTTGGGATTGCCCTTCTTCAACCATGTAGACCGAGTGCCCTGAGCTGGATCCGGATGAGTGGGCACGGGCGCGACCCGAGACAATGCTCCAGCTCATGCAGTGGGTGCGCGAGGAATTTGGGGGCATCGATGGCTACTTGGATCTGATTGGTTTTGATGGGCACTGGCGCCACAAGCTGCGTCAGAATCTTCTCGTCAATGCTGGTTCCATGACGAGCATGTCAGATCTTGGCGAAAGCAAGATGCTTCTTCACTAAGCAGCGTCTTGCCTGATCTTGGGGACGATCCAGTTCTGGGCCTTCTCCTCTGCTCTTTGCCCCCAACAGCCTCTGTGAGGTCACGTCTGCGGAAGCGCGCCCGCAAGTGTCAATCCGCGTCTCTTAACCGACCATTTGCTTGTGAAAGATTTGTTTACTTTCATGGTGATGTATTCGACTACTACTATACATGGACTATACTTGAACAATTAGATGTGTTTGTGTTTTTTTTTCTTTTCTTCTTCCGTCTTCCCGTTCAGGCTCCCGCTTTATGAGAGACAATTGGATTTTTTGAAACCAAGGCGAAACAAATTTGCAAGTTGATTCGATTGCTACGTCTACTCTGGCCAGAACTGTCCTCAAAAGGCTGGCTGCCAGACGGGTCGGGGTCGCCCCTCACGCACGACAGCGCCCTTGTGTAGCGTGTCAAGTGTGAGTGGCTGAAGCGCAGGTTGATCAGTAGCGTCTGTGGCCTCATGTGCCATCTCCGTCATGCCCGAAGGCCGGGAGGAGCGCTGGGCCACGGGCTTGGTGCGGAGCAGGCTGGAGGTGGATGGTGCTAGATAGTCGCGAAGGGCTTTGCTGCGATCACGGCGCGCGTTGAGGCGCAATGCTGCTGGTTTGCTTGTGGTTCGAAGTTCCTGAAGAAGAGCGTTGGTCATTTTCACCGTAGCGGCTTGATCTGAGCTTGGGGCAGCTCCTCGCGGTGGGGGGCTTGTCGTGGCTGGGTTGGGCTGTGGAGGAGAGCGGCGATGTGCGCCAGGGCCAAGTTGCGGTGTGCCTGGCGGCCGGCTAGACATGGACAGAGCTGCCAACGCTTCAGCCAGCGGGGTGCGGGCAGAGGGAAAATGGTCCGCCTGCTGCTCCTCTTGCAGCATTTGCTGTCCTGCCTCACCCTCGTCCTCGAAATCCTCTTCTTCCTCCTCAAGGAGATCATCATAGACACCTTCAACATCCATAAGAGCACCGGTGGCCAGTTGCCGGTTGGCCACGGCGGCATCAAGGCGGGCCTGGCGACGAAGCTGGATGATTCGCTGTTGCTTGCGCCGGGCCTTGGCTTGTCGTGCTTGAAGGACTAAGGTCTGCTCGGCGTCGAGGGCTGCCAAAGCACGGGCATCCCGTTCCTGGTCACGCTCGCGCTGAGCGGCTGCCTCATCGTCTGCTCCAAAGACTGACTTCATGACGTACAGAGGCGGACGCTGAAGCCAGTAGGAGAGTGAGGTTGCTTCCTCGGAGCTGGTTGAAGTTTTGGGAGCGACAGGAGCATCGTCAGGGGCCATGCCGGTGAGTGCCCATGAGTGGGCACCCATGTCCTCGGCATCGTCCGGCTCGCCCGCCTCTGGTGGGTCCGAACGCGCCTGAGCGGCTTGACGGCGGCTTTCGGCTTGCGCATCCATTTGCTGGCGAATCTCCTGAGTATAAGCGCGGATGCGTTCGCGGCGTGTCGGTTGCGGTGCGTTCGCGGCGCGCTCCGCTGCAAGGAGACGAAGATAGGCAGCCGACTTTGGCACATGGCGAAGAAAGTTGTGATCTGTGGTGTTGCGAGAGGGCTGACCAACACCGCGGCGGGCAAGGATTTCGCGAGCCTCGATGCTTTTGATGATGGCTTGAGCACTTTGCCAACGGCGGAAGCGTTCGTCAGCTGCTCGGATGCGAGCTCGCTGCTCGCGGTTCTTGGTGGCCGTCTCTTGCAAGTAAGCACCTCGGGCGCGCTCCCAGCGCTCGTTGATGGACTGCAACAGGGCATCGGCCGTGGCATCGTCTTGAACGATGCGTTCTTTCGTCGTCGACGTCACTTCCTGAGCGCGCCGTTGCTTGTCGCGCACCCGAAGCGTGGCCTCGTACTCGGGATTGGTGTGCTCGGTGCGATCAGGCAGCGTGGGGCGACTGGGTTGATAGGGTTCAGGGGCTACCTCCCGAGGCGCACGAGCGGTGGGGCGGGCAATTCCTTGTTGCACGGTGCGAAGCGCTCCCTCAACAGCCGTGAGCTCTGCGTTCAAAACTTGGAGCAGCTCGGCAAACTCCTCATCACTAATGTCATCGATGGCGCTAAGAAGCTCGGCCACGTCGTGGGAGGTCGCGCCGTTCCCCGCCATGATGTACGGACGTGCGCACGTCTAACCAACGCGCAGGCAGGTTTGAAGAAAGAACATCAAGTGCGCCCAGCGTTGCCGGTCAAGCAGAAGGCAAATGGCAAGTCGAGGGCCCAAGGCCAGGCGCATTTGGCGTTGATCATGAGACTTGAGCAGCCAGGGATGGCTCATCGACGTGGAACACCGGACAGCAGCTGATCTAATTGGCAATTGCGAGCGTCACGGACAACCTCAAAAGCCCAAACGTCCTCTGAGCAGCCGCCCGGGGGATTGTCCGGCCTGCCCGGGCTGTCTCTTGACGGTGAGAGTCAGCAGTCCAAGATGGATGCCGCCCCAATCAAACAGGTCACACCTAAAAACTTGGAAAAAAAAAAGAGAGAGAGAGCGAGAGAGAGAGAGAGAGAGAGAGAGAGAGAGAGAGAGAGAGAGAGAGAGAGAGAGAGAGAGAGAGAGAGAGAGAGAGAGAGAGAAACGCGCGCCAACCGCACCCCCGACAACCAGTTGATGATGAATGAATGCTTGGTCCCCACCTCTTTGTCGGCGGTTTGAACGTATCGGCCCAGATCTGGACGGTACCTTCATGCCCCACCCGCCTTTAATCACCTATCTACTAGCACCACCAGCACTACCACCACCACCACCAGCACGGGCAGCCGCGTAGGGCGCGCTGCCACTTTGGCCCCTTCCGTCAGTTTGGCTCTCTCTCTCTCGTTGTTATGCTGTCTCAACAACAACAACACTCAATTTTGTCTGACATATTTGAATGACAAATTTATCTGACAAGCAACGTGCGTTTGTGTGTGTGACCGTTGAATTTTTTTTTTTTTTTGCGACTGTTGGTTTGGGTGGTTGGACTCGCGTCGGATCGCGCGAGAAGGGGTGTGTGAGCGTGTGGCAGCTCGGCGGCGTGCAGGTGGAAGTCCAAGTAGAACGGAGAAATTTTTGTCATGGCCGACGATGCGACGACGTCTGCGGTGTCGGCGTCAGTGCCGGAGGCCGATACTCAGGTCGAGGGCCTGCAACTGGCGGAGCAAACCAAGGCCCTGATCATGAATCGCATCTCCGAGCTCTCCCAACAGGCCGCCGATGAGAAGCCCGCACCGACGTTGGAAGGTGCGTGCACAAATCGCTCCTGACTTGCTCTCAAGCCACGGCGAGAAGCTGCTTGCTTCGGTGGTCTGCCCGTTCATGACGCTCGTCTAACCCTTGCCTCATGCTCAAACGGACAGAGGAGCGCGACGCAGTCGATCAACTGCTGGCCAAGGCAGCACCAGATGAGCGCTACGAGACGCTGCGCAACCTTTACGTCTCCTTGGTGCGTCGTGCTCCCGTCCCACGTCCTGCATCGGCTCCAGGACAGACTTGCACCTCGAGGCAACGCACTCACCCTATCGACGCCCCCATCTTGATAGAAAATTTCCTACAACCGCGTCCTGCCTCAGATCCAGCGTATGCAAACCAAGTTCCAACAGGTACAAGCCCGCCCCGAACACGCCGACAACGCCGACACGCCAACACGCCAACACACCGCACACCTGCTTGTATTCTGGAGAAGTGTACCTTGGGCAGGGCAAGCCCTGTGCTGACTTGCCAACTTGTGGTGTTTCTCAGCTGATCAGTCAACGTGACAAGGCAACCGAGGAGCTCGAGCGAGCCAACACCGCACGCCGTACACTCGAGGAACTCTGTCGAGGCCTGCAGCAGCAGAACAAGCTCATCAAGGTACGGTCAGTGCACGAGCAAGCACCAGATCATCTTCAGCTTGTCTCACTTGTCAGTGTTGCTTGGGGCAATGCGGTAGGAGGAGAACGACCGCGTGTTTAGTGCCGCCGAGGAGAAACGCAAGCAGTTGTCGGCTCAGTTTCAGGCCTCACTGGATGATATTTCAGAAAAGATCAAAGCCGATGAAGCCCACAAGCTCAAGACAGTGCAGCAGAGCGAGGAGTGCGTTTTGCATCCCAGCACCCCCTCCACAATTTTTTTCTCAGCTTGCACGCCGCACATTCACCCCTGTAAATTCCAACCTTTCTTGCTCCTGTTTCAACCCCATTGTCACACCCCTCAAGGCTGCAAAAGAAGTTTGAAGAGGCAATGCAGCGCTATCAGCTAGGCGAGGCACACTACCAGAAGCAGCTCAAGATGCGAGATCTTCAAGTGCAACTGGCCGAGGCTAAGCAGGCACAGGCCGAGCTCTCCCGCAATGAACAGGTGACCATGGTGCAAGAGCTACAAACCAAGCTGAAAGAAAAGGAGGTGACCGAGTCGAGCCTCAAGACCCAGGTTGGCAGCTGTCCAGTCCCCGACTTGATCCCTTTACATCTCTGTACATGCCTGACCGTTTCGCGCCCTTTTTGAGTCCCACCCCGACTCACTGGACCCGCTCCTTGCACCTGCTCCATGCATCAATGCTTTGCGCTGGCTTTCCCGCTTTTAGCTGGCCAGTTATGCCCAAAAGTTTGAGCAGTTTCAAGAAACCTTGACGCGGAGCAATAACGTCTTTGGCAGCTTCAAGGCTGAGATGGAGAAGGTGCGCGACTTCTTCTTTCAGCGCCACGGGTCATTCTTGGTTGGGCTTAACCACGTCGCCCTGTTACATTTCCACCTTTTTATAGAAGGCCAAGGAGCTGAAGCAGCGCGAGGAAGAAAACTCACGTTGGCGTGTGCGCCTGGAAAAGACCAATGTGGCGCTAGCCTCGCTCAAGGCAGAGCATGAGGCTACGTTGCAGGAGAACCGTGCACAACAAGCCAAAACAGAAAAGCTCGAGCAGCTGTGCCGGGCCTTGCAGCAACAGCGCCTCGAGCTAGTCCAACAAGTGGAAGGGCTCAAGCCTCAGGCACCCGAGGAGTCCGAGGAATCCCCTGCGCCTTCTCCCGCAGCGGCTGCCACGGAGGACTAGGTGGTCCAAGGTATATGTATGATCAAGGATGAGGCACCGAACCGCTAAATGTGTGCGCGCGCAGGCAAGCGAGTGCCCACCAAGTATTGAGGCAAACCGAAAAGAAAGCACGGATTGAATTATCGCGTCACGCACAATCGACTTTGAAACCATTGCTAGGAGGGAGCGAGCGACCATAAATGTGGGTCGCAATCGATTCCAAGCTCGAATACAGCGGAAAACAAACGGGGCAAGAAGCGCACAAGGACCAACACGAAACAAGAGCAAGCCAGCCAGCCAGAAACCACACTTGAAGAGGGATTCGTCATATCAACAACAAACACGAAACACAGGAGGGCAACGGCAGACTCGCTCGAGGACACGGACATGCTCAAGATGCATGGCTAAGAAAAACAAACAAAAGCCACAACGTCATCGGCTGCGACCTGTCTATGGCTCGCAGAGCAAAAATTATAGTATGTTAGAAGTTGCGGCGACCTGCCCAAGAACCGTCGTGTTCATCTTCGCTGACTAGCAGGTCGATGGCTTGCTCAATGTTGAACTCGGCGCGCGTCAACGCATCGAGACTGCGTTTGCGATTGAAAAAGCCCATGTTGATGAGTCGGTTCAGCTTGTCTTCTTGCTCCGAGGTGAGGAAATCAGGAGTCGTTTGTGCCATGGGCGCGGGCACGGGCGCGGGCGCAGGCGCGGGCGCGGGCGGGGCCTGGGCCGCTGCACGGCGGGCCACTTCGGCACGACGCTTCGCTTCAGTGCGCGCATCCTCTTCTTCTTGAAACTGCAGGGCACGCGCCATGGCAGCATCCGACTCCATGTGTGACGCTGTTGGCGTTGTCATGGGTGGCACGGGGCCGCTGTATCCAGTGGCACTCGGAGAATAGTATGGTTGCTGCACTGGCGCAGCTGTGGCACCGGAAGAAAGAGTGTGAAAGTACGGCTGCTGCACTGGCGCCGAAGCCGAGGCGTTGGTGGCATTGGAGGACGCAGTAACGGCGGCAGCATACGGTGCATACGGGGTTGCACCGGTGATGGGATATGCGGGAGCATCGGCGTACGGGCCCTGAGGCTTCTGGCCATAGGCCGCGGGTGCCGATGGGGCCACATAGCAGGCTGCTGGGCGCGGTGATTCCTCCGCCGACTCAGTCTCAGGCAAGGCTCCGGGCTCGGCTGAGGTCGGAGCAGAAGGCTCAATCGACGCCGCGAGCGGCTCATCCCCGGACTCATCCATCGCCTTGGTCGGGGCGTTGGCCAAAGGCGTGTCCGCATGCTGCGGTTGAGTGTTGGCCTGCTGCTCGCCGCTATCGGCCTGCAGCATCAAGTTCACTTCGCTCAGATCACGTGCATCCCCCACGGCAGTGGTGGCCATGGTAAAGTCGGATGCGATGGAGATCAAGTCGTCATCGTTATAAGGGCGCATCTCGTGAACGCTCAGGTGGTGCATGTCTTCGTCCAACATGGACTCACCCATGCCTTCCACGGGGTCACATGATGTGTCAACCAATGAAATGATGTCATCGGCGTCGGCCACATTTTCAAACTCGTCAACTTGATCCCGTTGCAGGAGCATGGGCGTCCCAGTGCCCACGGCACCGGCCACGAGCGACGATTCCATCGAGGGTACGTGGTACGGCTCGGCTGCGGCAGCCACGGGGCCTGCGGCGACGGCGGCCGCAGCAGTCGTGCTCTGGCTCGAGGTCTCTGTCACCGTCTGACTGGCAGCCGTGGGTGGGGCCACCTGAACGGGAGCATCAAGTCGAATCTTGACGAGAACAACGAGGTTCTTCAGCAGCAGGGTGCCGTCTGGGAGGCTGAGACTCCACGTGCTGCGGAAGTTGCCCTTGATTTTCGGCGTTGGTAGCGTCAAGGAGGCCATTACCTCTTCGCCCGGCGCGGCCAGAGGTACGACACGAGTGCACCCGCTTTGTTGTAACTCACCGTTGAAGAGCGTAGTGCCTTCGGGCCAACGCGTGTTGCCCGAGTTGCGCAGGCGCCAAAACTTGGTTACGACAGAGTTGGGCCCCGTGCGCTCTGGCTGCATGGGCAGGTCTTTAATGACCTCGGCGGCAAGTTTACAGGGCTCAACCGTGAGGTCGACCCAGAATTGCAGACCCATGGGGGCCTGGTCAGAGGCCACGACAAAAGCAAATTTGGCCCAAATGCGACCGGGCTTGCTTGGGTGGAGCGGCAGGATGATGTTCACTTCCTCACCGGGGGCGCAGGCCGGCACCTTGGGCGCCGGGATGAAGTCACCTTCGATATGACGGCAAAGGACAAGTGTGGGGTCCCAGGCAACGTTACCAGAATTGCGCACGCGCCAGCGCTTGACATATTCTTGACCCACAATCAGGGTTGAGCCGTCCTCCATGTTAACATCTGCAACAAACTGACCAGCCAGCTGCGACCGAGAGGATGTCTCGCTCCCGTCAGCAGTGGCGTCAGTCTCGGCAGTGGCAGAGGCAGTGGCGTCAGGTTCGGCGGCGTCAGGCTCGACAGCAGCAACCATCTCTGGCTCAGTAGGGGCGGCTGGCTCCGTAGAAGCGGTCATGGGGGCAGTCACGGGGGCGGTAGAGGGATTGGAGTCGTTGGCCATGGTGTCAGTGGTGATCTTGTCATCCTCAGCAACGGTAGTTGTCTGGACGCTCCCAGCTTCAGCAATCACGGCATCGGCAGGCACGGCGTCCACCAACGCTTCAGCCAGCGCTGGCGAATCCATATCGGCATCAGCAAGGTTGATGTGCTCAAAGTCATCGGAATTCGAGTTGCCGTCATCAGATGGCTCGTTGTCATTGTCAGAGGCCGGCAAGTCGTTCGGCGCGTCGTTTGCAGATACTGCGGCCATGTCGCTCGCCTGGTTGGCCAAGGCCGCCGCGGGCGTTGCGCTTACGTCGCTGCTTTCGGGAGATTGTTGAACACGCGACCAAACAGCGTGCAGGACCTGGTTTTGCAAATCTAAAGCATTCAGTCGGACCACCGTAACAGGCATGAGTACACATGGATAGTCGTTCATAGCATGGTCCGTTCAAAGCGGAAAAAGAAGAAAGACAGAAGGAAAAAGAAAAGAAAGGTGGGAAAAAAAAAAAAAAAAAAAAAAAAAAAAAAAAAAAAAAAAAAGAGTCAGACCAGCATGCAAAGCGTGCGGCCGACATGTACGCACCGGCCATAAAAGTTGGGCTGAGGACACCCGCGATGGCAGCCCGCAGGTCATCCTCGGTCAGCTGCATGGTGCTCCGTTTGGCGGGCGCCGGCGCAAAGGTCACGTCCAGAACAAGCTTTTGACCCAGTTCACGACGGGCTTCACGCAGCTCGATGGTCGTATCGATGGTCACACGATCGCCGTCGCTGTCCACATAGGTGATTTGGTCTGCGGATGCTTTCGTGACGGCCTCGAGTTGGGCCACCAATTCCTGAATATCCGGCAGTCGCTCAAAGTGCAAACTGGAACCGAAAAGGCATCACCACAACCATGCAATCCAGGCAGCAAGCAAGCAGGGAAAGAGAAAAGTGAGTACCCAGCAAGATGAGCAGTGTCGAAGAGGCTCGAGCAGGCTCAAGCAGGCATACAAGCACAAACGCTCAGAGACAAATGTAACTCGCAAGGAAAGCCCCAATGATTCCAACAACAGCTGGCAGTAGCAGGCAAACGATGCTCAACGTGCGCGTCGAACAAACAGAGAGAGAAAGAGAGAAAGAGAGAGAAGGGGGGGAGCGACGCGAGAGAGAGAGAGAGCGCGCGCGCGAGAGAGCGAGAGTGAAAAGCAAAAATGACAAGCCTCAGCCACGTCACGGGTCGCAAGTTAACATGGACGGAGGCCCAGCGGCGACAAGACACGTCACACACAGAGGGTGCTGATCACACAAACACGGCGAGTCCGACGCTGCAACACGTACCGTCGCACACTGTCTTGCCAGCGAAATTTGACGACGACACTCTCGTCGCCCGTTGTTTGATGCGCCATGGCTATCCGCACAATGCGACGCTCCTTCCACGTCGTCGACAAGTCTTCAACACCGACCGGCAGCCCCACCCCGCCAAGAGAAGGCAGCCACCAAAATCAAAATCAAAAGCAAAAGCCAAAGCAATAAGAGAGAGAGAGAGAGAGAGCGGCGTCCCACACCGCGCAACACAACACTCCCTACAAAGAAAATGTTGAGAGTCAGAGAGAGGGACACACACACACACACACACACAAACAGCAAAGAGAGAGGTGAAAGCAGAAGGAGCAATAAGCCACTGTAAGACGCTTTCTGCTTGTGCTTGTAACATGATCAAGCACCACATCAACAAAAAACACTGCACAGGCATCACACGGCTCGTCAACCAAAAAGCCCCCACACATACATCTAATTATAGCAGAGCCAACCTTGGTGGTGAAAAAACAACACACGTAACTGCCACATCTTTTGAGCAGGGCGCATTATGAATTTGGTCTCTTTAATGTATAATACCTCATTGCTTTCAGCACTGACACTTGAAGCTGATGCATCTACTCATAAATGATCAGCAACAACTTACACACCATTTGTTAATAAAACGTCAAAAAGTACAATTCCTGCTTCGATAAATGATACACTTCTCATAAGAACCACCTCTCACATGTTCAACCCAGTCCGACTTTGGAGGCGCTTTCTTGGTGCCGTCCCTGCCACTGCCCTCACTGGTCCGACATCCCAGTCCGCCGCGATCAAATCAGCGGTCGGGTGGTGCCGGCCTGGCACCAGTTTATAAAGCTTTAGGACTGTTTAGGACTGTCCAAGTTCAAGCTTGATCGTTGGAATTGCCACGCGTTTGGCTGCTACCCCTCCGTGTCTTGTGGGCCCCGCTCGGTCGAGTGCCAGCACTGCTGCTGTGGTGCGCGCCAACACCGAGCGATGCCATCGCGCAGGAACAAAGGAGGGGCACGGCCCCCGCCGGCCATCGTCAATGCCATTTTGGCATTGCTGCAAGCTCAGCCGCAGCAGCAAATGCCCAGCCCCAGGTTCTGGGAGCAGCTCTATCAAAAGGAGCCCACCGCCAAAGACTTTTTTGCCCCTTTACAAAGCAAGAAAACAGGTCTGCAAAAAATTCCTCAAGTCCAGTTTGTCCATGATCCCGAGGCTGGCGATGTCGTGCGCCTTGCTCAAGCAGCTAGTGGCGGGGCGGCGGCGGCGGGTGCTAGATCCGCCACTCAGGCCTCCCACTCAACCCCGATCTCCGATGATGTTGAGCAAGCCATGTGCCGTGTCCTTGCCCGCGAGCCAAATGGCACTATGAGCTCGGCTCAGTTTTGGATTCAACTCTATAAAGAATGCCCACAAGCCCGGAGTATCGTTGCCAAGTACGCTTCAAAACGAGATGCTCTCAAGAACGTGTCCAGCGTGACTTTCATCGCCGAACCAGGCGCCAACGGACGCGTCGCCCTCTCAGATCCATCGTCCGCCGCTGCCCCAGCACTGCCTCAGGCCGCCTCCAAAAAGAGTGGATCAAGCTCGAAAAAGAGCGGCTCAGGCTCAAAAAACAACAGTCCTCCAGCCCCCACACCCCAACCGGCTTCATCTCAACCGTCGAGAGGCGACCCTCGACCAACACCTTCCAACGGATCCAGCGACACCAGAGGTAGCAAGCCCCGTGGACCTAGAGGCTACATAGGCAAGGTCATCGAAAAGGGAATTGAAGCCATGTCCAGACCCACAGATGGCAAAAGGCTTTTTGATCAGCTTCTGAAAGACTCACCTACCGACGCCAGCTTCAATCTCTTTCAGGTAAGCTTGCTTTGCTGATAAGGGCAGAGCACGAGCCACCCCCATCAAACTACTTTTTATTTTATACCGTTCGCCCCCTTACCCCCCCCCCCTCCTCCCTCCTCCTCCTCCTCCTGTCTCTTCATCCCATGGGATCGTTTCATCCTCACCGCGCCTGCTGGCTCGTTCAGATTGTAGATCGCCACGGGGATGAGGTCCTGGCCCATGCCCTGGCTCAAATCAACTCTTCGCTGGACGATCCGCTTTTGCGGCTGGCCGACAGACTGTGCGAGGCTACATTGACTGGTGAATATGTGCGCTTCGCCGGCCAAGCTTTTGCAACCATCATCAACTCGCCTCGTGTTCGCTTCTGCGACAAAGCTCGCGATGAGCTGTCACAAAATCGCCTCAAGAGAAAACGTACCCTGGGCCTCTTCCTGCTTCGAGCAAATCAATTCGATGGCAGCCTGCGCACCAACGACAAGCTCAAAGAAATCATTCAGCTGCTCACTGCCAACTCTGCCGACGAGGTGTTGCAAGAACTTGCCGTGCTCTTCACCGATCTTGCCGCCGGTCGTACCGAAGCAAGCGCCGAGGCCAGTGCCATTAGCTCCACCAGCATGGGCGCTACCATGCTCCCCCCCGGCGAACGCGGCCACGACAATGACCACAAGAATTTTCGAGACATTGAAATAGCCCCCACGGCTGGAGAGCTGGCTGACTTGACCATCCCATACGTTCCCTATTTTGCTGACGTTCAAAAGGCCACGACCCAAAGCATGGCCACCGCCACCTTTCTGGACCGCCACTTTCGCATCCTGCGCGAGGACCTTGTAGGACCTCTCAAGGAGGAATTTGGCGAAGAGCTGCGTCGGGACAAAGCTGCTCGGCGGCACACGTATGCCACCCCCCACCTCAACGCCATCAAGACGGAGTTTGGCCTTCGCTTTGTCATCTCGCTTGCAGCTCCGCCCATTCTTGGCAAACGCCTGCAAGAGCTCTCGACAAACAAGCGCAAGGACTTTCTGCTTGAGGGCCCCGGTCGCAAGGTTCTGGGTCAGGATACCCTACTCATCCTCTACAACCAAAAGCATGCTTCGGGCTGGCAGGGATCCCGCACCCCTACCCTCGAGGATCTCTTCAAAGGCATTGAGATTGTCGGCATCATGATCGTTTGTCATCGGCGCGATATTGCCACCTCGGGTTCGTTCAAGTCCAAGCCCAAGGAAAAGGGGAAAGACGAGGGGGCAGACTCATCAGCCTCGTCAAAAAACAGCAAGAAGCACCGTGACAAGCCAAATGAACCGGTCTTCCTTGAGGTGCAGGCCATGCTGCCCAACCAAAGCAACATGCCCAAAGTCATTGCAGAGGCCTACAGCCACTTACTCTCGGGTGTTCGCGATGGCAAGCTTTGTGACTATGCGTTCGCTGCCCAAGCTTCCTTTTTCAACTACGAGCCCGTGCTGCGCGCCCTGCAAGGCATGGCCAAGGTTCCTTTTGCTGAGGAGCTTGTGTTTTCATTTGCGAACCTTGCCGCAGACTCTGAAACGAAAGACTCTGAAACGGATGATGAGATCACAGCCACCCAACGACGACCACCGCTGTCCCCAATGACCTTGCTGCATGACCGGCCGGAGAGCAGCGCGCGCCAGGCAGTATTTTTCGGCATGGAACCGATTCGCATTGAAACGGTTCGCTTAAACGTCACAGCAACCCAACGACGACTCCCGCTGCCTCACATGACCTTGCCTTATGACCAGCTGGACAGCAGCGTGCGCCAGGCAGTACTCGCCGATGCTTCCCAGCAGGAAGCGCTTCATCACCTAACCAACCAGCGCGTGGTTCTGGTTCAAGGCCCCCCCGGCACGGGCAAAACCTATGTGGGCGTGCAGATGGTGCGAGCCATGCTACAGGCGGCCAAAGAGCAGAAATACAAGATCAAGATCTTGTGCCTCTGCTACACCAATCACGCTCTAGACAGCTTTCTCGAGTCTCTTTTGGATGCTAATATTCCAAAGACGTCCTTTGTACGCCTGGGCGGTGGTGCTAAGGTTAGTGAGCGGCTTCAAGAGCGGTGCATCCACCAGCTGCCCAAACGCAAGTTTTCAGGCGTGCGCGCTTCCCAGTATGGCTCATTGAAGCGCTCGCTTGAAAAATGTCAAGTCGAGATTGATCGAATTCGAGACGCGCTGCGGCGCCACTCCAAGTGGACCGGCAATGAACGAGAGTGGGAGTATGTGCAGCAGCACCTTGAAGATGAAGGCGATGACTATGAGATGGAGGAATTGTCTGTATATGAGCAAAGCGATGGTTGGGCTCTTGCCGGGTCCGATGGCAAAGCCGCCAGCCCAGGCTTTTTATGGCAACGTTGGCTTCAAGGCAAGTCAAATGTGCAAGGTCGATCCGAAGGTCTTTGGAAGTTGACTTTGCAGGAGCGCAAGGCACAAGCTCAAAGATGGAACGACGACTGGGTGCACAACCAACAACGACGTCTACATGAAAACTTGAAGGAGCAAGAAACCAAACATCGAACACTAAACGAGCTGCGCATGAGTCATCGAGCAGAGGAGATTGCAGACATCTCCATCATTGGGTCAACCACGGTGTCGGCCGCCAAGCAGGCTAGCATTTTACAGAGCGTCAAACCGGATGTGGTCTTGGTTGAGGAGGCGGGTGAAATTCTCGAGGCACAAATTCTGACTGCCTTGGATAGGTGTCAACAGCTGATCATGATTGGTGATCACATGCAACTCCGGCCCAAGGTGGAGAGCTACCGTCTGCGTGTTGACGCCAACAAGGGTTATGATGTGGACCGCTCTCTCTTCGAGCGTTTGGTCACTCAAGAACCGCCAAGCTTGCCCATGACTTGCTTGAACATTCAACATCGCATGCGTCCCGAGATCTCGCGCTTTGTGCGCCGGCTACTGTACCCAGAGCTTCAAGATCACGAAAACACCCGCGGTCGCCCGCGCACGCCCGGTGTGGATCGGGACGTTGTCTTTGTGAACCACAAGCATGGTGAGATGTCCGATGACGATGCTGCCGCTCTCGGAAGTAATTCCAAGATCAACGAACATGAAGTGGCCATGGTCGTGCAAATGGCTCGCCATGTGCTCTTGCAACAAGGCGTGGTTCACTCTGACATTGGTAAGCCCTGTCGCAGCCGGTTCGCATGGCATGGAACAAGCTCGAGCGTCTTGGTTTGGTTCATTCCTGCAAGCCCATGGCTTTTGTTCTTGGCCTCTGTTCGTTGCTGAGCGTTTGCACTGTTTGGTTTTGTTGTTCAACCATTTCTCACGCCTGCTTTGCCTTGTAACACAGTCATCTTGACGCCGTACCTGGGCCAGCTCTCGCGCATCCGGGCCGCACTTGCCGAGGCCAAGCTGCAAACGAGCGTGGGAGACTTGGATCAGAATGAGCTGGCTCAGCTGGGACTCGCGGACGATTCGGATACAGCGAACGATACCCCCCCATCGACACGCTCCGGCTCGCCAGTACCCGCGGACGAAGACGAAGCTCGTGCCTCGCTGTCGTCTCAGTCCAAGACCAAGGCCAAAGGCCGCACTGAAAGAGGCGATTCAAAGTCGAATCCGGCCAAGGGCCGCGGCAAGGATAGCGCCTCCTCCAAACCAGAAGACGAAGAGGCGCCAGCGCCACGGCCGCCCACAGTGCGCGTGGCCACCATTGACAATTATCAGGGCGAAGAGGCCCAGTATGTCTTCATCTCCTTGGTTCGCTCCAACCGTGAGAGAGACATTGGTTTTCTCAACAGTCGTGAACGCGTCAATGTGTTGCTCTCGCGCGCACGGCGTGGGATGTTTATCATTGGCGACCTCGAGTGCTTTGTACAAAGCCGTACGCAAAAAGGACGCAATCTGTGGTCCACTATCAAAGATGAGCTCGAGGAACAGCAGGCCATTCTCCCTTATTTCCCGGCTCGCTGCGAGCAGCACAACCAGCTGCTTGCCATGACAACGGCAGCAGACTTTGCACAAAAGGCGCCCGTGGGCGGCTGTCAGCAGAGCTGCATGGCTCGCTTGGAGTGTGGTCACGAATGCCCAGAGCGGTGTCACCCCGGGCCCCACGACCAGATTCGGTGTCGACAGATTGTGGAGGACCGCTGCCCTTATGGCCACCCGCTATCGCGCGAATGCGGTGACCTTCGACCTGTTCGTTGTAACGTTAAAGTTCAGCGCCTGTGCGAGCGGGGCCTACACACGATTTCCAACCGGTGCTTCATGGGCCAGGGCCTTCCTTGCGCCAAGTGTGCCAAGGCTATCAGTGCCGAGAAAGATGCTGCCACAAAGGCACAGCAAAAACAGTTGGAAGACGTGACGAGAGAGCTGCAAGAACTAGAGCAGTTACATGAAGAAAAGGTGCAAGCCGCCCAGGACCACGCAGCTCAAGAAAGATTGAAGGCACGCATGGCTCGCGTCCGCGCAAACGTTGAGGCAGCCACGGCCATGATGGAGCGTGGTTCAGGATCCAAGAGCAAGCCTTCCAAAACAGATGCCAAGGCAACCAGCTCGGCTACACCTGCCTCACAGAACAAGACTCTCCCGGACCCCGCAACTACCGCTGGCACAACCCATCGTGATCAAAACCAGCCTCGTTTGGTGCTTCCCAGCCCAATCAATCTTCCAGCGCCTGGTCCCACGGATACCAAAAAGACCAAAGCAGGCGAAACTGCCAAGTCTACAAGAGCTCCGGCCGCAGCCACATTGGATGCACCTGCTGAGGTCCCAAGTGTTGCAGCCTCGGCAATGCGATCGGCTGGGCAAAATCACGGTGGATCGGCTGGCAACGAGGAACAGATCCTGTCTCAGGTCTTGAGCACGTACACCAATGATCCCATGCTTGCCCACGACCAGCTGGAGCAGGCCTGTGCCAAGTATAAACAAGGCCCACCGCCGCTATCACTCTGTGTCCTTCACACTCTACTTGAAGAGGAGTTGGGTGGTACAGGCGATGTCACAGAGCTGCAACATCTTGTAGACCAATTTGTGGATGCGAAAGCCGATCGTCGGGCTGCCACCAATAATACATCTCAGCTGGGAACTGGTCTCATTTTCTTCATGGCAGCCATTCTGGCAGAAGCGGAGGGCCTGGGCTTTTTGTCACTCGAACATGCCACGATTGCGCTTTCGATGCTGCGCCCGCTTCGAGAAATGCCGGCACTCTGGCTCGAAAGACTCGAACGGCTGGGAAGCGAGCACCACGCCGCATCCATCAAGGCCCCCGCTGCAGCTTCGCCTCGAGTGGCACCGGTTCGTTTTCGCGCTCGTCAACGCTGGCAGGAATACGAACGTCGCAACGGCCAGACATCTGTGGCCAAGGTCATGCAGACTGTGCTAGGCATGGTGGGTCTCGAAACGGTTAAAAATGAGATGATCGATCTCGTCAAGCGCGTCAAGCTGGACGAGGCGCGTGGTAATGCTGGCCAGCCAAATAGCTTCAACGTGCGCTTTGAAGGCAATCCTGGCACAGGCAAGACGACGATTGCGCGTCACTACGGCAGTTTTTTGCGAGAGCTTAAGGTTTTGCCTGCCGAGGCGCCTTTTATCGAACTCACAGCCAGTAAGCTGATTCATGGTGGCGTCGATTGCCTCGACACTACCCTGACTGACGATATCAAGCCAAAGGGCGGTGGCGTTATATTTGTAGACGAGGCATACCAGCTAACCAGCGACCGTGCTGGTAAAAAGGTGTTGGACCACATCTTGCCCCTGGCCGAGAGCCTTGAGACCAAGTTTGGCAAGCTAGTGTGGATCTTGGCCGGCTACAAGCCGGACATGGAAAAGCTCTTTGAACACAACATTGGCCTGCCCTCGCGCTTTCCTCATCGCTACGTCTTTGAAGACTATTCTGATGCTGAACTGCTCAACATCTTTAAGAACATGCTCACGTACCAGGATGCCGCTGCTCCCAGCCCTCGCAAGGTGGCAAAGCCAAGCGGAAGCACGCCGTTCCGCCCGGCTGCTCAGCGGATGCGCCAGTTCAACAATTACTACCCACCACCCGTGGGGACTACGTCTGTGGACGACTTTGGCAACAAGTGGACGGTTTCTACGAATCAAAGCTGGTATGACAAGTACAGCAACACGACGGTAGACCCACAATCGTTGGGCCAAGGCGCAGACCTGATCGCACCAGATGGCGATACATGGACGTATGATGCTTCAAGTAAGACCTGGACGGCATCTTCTTCGAGAGTGACGCAGTCGCATTATCCCGGCTCATCTGCCCCCGCGCCCACGCTAACTAAAACGAAGCGGCCCAAGCCATTTTATTGCCAAAATGAGCTGCATGGCCGCGTGGCTATCCGGCGCCTGGGTCGGCGACGAGGTGTGGTTGGTTTTGGCAATGCCCGTGCCGTGCGTGTGTTCTTTGACCAGGCCCTGAGTCGTCAAGCCCGCCGCATCCAAGAGGAACGAGAGGCTGGTTTACAGCCTGACCTTTTTGAGTTGACACAGACTGATCTCCTGGGGCCTCAACCCACCTTCAAAGAGTTGACTTCTTGCCCAGAATGGAAAGAGCTGATGCACCTTCACGGTTTGCAGCCTGTCAAGGATACCCTGACAAATCTTGTGCAGCTGGTGGTGCGCAATTTCAAGCTGGAACTTGAGGAGAAGCCGCTGCGTGAAGTGGCCCTGAATCGCCTGTTCTTGGGCAACCCGGGCACCGGCAAGACCACCGTGGCACGCTTGTATGGTCGTATCCTGTCACGCTTGGGCTTGCTATCCAAAGGAGATTGCATCATGAAAACAGCCTCAGACTTTGTCGGCAACGTTGTGGGTGGCTCGGAGGAAATCACGCGGGGTATCCTGCAGCAGGCCGAGGGGTGCGTCCTCGTCATTGATGAGGCCTATGCACTGGCTCCCAGCCAGAACGGCCAAGGTACCGGCGACCCATACCGCACGGCCGTGCTGGACACTATCGTGGAAATGGTGCAGGCACGCCCTGGCGACGACCGCGCCGTGATCATGTTGGGATATCGAGAACAAATGGAAAGCATGCTCAAGGTTGCCAACCCAGGTCTGGCCCGCCGATTTCAACTGGAAAATGCCCTGACCTTCCCCGACTATAGTGATGCCGATTTGCTCAAGATCATGCTCGCCAAAGCCAAGTCCAAGGACCTGCGCTTGAGTTTGTCGACGGCGAAGGTGGCCGTGCGCCAACTGGCCAAGGCGCGCGCCAAGCCAAACTTTGGTAATGCGGGGGCCGTTGACAACCTTTTATCCGAAGCCACACAAAGACAAATGCAACGCCTGATCGCAAACCCGAATGCCGACGTCAGCCTGCTTCCCATTGATTTTGGCGTTGAGCGCGAAGGACCCGATGAGGCCAAGTTGCGCATTCTTTTTGATGATCTAATTGGGATGGATGGCGTTCAAAAGAAGCTGCGGGGCCTACAAAACCTGCTTGCGCTCAAGAAGCGCACAGGACAACCCGTCAAGACAATTGCCCCTTACAACTGGATCTTTACGGGTAATCCGGGAACCGGAAAGACCACAGTTGCACGCCGCATGGGCCAAATGTACCATGCACTAGGTCTCTTGCCCTCCGACAAGGTTTCAGAGTTGTCAGCATCGGACCTGACAACGGGTTATGTTGGGCAGACAGGCCGGGCCACACGCGAGCGACTCGTCGATGTACGTTCTGGCTTGTTTGTTCGTTTGCTTTTTGCGTTTGTTTTATGTTTTTGTTTTGTTTTGTTTTGTTCTGTTCTGTTCTGTTTTTAAAAGGCCCTTTGTTGCCACTTTGCTTCCATTGCCACCGCATACTGGCACAACCATACAATGGAATGCTTCGCTGGTGGCTCTGATCAACGCGCGCGTCCTTCATTGGTCAGCTCTTCATGCCTCACCCTCTCTTCCTCTGCATGACGCGCGTTCATAGGCACGCGGTGGCGTGTTGTTTGTGGACGAGGCCTATCAGCTCAACCCGCGGCGTGGGGGTACTTTTATGCAAGAAGCCGTTGATGAGCTCGTCAAGTGCTTGACGGAACCCGAGTTTCAGTCCAATATCGTGGTCATCCTTGCCGGGTACGAGGGGGACATGGCTGAAATGATGCAGAGCAATCAAGGACTGAGCTCTCGCTTCACGGAAAAGCTGCACTTTGAAGATTTCACAGTAGACAGCGTTACCCTCCTCTTGCGGCAGGTTTTGAAGAGCCATGACATGCCCTTGTGTGCTGGCGCCGACGAAAGACGTGTCCAAGAGATGGCACATGAGTTGACGCAGCTTCCGGGCTTCGGCAATGGTCGTTCCGTACATAATTGGGTTCAAAAAGTCGAAATGGCAGTGGCAAACCGCCTCAGCAGCGAATGCGAGGATGCCCCAGTTGAAGCAACGGTTGCAGACCTCCGCACAGCCCTTGACGAGATGCGACAGCAGGCGCAAGTGCCAGCACAGCCCTCTCGTGCTCCTACGCAAAGCGCTGCCGATACACTGCCTTTTGCCTCAGCCTCGGCCTCGGCCCAACCCCCGGTTTGGCGCACGCGTCAGGCCACCAAGACCAAACAGGCGTCTGCCGAGCGCGCCGAGTCACCCCCACCAGTTGACGAAGAGTCAGACTCTGAAGACAACAATCCTTTTGCGGGTTGTGAGCACAAATGCCTCCGCGTTTTGCAGGATTATTTGGATGAAGCTGGGGTTACAGATATGGAAGGGGCACGGGAGCTGGCGCGACTGCGCCCTGGCGATGCTCGCTACGAGGAGCTGATCAGATTGCTCATAAACGCTGGCTACAGTCGGGCCAGCGCTGAGGATCAGCTGGCCAAGTGGAAAGGTGCGCATGAATCCTTGGAAGATCTGCAACGCCAGGTTAAGCAAAAGACACAAACCTTGGGTCAAGAGCCAATCTGGCGCTGTGCAGTGTGTGGACGTGCTGATCGGCCATATATTGTCTGCCATGTTGCACCGTACATTGTTGGATATCGTCCCATCGCATCCCAATAATCGGTGTGGACACTTGAGAGATTGTTAAACCTGTGAAGATGCTTGGATATATTTGGATAGATGCTGGGATGTGGTGGGAACAGAAGGTGAAGACTTTCACAATTTATAATAATTATGATATCTTTTGTCTTTCATTTCGTGTCGAGTGGGATCTCACTTTGGCCCGTGGAGATTGCGAAGGTAATCGTCAAAAAGGCGTTTGAGCTCACCTCACATCCCAAGAATGTCCTGGTGCCTAAGCTTGAGCTATTGATCATCGGCTCGACTCGAAATGACAAGCTGATGCCTTTCACTCTCGAAATTCACGGGGAAATCATTCAGAAAGAAGTCAAGACTTGGCTATCAGGCCATTTGAAAATACGATTCCAAGCGCGTGGAACACTGTATGCAAGCTAGCGCTTAGTACGACTGCCGTGGCGTCTACGGTGGCGACCGCCGTGTTCCGGTGATTCGGTCACAATGATGTGGCTGTCCGCAACATCAGCACCGACCGCAGCGAGCTGAGAAGCCTGATGCTGGTGCAGACGCAAGTCCCGAACCTCCTCTTCAAGCTGAGCCACTGTTGACTGTAATGCTTTCAGCTCGTCTTTTGAAGATGCAACGGTATCCGCTTGGTGTTGCCGTGACTGTTCAGCATCCCGTGCAAGTGCTTGCCGCTCCTAAAAGTAGGGATGGGGGAGAGAATCGAGATAAGGCAATGAAGTTGAAAAGTGGCGGTTCTAAGCCACGAAAAAGCACCCGAAGGCAAGATCAAACCTTGCGCTTGGTCACAAGCTGCCCGATGGTCTGAGCAAGGCGAGCGCGAAGCAAATCGTGTTGTGCACGCAGCTCTTCTTGTCGCTGGCGCAGGTTCTTGAGCTAACAAACAGCAGATGCCAGGTGCGGTTCAAGGCAGCGGTATATGAGTTGTGCGGGCAAGAATCAGAGGTGTAGAATTCGAGCACCAGGGCGCATGATCCACACCTGCATCTCCTGGCTGATTTGCATTTGACGGAGCCGCTTGGCATCGGCTTGACCATTGCGATGCTGAGCCACCAAGGGAAGCCAGAGATGAGGTGGACCGAGTTGGAAAGTCAAGCATAGCACTATGCTTGCATTTTACACCCCTGCTGCTGGGGCTTCGAGAAGCGCCTGACGTACTACATCGGCGGCAGCGGCATGCAGGCGGCGTATCTGTTCGTCGTAGTATTCTTGCTGTGAATGCAGCTGATGTGACAACAAGGTGATGTATTCCTCTTGTAAAGCCAACTGCTTGCCCTTGTCGGCGTCCTGGATATGATGGGGGAAATTAAAAGAAAAAGGCAGATGACAAGGAAGCAACACGCCGTGAGACCAAACATGCTGCTGCGCAAAAGCTTGTTCACGCTCTCTGTGAATCATGACGCACGGGCAGTGGTGCAGTTGGCCCTTTGGCCTGTGCAGCAGGCACGTGTGGCATTCCAGCAACAACAGCGTGAACATAAGCGTCTTGTCGGTGGTCCCACACGCGGTCTGTGTCCAGCTACACGGCGACAAACCCGGGTTGACCGCATGAGACACGGAGAGAAACCACTGTAAAGGTCGCTCCTCAACTCGAACGTCCAGTGTGTGGGCGCCAGAAGCGAGCGCTACCTCAAGAACAAGCCGATGGCAAAAGTTGGTTTCTTGGCAATGACGCCTTGCGTGTGCATTGTTTGCACGATTGCAAGAGACGGTGCCACACGCCATGCAAACGCAGAGGCCCAGAGCTACGTCACATGACGTGCAGCTGGCTGTGGACATGGACACACAAGGGGAACGCCGATGCAAACGACGAATGAAGCGGTGCACCAGGCTCAAGAGCTAAGGGCGGGCTTTTGCTTTTGCAAACCGACCTTGACTGCTGGTATGTTGACGTAGCTGGCATGCCGGGCACTACAGCAAGAAGCCAGATGTACCACGCGCAGCGATGCGATGAACCAGCGCTGGAGCCATGAAAGGAAGCAGGGAGGGGGGCGAAACGATCCATGCACCTGAGCACAATACGGTGTCGATGTTGCGTGCATCATTGCCAACGCCTAGAGTAGGCAAAGTGCATGGCAGATGCAAACAGCGAGGTGAAAGCCACCATGGGTCGAGCTGGTGCAAAGGTTTGGATCATCTCTTGACGTCGAGAAATGAGGATCGAGAAGGCAGTGCCAGTGGTCAGGCGGGTGGACAGCACCAAGGTACCTCGGGTTGCAAAAATGATATGAGGGGATCTTCGAGTAAACGTAAGAGACACGGTTGAATGGGCAACCGGTACTCCAGGGCATGGGTGGCCGTGATGTCGGTCATGTGCGCGAGCAGACCGAGGCACTGTAACCGCACACACAACAGGATGAGTCGACAAAGTCCAAATCCGAGGCTGGCTGCGGCGCGGTTGCCTACAACGATTCTGAGGGCAATGGCCTACCAGTCTGTGAATGGGCAGAGCCACGGCATAGGCGGCAAAGTTACGATCATGGAATTGATCGAGCACGACTGCCGTGGATAGGTTTGGATCTACACCAAGGACAACGAGCTGGGCGGTCGCTGAAGATATGCGGGACCAAACGCGAAGGACCTCGTGTTGCTGCACCCAGTGCATAATCTGTTCCCTAAAAGCAGACCAAGCACAGAGTCGAATGTCGTGAGCGTGGCAGGAAATGAGGTAGCACACCAGTTGCAGTCCATCGAGTCTAAACAAACATGGCTGGGGCATTATGTGCCAGAATACCCACGGCTGAGAGCGCCGCGGAGGTGCCCCATACACCTGGTGACAGTTGGGAATCGCTCGGCACAGGGTGGGTGGAAACCCACAGCTGCAGGCGAGCCTCGATTGTGCAAGCTTGATGGCTAGGGCCAACCAAGGTCATTGCCTCGCTTGTGTCCCACCCAGATACACGGCGGGTCGCTGCTGGTCCCCCTGCCCGTGCGGGTCTCGGCGTCGCACGCTGAATACCTGGCACTGAACTCTTGTGAACCTGCCAGATGGAGCTGTGGGCGCCATCGTCGGCTGGTGCAACACAATCGCTGGCCTGAACCACCGCATCGGCCTCTTCGCAGCCCAATAGCACCACTAGCGACATGGCGCCCAGTGACAACTGGGCACGCGATCTTAAGAAAGCCTCAAATAATCAGTCCAAACTTGGGTGTCGCTTGACAGTTGAGTTGGCATTTGTCGTGCACGTTGGCCTGCAGCCTCGCAGGATGCAGGGCTGCGCGAGAATGCACTGCGTGCCCAGTCTCCTTATCAGTCCACCGAGACCCCAGCCGGCACCGGTCCCTTCACCCCGGCGCCGCTGCACCCCGCCTCGTCGGTCGTTGTGAACGCGCAACGTTCGGACGATTGTCCGCAGCGCCAGAAACTACCCCAAACTTCACTGATTTCGCCCACTGACCATCACCGTCAAACAAGTTAAAACATGTTTTCTCCTTCTTGACGTCAAAGGGCTGCAATCTTTCTCTCTCTCTCTTTCATTTATCGAGCTCGTGGCTCGGTCGGACATCCACTTGACGGCTGCTTTCCCGTTGGCTGCTGGAGTTCCAAGCCCTTTCGTGCGTCATTGCCCTCTCATATCCGGCATAGCTGGCTCTTTGTGACGATCAGTGCTCGTTTCAGACACCAGCATGCCGCCGCGCTCCAGCCCCCGGCGGGCTAAACAGGTAGGCTTTTGTTGTCGTTTGAAGTGCGGACAAGAAAAGGCCGGCGAAATGGGTTGCCAATTGAGACTTATGGTCGGCGGTGTTTTAGCCGCCTTTGCGGGCGAGGAAGACCGTCAAGGAGGAGGACGATGAGAGCGATGACTTTGAGGACGGAGATGAGGAATGGACGCCGGAGGTGCATGGCAATGGCGATGACGATGACGATGATGGCGACGACGACGAGGGCTCCAGCGATGATTTTGAGGCTGTCGACCCAGATTTGACGGCCCGCCTCAACAGCCGACGCGAGAGCCTGGCCTCGCAATCTCAGTCACAATCACGGTCTTCGTCTCAATCCCAATCCCAGACCCGCTCGCAGCCCCGTGCATCTCAAAGTCGAGCTGGCACGCGCGCCAAGCGGGCCAAGGCTGAACCACTCGAGGCGGATACGGACACCCCCATTTCCCCACAGAAGAGCGGCTCTCAAAAGACTGGCGGCACACGTCGTCAGCCTGCCGCGCGCGGCAAAGGGAAAAGCCGCGAAACGGCGGCGGAACGACTTCGTCGCCTGCACCCAGAGATTGAAGATGGTTAGTTTTGATGAGCTCGCGCCGTTCTCACGCGTGTGAATCAGCGGCCACCCATATTTTGCTTCATGGCGCACATCCACTCATTTTTGAAATGGGTGGCTTTAGTATGGTCGACGCTCAAGCCCAGTATGGACCTGAGCCAGCTCAAGCGCATTCGGTCGCCACCCAAGCTTGCCGTTACCCTACTCCCCTTCCAGATTGAGGGTGTGTCTTGGATGATTCAGCAGGTGTGTGCTGCTCAATGCTGTGGTGTTTTCCATCCCCATGGTCGGGCCTACCCGTCAGGCATCCTTCGCGCCACCAGCTTTGCATGGGCTCGACCCTAACATGCGCAGTGTCACCCGTTGGGCATGGTTTTCATATGGACTGGATTATTTCTGCTTAGGAGGAAGAGTCGGAATTCCAAGGAGGTGGGTCTTGCATCGCATCATCAGAGGGCGGCGATGTCAACAACCACCGTTAGGGGAAGGGCTTGCCTCTGTGCCAAAGATTTGCTGGCTCTATTGTATACTTGCGTCTGGGAGAATGCTTTATCTTCTTACGCGGATCTCATGCTGGCCCACAATCCTAACAGGAGTGCTGGCCGATGAGATGGGTTTGGGAAAGACAGTCCAAACCATCGCACTCATCCTATCTCGACCGTCAACCAAGCCCAATCGCCCGACCATGGTGATCTGTCCCACCGTGGCGCTGATGCAGGTTTGTTCTTTTGGGCCCTCGTGGCCTCGAGTGAACGCACACACGCACCTTCGCCTCCTTCCCGCTCTAATTTGGCACCCCGGGTGACAATGTAGTGGCGCAACGAAGTGCGCAGCAAGACGGTTGAAGGGGCACTGTCATGCTTTGTCTACCACGGCGACAATCGCATTCGTGATCTGGAGCAGTTGTCCTCTTTCGATATTATCCTCACCACGTATGCGACTGTTGAGGTCCGTCATCTCACGGCCCTGCCCGGTCGAGCCTGAGCCCGAGCCTGAGCCCGCGTGGCCATGCGTTTGCCCCTCCCCCTCCCCCCTCTTGAAGCGTGCTGGGGGGACACTGATGAGCATGCTTGTGTGCCTTGACAGTCAGGATTTCGACGCATGAAATCAGGCTTTCAGCGCAAGGGTCAAAAGATGTATGAAGACTCAGTTCTACACGCGCTGCACCTTCACCGTTTGGTGCTGGACGAAGCACATTACATCAAGGACCGCTTCAGCAACACGGCCCGAGCCGTCTGGGACCTTAAAGCCGACTACAAGTGGAGTCTGTCCGGCACACCGCTACAGAATCGTGTCGGCGAGCTCTACAGCCTGGTCAAGCTTCTCCGGGCCGATCCCTACTCACACTACTTTTGCCGCCAGTGCCCTTGCAAAAGCCTCAAGTGGAGCTTTGAGAGACGCCAGTGCACCGAGTGCGGCCATCGCAGCATGAGTCATTTTTGCTGGTGAGCCCCAGATTTTTCTCTCCCCGCGCCTTTCTGCTGTGCTCCTACCCAATTTCTACCTCGCCCTCCTGTTTCGGCCTTTTGCGGAAACGATACAGAGTTGATATTCAGGTGTGCCATGACTGCTCGATTAGGTGGAATCGCGAAATTTTGCGGCCCATCCAAAAGCACGGCCCTCATGGCGAAGGCAAGCTTGCCTTTGACCGCCTGCGCAAGCTGCTCAGGTTTGCTCGACGCCGTGCACCCTGCTGCGCCTCGTTGTCACAACGTGTGCAGGGGACATATGCCTGAGTCGGCTTTGCTTGCATGACCACTGCTCACCAACGTGATGCCCTCCCATACACAGTGCCATGATGCTGCGCCGTACCAAGCACGAGCGTGGCAACGAGCTGGGTCTGCCCCCTCGCATCGTGCACACGCGCCGTGATCTTTTCAGCCACGAGGAAGAAGACTTTTACGAGGCTCTGTACTCGCGTACGTCCTTGTCAATATATCAACTTGGCCTTTGAAAATACTCAAGCTCCATGGCGCTGCTCAAACCATGCTCACATTCATCGTGTTGCCATTAGAATCCAAGACCCGATTTCAGAATTTCGTGCAAGAAGGCACGGTTCTCAACAACTATGCCCACATTTTTGAGCTGCTCATGCGTATGCGGCAGTCAGTCAATCACCCCTGGCTCGTGACCCATCGCTCCGACAGCAAAAAGGATAAGGACACGTGTGGCATTTGCTACGAAATGGCTGAGGATCCCATTGCCTCGGAATGCAAGCACGTGTTTTGCCGCGAAGAAATGAGCATGTACTTGGCCTCGGTCCCTGAGGGACAGCCGCCTGCGTGTCCAGTGTGCTTTCGCACCCTCAGCATTGACTTGACACAACCTGCGGTGGAACGGTAAGTGTGCCGGTTGTTGTTACAGCGTTTGCGGCCCATGCCCAGGCAGCTCCCCGTGGTGGTGGTGGGGTGCTCTTTCACACGAGCCATTTGGGGTTCTACCAGTTCGGAGGACGTGAAGAAGAAGCGATCGAAAACCAACATCGTTCGACGCTTGGATATCGAGGCTTGGCAAAGCAGCACCAAGATTGAGGCCATCTTGGAGGAACTTCGTAGTGGACAGTCTGCGGTATGCTTGGCGAGAGACAGGGGCATGGGAAGAAGTTTACTCCATGGCCAATTGCGCGTGCTCACCTCTCTTGGTCTCGCCACCAGTCGTCCAGCATCAAGACCATTGTGTTTTCGCAGTTCACCACGTTCTTGGATCTCTTGGAGTGGCGACTGCAGCGCGCTGGCATCCGGTTCGTCCAGCCCGTTCACTTTTTACCCTGTTGTTCGCACCTGCCCTCCCTCTTTTCTTTGTCTGTTCACCTTTGCCTGTCATTCTTTTTCTCCGACGTGTAATTTTTTTTTATTTTTTGATGATGAATGTAACCTCTCAATGTAAATTCTCTCTGCTTGGTAGTTGTGTCAAGCTGGATGGGCGCATGAGCCCGCAGCACCGCGCCGACGTTATCGAGGCATTTAACACGCAACCGCACTTGACCGCCTTTCTGATTTCGCTCAAGGTTTGTTCTACGGCCAGCGTTGCGCCATCGCCGACTGATGCGTTGCCCTGAATTCACAGGCCTGCCGAAATGCATTTGTACTGTAGGCGGGTGGCTTGGCTCTCAACTTGGTCAGCGCCTCTCGCTGCATTATCTGCGACCCTTGGTGGAATCCGGCCACTGAGGTATGCCACGCACTTCTTTGTCCGTGGCCTGCACTACGTTACAGCCTGGCTTGTGGCTCACTCGCTCCCCTCGCCGTGCCGTGGTTTATGGCAGTCCCAAGCCATGGATCGGATTCATCGCCTGGGCCAAAATCGGCCTGTGGAAGTCATTCGCCTGATTGTGGAGAATTCGATTGAGAGTCGCATCGATCAGTTGCAAGAAAAGAAGCGTCTCTTATTTGAAAGTACTGTGGGCAAAGACTCCTCTGCCTTGGGGCGTTTGACCGAGGAGGATTTGCGTTTCTTGTTTGTCATGTAGAGATACTTTTGCTTGCCGCATCATGCTCTCGTGAAAAATTCAAGCATCGGCATCACACCGCACACCGCCTGGGCAAGTGTTTGCTTTTTCTGCGCACGCACACACACACACACACACACACACACACACACGTCGGGGTGCTGCGCCTTACTCAGTCACGGCAAGCGCACCCATGGGGTCCCAGGGGGGGAGTACGGTCATCTCGTCCGAAGCATGAATGCGCTGGTGCTCTGGGTCGAGTTGGTCGCGGGGCACCACCACCTGATACCTGCGGAACAAACAAACATGATGACACAATCAGCATTGAGCATCGTTTCAAACTCAGCCGGGCTCCATGAAGGTAGTGCCACACTCAAAAACACAGACAGCAGTGCAAACTCACACAAACTGCTCGAACCAGCTGTCGGACATTGTGCAGTAGCCGCTGTCACCATGTTCGGTGCCCCAGCTGTTCTCGATACGCCATTTGGTGACGGGAGCAGTTTCGGTATCGCGATGAAAACCGGTGATAACCATTGCGTGTGTCATGAGAGATTCGCCGTACAAAAGCCGCTCCGCCTTGCTGAAGCTTGGCGCGACATCGAACACAGCCTCGTAGTCGAAAAGGGCATCATCCCACACGCCAACCTTGCGATAAAAATCCTTGCCTGTCAAGACGGCATGTGGTGCATGAACAGGTCGTGTGGACAAGCCTTCGCGGCACCACACGAGATCAAAGCTCTTGGTGGTGGGGACCAGATGACAATGAAATCAAAAGCGAGAAAACCCGAGCGAGGCCGAGCGTACCAGAGTCGCAACCAAACCAGACCGGGCGTTGGGCTTCGAGCTGCTGAACGCAGTAGCGGCGGATGTCGGCCATGTCGACGTTGAGATGACGCACCACGGGACGCAAACCACCCAGGACATTGCCAAGGTACTTGACCGAGTACACAGCGCCGTAGGGGTTTCGGGGGTCGTGAATCAGGCTGACATAGTCCTTCACGGACACGCGCGCGTGATCACGGTAAAATGACACGGGTGTGAGGTCAGGTACCACGTGAAAGGCCCCGTCCTTGTCATAGTAGCGCCATGAAAAAGACTGAGGCGGTGTGCCCATGTATATGCACAGAGCGCGGTAGATGTGCTGCAGATACACTCGCTGGGCGGCCTGTGTATCGCCCTGCTGCTCCCGCAGCTCACGCGCGTACTGCCGCAGCAGGCTGGTCAAAAAGCGGTTCATGGCCCGCGAGTTGGACGAGGCATGCGATTCGGGGTAGGCACTTTTTGGTACGACGCCGTACTTCTCGATCAGGTTGACCACCATGTCCCATTGACCGCCTGCAACAACCACAGTGAGTTTGGGCAGCACAGACAAAAGGCGGCTCGTGATGAGGTCACGACTTACCGTCATTCAGCGGATTGGAGAGGAGAAACTGGACCTCGCGGCTATCCAGGGGCAGGTGGCGCGTGTCAAGAATGGCATTGAAAAAGTAACTGCACCGCTCCAGCTTATCAAAGAAGAAGAGGTAGGATTGCGAGAGTTCAAAATCTTCGGGCAGTTTATAAGCGCTCCGCATCTCCGCCCGAATACAGTTGAGGGCAGCAAAGATCCAGCAGCGCCCGCTGGCCTTTTGTGAGGTAGCCTTGCCCTCCTTCTTGGGCTTGTTTGAAAAGGTTTTGTCGCCATACCCGGCAAGCGTCTCGCTCCGCACCAACACGTCGACGGCCCCCTAATCGTCGTCAACCACCCCACCTCAGTGAGCTTGGCAAGGCTACAGCAGGCCGATCAAGATTGACACACCTGCTTTGTGACGGCATTCTGTGTCACGTGCATCTTGTCGCCTCCACCCTCTTGCCCCTGCCGCAACGTGTCCCAGACACCACTGTCCAGGACCACACCACCCATCGTTGCTGCCATGGTTGTCAGTGGCTCCTCAAATTGTTGTGTCGAAAATGTGAATGAAAAAATAATTGTGTGTGTGTGTGTGTGTGTGTGCGTTTTGCGTTTTGCGTTTTGCGTTTTGCGCGCTGGCGCCGGATCGAGCACCGGCCCATCAACTAACTGACGCCAGTTCGCAGGGCAGGCCAGAGTTCATATTTCTTGTTCGGGCGTCACATGTCCAGTCATAATATTATTTGAAACCGATACGATGACCCTTAAGAATCAGCTGCAGCTCCTGCTGCCAATGATGACTTGCCTGCTCATGTCAACGGTCCCGAGCCAGACACATGCAGACCTGGTTCCCGAAATCGATGTGACCCTTGGCTCTCTGAGCCACTCTCTGCCCCTGCCCTACGTCGGCGTGAACATTGATGCAGGTGCGTATCTGGATCGAAATCGAACCTGGCCTCTTTGCGCGATCTCCAGCCGTCGCTATGGCGCGGCGGGCTCTCATGCATGTTGCGGGTGCGCCCTGTTGCGATCAAAGCCTCGCTGTACTACAAGATCAACTTGACCCATCCCTACCTGATCACTGCCGCGCAGAAACTGGCTCCCGGTATTCTTCGCGTCGGTGGGGGCATGGCAGACTCACTTTTGTTCAATGCCACGGCCTCAGGTCAGTGTTTTTAGTTCCACCCCCGCCGGATCGGCTGCCGAGCCCTTGGCATGCCGCCGAGCTGCCACTCTTCAGTGCCCTGGCCCGCTCCCAACAATTGCCACTCTTTTGTCGCCACACTGGACATCGATTGACTGCTATATCCCACCTCTAGACGACAATGGATCTTCAACAAACATCCTTACTACACGTGCATGGGATGACCTTGTTGCGTTTGCGCGCCAGACGGGCCTGCAACTGCTGTTTGACCTAAATGCCCTCGGATTGCGTGGAGCCAACGGGGCTTGGGACTCAACCAACGCTGAACAGCTTCTGCACTACATTAAATCACATAATCAGACGGATGCGCTGTATGGCTTTGAACTTGGCAACGAGGTGCGGTTCCGGCCAAGCCCTTTTTTTCTCCTTGATGGTGCATGGCCTTCTCGCTCGACCAGCTAGCAGAACACACGTTGCACTTTACTTGTGGACCATGCCTTGTAGCCTGCACATTTTTTTGTGCGCCACACCAATGCGCCCCCTCCCGCCCAGCTGGCACACGATTTTGATGCGCTCCGCAAACTTCTCAACCAGGTGACTCGCGTGTTGACGGCTCCCAACCGCCACCCCTTTTTGTTGTTCTGTGGAGAGGGGCGGGGCGGGGATGATGAAAACCTGCTCTCTTTGAGACTTGTACTTGTATCTGGCTTAGTTTTCTTCTCGCATGTTAACCTCACGACTGACGTGTACCATTGACACCCAGATTTTCCCCACTGAAGTACTGCGTATAGTGGGACCGGATGTCTGCTGTGGCTTTGATTATCTGGAACAATTTCTAAACAACGTGTCTGCAGGTTTGTACATGCGCCCGATGCTCATTCCGTTGGCACATTTGCCCAAGCTTCCCGGTGGCGCGATTCGTGAGAGGTTCAATATTTGGGACTGCATGTGGATCCGACCTAGGCACGCTTGATATCGTTACCGTACACTCGTAAGAATCAACCCTTTGTCCGAATCAAAGATCTAGAGATGGGAGTACAGGTAGTGAATGGTATCTGCCGCATTTCACATACAATGTACTTTTCCGTGGCGTAGCTATCCTATGCACGGCCCTAAAGCCAACCAAAGTGACGATTGCAACTTGGACGCTTTCATCGACCCAGCTGTTTTGGATCGTTCAGACGCCATCCTCTTTGAGTATCAGCAGTCCCATCACCGCACGCGTCCAGATCTCCCTCTAATCCTTGGAGAAACAGCCACTGCAGGTCAGAGATTACGCCCTTTCGCCCCCGCCCTTCTTCATGACATGACATTCCCTGCCTTTGATGCGGTGTCGTTGGGGCCTTGCACAGGAGATGGAGGCTGCGACAATCTTAGCAACCGCTTTGTAGCTAGTTTCTTCTGGCTTGATCAGCTGGGCCGACTGGCAACCAATCAATGGCAAGGAGTCTTTCGTCAGGACCTCGTGGGATGGTCTGGCAGTGCTGATACCTCCCACTATGCCCTCTTGGGTTCGTGCCAAGCTCTCTCCCCCATCGAGGAGGCGATTGCTCAGAATCTTGAACGTGAATGATTCAGCTAGCTTACCTTATCTGTAGGGCCCCCGGGCTGGATTGGCAACACATCAGCGCCACCGACTCCTCACCCAGACTTTTTTGTCACCCGGTTGTGGAATGAGCTTGTGGGCACGCATGCCATTGCCTTGAACCGTACCAACCTTGAGGGTCTGCGCGTCTATGCTTTTTGCCATCGCACAGATGCAGGTCTGTTGTTGCTATCCCGCCTCTTATTGTTCCCCCACCCCGCGTACCGATCCCACTGCTCCTTCACTTCATATCTCGCGCGCCTGTTGGGTAGGGCGCGCCTCGGTTGCCTTTGTCAACCTAAACACCTTTCCCTTGATGCTACATTTTGTGGACTACGAAATGGGACACGAGGCGCTCGAGTACACGCTACAGTCGGATCATCTTCAAGATGATCATGTGCGCCTAAATGACGCCTTGCTTACTGACCCCACGGCTGCGCTCCCCGGCCGTCCCATGGGGAACTTTGATGGCAAGTACACAGCCCAGCCTCTGACTTTGGGCTTTGTGGTTATCCATGCCCCCGTGTGTGCTTGAAACAAGACCATCGCCACCCTGCCCGTCGTTGAAGGATGTCTGACCGTTTGCGAAGTTGAGCTGAAAATAACAAGGGCACAATTTTGACAACGCGCCCAACGCCGGTCAACATGGTGTGTAGCCCATTCAACTCGCGATTCGCTCAGAGGGTGATTCGTCTTCTGGATAAATTGAACTCGTAATAAAGCCAGTCACTATGAAGCAGGCCTGGCGTGGGTGCTGTGATGTGCTAGCGCACCGTAGAGCCCCACAAAGGCGTCAACACCACCGTTTCGGCTGACGATATGAGCATCTGTGATTGGTTGCTCCTCAAGCTGGCTGCCGGAGCCGCGACCCTCAAACTGCGTGCAGCGCAAAGAAGAACCGTTGAGTACCGCACTTTGAAATCTTCAGGCAGCAACAACGTGCATTGTC